CCTTTCTCCTCCCTTTCTTCTCCCCTTCTCCTCCCTTTCTTCTCCCTTTCTTTTCCCTTTCTCCTCCCTTTCTTTTCCCTTTCTCCTCCCTTTCTTCTCCCTTTCTCCTCCCTTTCTCCTCCCTTTCTTCTCCCTTTCTCCTCCCTTTCTCCTCCCTTTCTTCTCCCTTTCTCCTCCCTTTCTTCTCCCCAGGTCCTCACAACATGGCGTCTCTACTTCCTGGCGCCTAAGACTCCCGCTAAGGTCTCCGTCTCCGTCTGTAGTTACAGCATCAATCTGTTTCTCTCATAGCGACATATTAACCCCGTCCACTGTTTCCATGACAACAGATAGAAACTACCTTCAACTTCCTGGAGATCCGAGCCTTGAAGTCCCACCCCGAACACCAGGTGAGTCTGGACGTGACCTCTGACGAGGTGAGGTCAGAGGTCACAGATGCTGGATTATTATTTTTTATTCTTACTCGTCCGGATTTTCATATTTCAGGATTTGCAGAAGAGATTAATTACAGAAATGATTATATAGCGTTCACCAGAATGTCACGATGCATTAATGTTGTTATTGTCAGTATGAGGAACACAGATATAATCTAATGACAAGTTAAAGTAACCATAGCAACAACGATGAGTTCACTCTTCAGCTCCAATTCTTTGAAAAATGGCAGTTTTATATCATATAAAAAAGAATATCTGGAGATTTAAAGAGTGAGATGGACATCTTTTGTAAAGTGTAGTATAAGATCCCTCCCCCTCCCCCTGCCCCCCTCCCCCTCTCCAGGTCGTCATCGACACCGACAAGTCCAGCTTCTCGCTGAGGTTCGAGTCTCGTGAACACCTCAACCAGGTGGTCGGACACGTCAACTTCGCCCTGTCCCGAATATTCAACAACTCCATCTTTGCGTAAGTCCCAAAGAGTGCGATAACGTTCTAACCTTCGAGCAGGAAGGGAGATGATCACAAAAATCTTTCGCCTCTTGATGCTAACGATGTTCCTATAAACATGGGCTTATATGGCGCTCCCAGACAGCTCTCCCCTCTGTGCGATACCCCAGTGGAGAAACGCAGGGACCTTTGCATATCGGACCAAATTACGACCGTCGTCGAGCAGCCAGGGCTCGGTCACACACGTCTGCCAGATGTTCGTCGTGCCAAACGTCTCAATCTGTTTTTTCTCTTTCTTTGCCCCCCCCTCCCTCCCGCCTTCCTCTCTCAGGAGGCTTCTCAGAGACGTACTCCGCCCTGTGCGACTATAATGGCATCAGCTGCAAGGAGGAGGTGCAGTGGGTAAGAGCTGTGGGGCCGCGGGCACTTTGAGGGCTACGTGGGGGGGTCATGTACTGCAGCACAACAGGCTCATGGGTAATGTTGCCCCTGTAGGATGTGGACACCATCTACCACTCCCAGGACAGCCGAGAGTTCAACCTGCTGGACTTCAGCCACCTGGAGAGCAGGTGAGGGGCGGAGAGCGTTGACTCCTCCCACAAGTGAACGCCGCCTCGTTGACCTCGGGTTTCCTCTTTTTCTCCCCAGGGATCTGGCGGTGATCGTTGCGTCGATGGCGTACAACACCTGGTTCACGAAGCTGTACTGCAAAGACCTGCGGATAGTAAGTTCTTAGGAAGGAGCTTTGAGCTGACAGCGTGTTTTGGGGAGGCGGGGCTACAGGAGACGCCTGTTTGTCTACCGAGGAAGAGAGTTTTGCGACAAAGAGTTTCCTTCTTCCCTTAGGGGTCAGAGGTCACTGAGCAGGTCCTGCACACGGTCAGCAAGTCCTCCAGCCTGGAGGAGCTCACTCTGGAGAACGCCGGGTTAAAATCGTGAGTCGCGACCTCTCGGGCACCTTTTACCTCCCATACGTCCACACGCCTGGATGAGTGACGGGTGAGCTACCCGGCATCACCCCGCCGGGCTCGCTCTGTAACAAACTGTGGACCCTCTTCACAGAGACTTCCCACAGAAGATGTCGGCGGCTCTCTCAGAGAACCCTGCGTCCGTCATCCACTCGCTCAACCTGTCCCACAACTCGCTGGACAACCAGGGTACGGTAGCACGCCAGCTGCTGTGTGCTCGCCAGTCGCTGGTCTGATGGTAACAAGGGGACCTCTTGTGATCGCTGCAGGTGTGTCCAACCTAATTCAGCAGGTGTGTCGCCTCAGCAAAGGACTCCGCCATCTCAACCTCTCGAAGACCTCGCTCACATCCAAAGGTTTGGGCTCTTCTACCTCGGTGTTTTTTTACAAGTGAGCATCTGAGTTGGATTATTATTTTGGGAAGATTCTCCCCCAGAGGAGCTCCTCACTGACTCCTCCTCACTGACTCCTCCTCATTGACTCCTCCTCACTGACTCCTCCTCACTGACTCCTCCTCATTGACTCCTCCTCACTCCTCACTGACTCCTCCTCACTGACTCCTCCTCATTGACTCCTCCTCACTGACTCCTCCTCATTGACTCCTCCTCATTGACTCCTCCTCACTGACACCTCCTCACTGACTCCTCCTCACTGACTCCTCCTCATTGACTCCTCCTCACTGACTCCTCCTTACTGACTCCTCCTCATTGACTCCTCCTCATTGACTCCTCCTCACTGACTCCTCCTCACTGAGTCAATGAGGAGCACTGACTCCTCCTCACTGTGTGCCCAGTGGAGAACTTGCACATTATTTACCCTTTCCCTCACATCTGCTGATAACTGCTGCTGCAGATGTGCATGAGAGGGTTCTATGAATCTTACTGATGTGCAACCTCCCCCTCTCTCTCCCTCCCCCTCCCTCTCCCTCTCCCTCTCCCTCTCTCTCTGTCAGGAGTGGTGTCTCTCTCTCAGGCTTTGTGCTCCAGTGACGAGTACTCCAACTCCCTCCTGCACCTGGACCTGAGCAAGAACCCCGGGGTCCTATCGGGGGAGGACGCCTCGGTAAGAAAGAAAGACCCAAACGACCCCCCAGCTCCACTTTTACATTTAAACACAACGCCTCCTTCTTCTCTTTCCAGAACTTGTACCTGTTCCTGTCTCAGCCCAACTGCCTGGTCCACTTGGACCTGTCGGGCACAGACTGCTCTGTGGATTCAGTACGTTCAAACAGAAACGCACACACAGACACACACACACACACATGCGTTATCTGCGTTAAAGTATTTAGTTGCATTAATCTCGGCCACATTAATCGCATGCATTAACGCGTTTATGTTAACATGTATACCTGGATTAACTGCCCCCCCCCCCGTGTCTCATGCAGCTACTTGGGGCTCTTCTGAGGGGGTGTTGCGCTGATCTTTCCTTTCTGAATCTTTCCAAAAATTCCTTCTCCCACAAGTAAGCAGAAGCTCTCCATCCTTTGACCCCCCCCTCTGCTCTCAGCAATGTTCACTTTCCCTCATCTGGTGTCATCGCTCATAACTTAATAAAGTTTTATTGTCATTGTAAAAACATACAACGAAACGAAGTTGGCGACTTCTGAGTCAGTACTAACTAATAATAAATACTAATAATAAATACTAATAAATACCCCCCCCCCCCCCCGTCTTTCATCTCTCTCGTTCTCGCTCTGACAGGAAAGCGAAGGACACGCTGCCGCTGTTCCGCCAGTTCTTCAGCTCCGCCTTCAGCCTCACGTACGTCAGCCTGGCCTCCATGAAGCTGCCGCTCCGACGTTCTGAGGTAGTCGCCGCGCCGCCCTCGCATTCTCCACCCCAACTGGCCCCCGGCGGTCCGAGACTCACTCCTTGCGTCCTTCCACAGGGCTCTCCTCGCCGGGTTGACCTCCAATCCTCATATCAATGACCTTCATCTGGACATCAGTGGCTGTGAGGTAACAGCTCTCCCCCAAGCATCCGTTTGGTCCAACAGACCACGTGGGCTGTAGGGCGGGGCTACACGCTGATTGACAGGTCTCCGCGTCAGTCCATATGTGGTCACTTCCTGTTCACCGGCAGTGAACGTGTCCGTGTTTCAGTATGAAGAGAATCAGATGAAGGGAGATAAACACTGAGCCTCCGAGAGGAGAAGATGATGCTCACAGATGATCTCTAAGAGAGCGTGAGAGACACACAAGGAGACACACAGCGAGACACACAAGGAGACACACAGCGAGACACACAGCGAGACACACAAGGAGACACACAGCGAGACACACAAGGAGACACACAGCGAGACACACAAGGAGACACACAGCGAGACACACAAGGAGACACACAGCAAGAAACACAAGGAGACACACAGCAAGAAACACAAGGAGACACACAGCGAGACTCACAAGGAGACATACAGAGAGACACACAAGGAGACATACAAGGAGACATACAAGGAGACATACAGAGAGACACACAGCGAGACACACAGCGAGACACACAAGGAGACACACAGCGAGAGACATACAGAGAGACACACAGCGAGAGACACAGCGAGACACACAGCGAGACACACAGCGAGACACACTGAAGTCACGAGCACAGCGGACGGCCTTCAGTCGACGTCCTCCGGACACTTTGTTCCATCCGCTCTGCAGCATTAAAGCGTAATCGACAGACTTTAACTGTGCAAAACCTTATTGAGTGTTGAAAGCGTTTAGTTCATTTAAGTCAAAGTAGCAATTAAGTATTACTGTTGTACTACAAGTAAATATTACTGTTGTACCAAAAGTACAACAGTAATATCTGCTAAATTCACACTGAGTGAAAGAAAACCCAGCAGAATGTATTTCACAGCATGTTTTACTGAAGCATTAAACATTTCCATGTTGAAGCTAATATATGTTGTATGTATATATATATACATATATATATATATACATAAATATATATATATATATATAAATATATATATATATATGTGTTTCATAATCAGCAAGTTGTGTCCATTAAATTTGAATCTATATATATGTGTATTTTTTTTTTTTTACTCGTTGAAGTGAGAAGATAACCCTACTATGGTTTCCTACCATAGTAGGGTTATCTTCTGCTACCGAGCTCTGCAATAAAAGTGGCTCATATATTATGCATATAACGCCCCCCCGCCCCCCCAGCTCCGGTCTGCAGGAGCGGCTGTGATCCAGGAGGTCTTCCCCAGAGTCTCCTCCATCGGCACTCTGGATATGTCGGATAACGGTACGCTGCATCACGACCCTGTGTGACCTTCTCTCCTCGTGCTCGGGGAGGGAGAGTCTGCTCCTCGTCAACCGCCACATGCTGAGCTGTGTGTGTGTGTGTGTGTGTGTGTGTGTGTGTGTGTGTGGCGACAGGCCTCGATGCGGACCTGCTCACGGTGCTGCCGGCCCTCTCCAGACACGCCTCCCTCAAACACCTCCACATGGGCAAGAACTTCAACATCAAAAACAGGTGCCGCTCCGCTGCAGCTATCAGTGCTCGACTGCTCGCGTCTGGAGCTCCTCCCCCCGGAGCTCCTCCCCCCGGAGCTCCTCCCCCTGGAGCTCATCCCTGTGTCGTGTTGTGTCTGCAGGGTTCTGGATGAAGTCCTGCAGAAGCTGGTTCATCTCATGCAGGAGGAGGAATGTGTGAGTGGAATCACAGGAAGTGTCCCGCCCTGTAACACGTGACGGATGATGTCATCCAAGTAGAAACAAAGTGTCCCCTTTAGGCCGGACGTCCTCTCCACATTATGTTTCTCTGTCGACGTGTTGCTGCAGCATGAATTATTACGGCGGGCACCGTGTCACTCACACACACACACACACACACACACACACGCGCACACACACACTCACACTCACACACAGACACACACAGAGTAAATAATTCACGCAGACAGCGTGTTAGTCGTGTGCGGCGAGCGGTCACGTTGCTCCACAGCAGATTTATCCGCCTGCACTTCATTCTCACGGCTCCCATGTTCTCTTCCCACCGCGTGGTTCTGATCCCCCCCCACCTCCCCCCCCAGGCGCTGCAGTCTCTCTCGCTGGCCGACTCGCGGCTGCGTTCCCGCGGCACCGTGCTGGTCAACGCGCTGGGCAGCAACACCTGCCTGAGGAAGGTGGACCTGAGCGGAAACAGCATGGACGACATCGGGGCCAAGATGCTGAGCAAAGCGCTGCAGATCAACACCACGCTCAGGTCTCGCCAGGGCTCTCTGTGGGGGGGGGGGGGGCTTAGTAATGAAACTCACCCTGTTCTTGTGGCCCTGCAGGAGCGTGACGTGGGATCGTAACAACACCTCGGCAGCGGGGTTTCTGGATGTGGCCCGAGCACTCGAGCAGTAAGATCATTGAACTTTCCACTGAGCAGAGGTCCACCCGTCTCTTCAGGCAGAGGAGGAATATTACTCAGGCCTTGAGGGGATATTTGGGGACGACCTCTGGGGACATTGACCTTCCTCCTTTTCTCTGTTCCCTCCTTCCTCTCCCTCAGTAACTTCACCTTGCAGTTCATGCCTCTGCCCTTAAGCGACATCAGCCAGGCGTACCGGAGCGCCCCCGAGAGGACGGAGCAGGCACTGACCAAGGTGGGCCCCCATCATCCAAATGCCCCTGGTGGCTTCTCAGGCCGCTTTGCTCTGAAAACACTGTTATAAATGATAAGAAGTGGGTGTGGTCACAGTGATGTCACTCAATGGGTTGTAGACGGCGGTGTTGAAGCCGATTGGATTGCGGTTTTTAATGACAGAGACAGTCAATCCCAGTAAGCCCCGCCCTAAAGCGCCCCCTGCTTTATGGTCTAAATGACACACTTTCTATGAGTCTTGAGTGATTAATCATTACTTTTAAGATTTAGTCTTTAGAAGGAAAACATTTTTTAAATCTATTGACGGCCCTATTTACAATGTTTACTGAGGGAATAAATCAAGAGTCATTTTCTCGTAGACTTCTATGGGACCAGAGGAGTCGCCCCCTGCTGGTCACTACACAGAATGCAGCTTTAAGACGTGACGCATCGGCGGTTTCATAATTTTAACTAGTTTCATCATTTGAATATTCAGCCACCACATTGAACATCTCCTAAATTACACCACGCTACGCCTCCTGTCCTCCAACCAAATGAGCTCTAAATCAAACCACGTGTTGAAAACGTGAAGTTTAACGTCTGATCTCATCATCGCTGCGTTGTCTCCGTCTACCCGTCCTCACATCGTTGTTGTTGTCTCCACCAACCCCACCCCCCCTCCGCCCGCACAGATCCAGCGCTTCCTGGTGAGGAACAATCAGACGCAGCGCTTCTCTCAGCGGCAGGCTCTGCGGCTGCACCAGGGCCTGGTGACCAGCACCGCCGAGCAGGTAGCGCCCTCGACCGGGTAACGGGGGTTCCACCAGCGTGTGATCCCTGCCATGCCCGGTAACGCATCTGCCCCTCTGTTTCCTAGGTGATGGAGCGCCTGTGCGTGCGCGTCCAGCAGCAGGTGAGCGTGCTGCGAGGCGCCGGCGAGGTGGAGGAGGTTCAAGCCGCCAGACAAGTGCTGAAAGAGGCCCGGAGCTCCCGCGCAGTGAGTGTGATGCTGATTCACGGTACTGTAAACGCTTTAAACACGGAGACGTGAACCCGCTTGTCTCGTCCTCCGCCAGCTGTACCCGTCGCTGTGCGAGCTGGCTCATGTGCTATCCGTGGACGGGCCGGTGCGCCAGCGGCTGGACTCTCTGGCCGGCGAGCTCGCCAAGGCGGCGGACAAGGAGCTTCAGGTAGATCTCGTAGGACCTCTTTCTGCATCTGGATGTAACGCTCCAGTCACTGATCGCAGCCCACTTCCTGTTTGTAGGTGATCGTGGACTCCATGGTATCGCTGTGCCGCGAGCTCTGCCCTCGGTCGTCCTCCGCGGCGGACAGGCTGAGTCCTCCGCTGTCCTCCGTCTCTGAGCACGTGTCCGTCCCTCGCTCCGCCATCCGGACGGCTCTGATGGAGAGAGCGGCGCAAGACATCCACCGAGCCTTAGAGTAAGCAAAAGCCTGTGAGCGGTAAAGAGGAACAGTCTCCTCTCACTTTAACCTCTTCCTGTCCATCTCTGCCGCTTCTCGCCGATCGCTCCGCAGGGAGGTTAAACTGTCGGTGGTCTCCTATCTCACCAACTCCATTGTGGACCAGATCCTGCAGGAGCTCTACGCCACCCACAAGACTCTGGTAGATGCAACTTGGTAAAAAACATATGCTGTGTGTCTGAAACAAAGTTGATGAACTGAAGAGAACTTTCTGTCCTTCTCAGACTCGGCAGGTGTCCCATCTGAATCGCTGGGATGGCATGGGCGAGGACGGGTTGGGCTGGAGGTCCAACAGATACCGAGACTCTCTGGACATCACGGACGAGGAGCTCAGCACCAGCATTGTGAGTGAGGACCTACGGACCCGTGATTATCTCTGATAGAAACACGATACTGAGTTTCTGTATCAGTCGCTTTTCTAGTGATAGTGATACCACATTGTGAATCTTTTAACACACAAGGAACGTAGCTTTGTGGGTAGAATCTGACTTTAGTAAATAAAATGACTTACAATAAGTACATTTCATCCACAGAGATGTCAGTCAGACAGGCAGAGAACCGTGCCGCCACCTGGGTGTCCGAGTGAGGGAAGGGGAGAATTAGTTGGTGTCATCGGCATAGCTGTGGTAGGAGAAGCCATGCGAGCAAATGACAGAGTCAAGAGATTTGGTGTAGAGAGAGAAGAGAAGGGGACCCAGGACGGAACCTTGGGGAACTCCAGTAGTAAGAGGGCAAGGTTCCGACACAGATCCTCTCCAGGTTACCCGGTAGGTGCGGCCGTCGAGATAGGACGAGAGAAGGGAGAGAGCAGAGCCTGAGACACCAAGTCCCTGAAGAAAGGAGATTAGGATCTGGTGGGTTACGAGTCTGACAAGTTCCTTGGAGTTCTTTCCTTCTGATTTTGACTTTCCGTGATTCGTATCGTTTGTGTTCCTCTCTGATGCTTTCTGTCAACATCTCAGTACCGTCTCTTCTTCACCTCTTCTCTTCCTCCCAGGACACAATAGCCATTAAGAAGCGCAGCTCGAGGACGAGACGAATACGACCCGTCTCCACCAGGCTGAGTGAGTGCAGCTGTGAATCCTCTTACCCTCAATCAGCCTCCGCTGTCTCCATCTTAGATGTCTGTAAATGTTTCATTCTGACAAGAGCCCAGTCTGAGTCGCTGCCGCCTGTTTAAAATATCAAAGCTTTCGTTACTAGCCTTGAGCCTTCTGGGTCTTCTCTCCTCTACATTTTCTGTGATCTGTCCGCCCGCCATCAGGCCTGTGCGACGACTCTGGCTCCTCGCCGCCGTCCTCCGTGCCGCCCTACTCCTCGCCGCTGTCCCGCTCGGCATCCTGGGAGGACCTGTCAGAGCTGCCCACTCAGGGCCTGCCGCTCCATCACGTGACGCGGGTTCGGCCAAGGCCTCCGCGGAGGCACAAGGGATGCCACGGCCCCTCTGAGAGCGTAAGGCGGGTTTGATCCTCAAGGAGACACAAGAGGCCCAGTAGGGCCATTCCAACTGAACGCATGAGTCCCGTGAGGTACAAGAGGCTGTATAGGCTGCGTGTCGGGCCTAACAAAACCCTCGAACTGTTACATTATTGAAGATAAAGTACTGCCTCAAGTACCTTATTGCTTAAATAATATGATTAAGTTATAAATAGTAAGTAAATAGCTGCCTTTCAGCACAAAATAGTATTAGCCACCAAACGTTTATCGTGTATCACATTTCAGTTGTCTAGAGAGAAATAGTCCCCGTACGTGTAAACAGCATTGGGTCTCATTGCAAGATCTCGCACCATCTCATTCATTCACATCGCTCATGACGTCCACCTTAATTGTCCGGTTGCGAAAGCTCACATTGCCCGAAACTGATCATTTGTGGGATTTCTGGTTTTATTTCGGCGATCGCCACCGAGCTAAAAGCTGAAATGTCAACGGTCGCGCAAAATCTAACTTGTTACTTTGAGCACGCAGTGATGTGGAACACTCGGGTCAATGTGAACAGCAACTGTACATTATCGCTGAATAATGCACCCGCCATGACTCGCTCTCAACCAATCAGAACGCTGTATTTCATCTACCCGTATTATAATGAAAAGTACACCAGTGTTCTATATATCCATCTACAGTGCCAGTCATATTTTTGGCAGTCAATTGAATTAGGGAGTTGACTTGTAGATGGATAGATATACAGTACCAATCTATTGAAAGATGGATATATATATATATATACACACATACCTTTCCATCCTCCTATTTCCGGATGTTAATGCCTGCTTGCAGTAATATACACAACGTAGAAAGCTGAATATACTGACCTGCATTAAAGAGTTACTGTGTGTGTGTGTTTGTGCAGCATTGCATTGAAAATGGAGGAATAAGTCCTCTTGATGACGGACTCCCAGATTTCTACACTAAAAGAGTTCTCCCTGACAGGTAAGACCAAGTTAAAATGTTCCAATCCGTAATTGTACTTACATGAACAATCTAACATCCCTTTATAAACATTGATTTGATTTACCACCCAGCAAAAAGAATAATATATAGTAATACTAACAGTCCTGAAAAACACTAACATGATTTTCTATCTACTTAGTGCTGGGGAGAGTTCTTTATGACAGACCGACGTATATGTCAATGAATAGCAACACCATTGATGCCCCTAGTGGGAGTGGGGGGAACTGCATGTATGATGGGAAAGCATTGAAACTACCACTCAGAATCAAGGCAGTCGATTAAAATATAACATAATAGATTAAACTACTTTTATTGTCAGTGGGAGCCAGGATTGAGGTTAAAATGGGGTATTTGACCTTAAAGGTCTGTATTCTGGCTCCACAGTTTATTGGAGGCAATTTATAGGAGCAGATGTTGTACTAAAACAACACAGAAGCTTTAAAGTTTGATCCATTAAACTAAGAGAATGAGAACTAATATGATTGCATCCACAATATCGAAGAAGTGCTCTTTAGATTGATCAACGTGTAGAGGGAGATGATTGAACCTCTCCTTCTTTTCCAGCCAGCTCTCCTCGCTGCACAAAGCCCACTCGCTGAGGAGGAAGAAGAGGAGGAACATGCTGGCCATCTTCGGATTCCGTAGGAACCGCCACCAAACTCAGGGCCCGGAGGCTGAAGCTGAGGTCTACGTGGATGGCTGTCACTTTGTCGCTACGGCAACCTCGGGGTTTGTGTGCATAAACACTGAAAACGCACAACTTACCACCCACAAGCTCACTTGGACATTGAAGGGGGGGTGCATCAAAAGTCCTCCAGGGTAATAATTTGTTGGGAGCCTATAAGACGGGCCTATAGGTTGAAAACACAAACAATCTTTCCATATTCCCCCTCCAGCAGCACAGAACTTCACAAATACAACCACAGAAATATTGCTTCTTCCTTTAGCTGTTGACCTGAGAGACGGAGGCAGCGAGTTCCTGGGGGCGGTTCTTCATGAGGCCCTAACGTCTAAGGTGTTTCTGTGCTTTCAGAGCGGCCACAGAGAACGTCTACACCCTCCTTCAGCCCCCGAGGTCCGTTGCCAGAGCCGGATCCCCCAGCGAAGGGGCTGATGTGAAAATGAATGAGCACCTGGGGAAGAATGCTCTGGTCTTGAGTCTGCCGCTGGTGCCGGGCATCGCTCCCCCGGGCGTCGCTGCCCCGGGCGTCGCTGCCCCGGGCGCCGCTCCCCCGGGCACTGTAGGAAGCAAACGCAACTTTTATTCTCCCAGAGAGGTAAAGTCAGCGTTACAGAGTACTTGGTTCCTGTGTATTCTGAGGTTGGGGTTTGTTGACTAGGCCTGACCCGCCACAAGCCTTCACTGGTACCAGATGTTCTCCCTCGTCTCCTCACGTTGTGTTTCAGCAGGCTTCTGAAGCAGACTCTGTGTTTGAGCCTCCGGGGGAGACGGACAGGTTCGTGGCGGACGACGGACAAAGGACCGCCGAGGAGAAGGCGAGGCAGGCAGAGCAGGACGCCGAGAAACACAGAGCCGAGCGGACCGCCGACCTGTACCGGGCCGAGAGGACGGCCGACCGTTACCGGGCCGAGGGCCGGCAGTGGACCGTGGACAGGCACACCCAGCGGCAGATCGACAGGAAGATGGAGAGGCAGTGGGTTGGCGGCAGGCAGATAGACAGGTCGTGGTCGGAGCACGGCCCGCCGGAGGAGCGCCCGGCCGAGTGCCGGCGGCCGAGTGGGAGGACGGAGAGGCCGGCGCCTCCCCCGGCCCACAGGCCACTGCCACCGTACCCGGCGGACCGGACGCCCTCGCCCCCCAAACGAGATGCGGATCCTCCGAAAGGGCCCGAGGCAGCAGCGGACTGGCATCAGCAGGAAGACAGGCCGGCGTGTACCGACGCTGGCGGAGGGTTGGCTGAGAGGGGGAAAAGCGGCGGAGGAGGACAGGCCGCTCCATGTGCGTCTAAACCCGACCCACCGCCACAAAGCAGCAAACCCTACCTGTCCAAGCTGAGGCCGAGGCGCCGCCTGGAGAGTGTGGACGCTCTGCCAGGTACGGCGCCGGGCGGAGGGGACAGCTCGCGTTCGTAAAAAGGAAAAACCTTTTCGTGACCTCTTCTTTGATTCGTAGGTATGGAGGAGGAAGGAGACGTGGAGTTCGACACCAGAAAGACGGAGAAGAAAGAGAGGGAAAGGAGAAGAGACTCTGAGGGTCATCCTCCCCCGATTCCAGAAAAGGTGTGCGTGGCTCGTTCTGTGTAAATGAAGAAATATTTAGGTACGGTGATTTTGATTTGTTCATGTGTCTTTTACTTCCGGTCCATAAAAACAGCCAAAGACATCCTCGTACGTGATGTTTCCTAAAGAACCGTCCAATGAGAGGAGCTTACCTCCTCCTCCTGTGCCGCCTCCAGGTCTCAGGCCTGTGCACGGACTCCCCACCAGGGCGGCGAGTCAAGGTAAGTCCAACGAGACCGTCCCGTCGGTCGGATCAAAATCATATGTGGTTAAACAAACGTTTCAATGAATAGTTCCTGATTTGGAGATTGAGGAGAGAAACAATGTTCCATAATTTACTAAATGAACATCAGGCTGTTTCAAGAAACTTGAAACTAGATATTGAGAACATAAACTCATGTTTACTGAGGGAATAAGTAATTTTCTCATAGACTTCTATGGGACCAGAGGAGTTGCCCCCTGGTGGTCACCCCAGAGAATGCAGTTTGTAAACACTTGTCAGGACCAGAGGGCTCGCCTTTAAATAGTTTGCTTTCCTCACTCCATATGCGCTCATTTCTCCTTCCTACCTGTTCAGGTGAAGAAGGCCGCAGACCTCCGGCCCCGGTGAAACCACAGAGGAACCGTAAGGCCGTGTCATGTGACGCAGGTTTGATTCCTCCTTCCTTCCATCATGGTCTTCGCAGTATGAGTTATTCATGTTTGTACCCGTGTGTGAAGCCTTCGGTATCTAACTGTTGATTTGTGTGTTTTTTTGTCCTCACTGAAGGAACTGAAAGGGAAAGCCCAAATAACGTTGAGAAGCCCCCCGATCGCAAACCCCCCGTGAAAAAACCTAGACTGCCCCAAAACAGAAATATGTCACTGGACTTGTCTGGTACACGTCTATGTTTTTATTTAGTCATGTGTGTTTGTTTGTGTGTGTGTAGCAGATTGGGTTTTAAAACCCAATGTGTGTTGCTGTGAAGGAACCTGATAAATGGTTTGATGTACATATCTTCATGTCGTGAGCTGATACTTATATTGATTAACCACATATATATATATATTTATATCCTTATTTTCATTTTTGCAGACAGCCTGGACTCGGCCTCTGGCCACAGCGATCTGTTATGATGCCTGGCACAAAATGAGATAATAATAATTCACCCAAACGCTGTTCTGCTGGAGCGTTGTCATGACAACGCTGGAGCGTTTCATTTCAACGAGGAAACAAAGAAGAAGGAGGAGAAGAAGAAGAAAAACCAGAGCCAGAGCGAAATTGTCTGACAGACATCATAAAGCATAAATCCTTCTCTTCTGTTGAAACGCTCACAGTTCGGATGTTTATTGTGCGTTTGTATCAGCTTCTTCTGAGTATCAGGTTCTTCTACAGTAGATGATGTAGAGAAACAGAAACTACAGTAGATGGAACCACGATGCTGCGGAGAAGAAGCTCATACAAACCTTAAACCTCTGAACTCCTTCTTGTAGCATCACGTCTGCTTTCCCTTCACATCAGAGCTCTTTTTTGTGGCTTCAATATTTTAACGGTATTTGCCTACTATGTAAAACCCAAATGATCTTTGTCTTTGGGCCGATTGTCGGATAGTTGATTGGATTGTTGATAGACAGAAAAGTAGAAGTAAAGAAGTAAAACAACGTCTTTACTAGAATGTGACCCAGCTGATTGCCTTGGTTGACACTTGAAAATGAGTCGCTTCTTTTCAGATGAAACCTAAATTATTTGTATCTAGTTTTGTTTTCAGGAGCTGAAAGGTGATATATTTTATAGAGAAAAGTGAATATAATGTATGAGCACCCTCACTGTATGAATAAAACACTAATAGAGAACAACAGTGACTCTTTCTGTGGCTTTACCGTTAGCTTTCGTTAGCTTCGCTCGCTAAACCAGGGTGTGATTTTTACTGTGCAGTTAAGAGGAATCATGTCACATTAAATGTATTATTTCATAATGTCAACTATTAGTTGACGATAAAGATTTATATGTAATATAAAAAGTCACTTAAGCAGCTGTGAGATCACAAACAGAAAATGGTTTTGTGCAGAGATTTGAATATCATGAATAATAACATACTATACACTTAATATAGAATAGTACAACACTCCCAGGGGACGTTTTAATACTTTTACTTTACTGGACCCGGTCCGTGCCTTGTCCCATGGCCGTGCTGACAACTGCTGCTGCTATCATCAGCATTATTATTTTAAATATTAATCACATCATAAACCAACATTTCCCTTTCCTAAAGTCTTTGTGCTTCAGGTTTATCTTTATTGCTAATTCATCTCTAATTGGTTTGTCCTATAAATTGCTGATAAGAAAAGCAGTAAAAGAGACAACTGGTCACACGCGGATGCTAAATTGACTTACTGACTCCAGAAATGCGCCCCGCCGGTTGGCATGGCAACCCCAAACATTTCAGAAGTCAAAGAATGTGAGAAACAGCAGGGGGCGACTGATGCCTACGAATGAGGCAGGAAACACGCAGACACACACACACACACAGAAAAGATTTCAGTCTTGCAGGTTGTCATTAGCAACTGAGCAGTGACCTTTGTTTCCCAAAGATGCTGCGATATAACGAGTCAGATCGGAGTTACAGACAGCGAGGAAACAGAAATCCTGTAGTCATCATGGGGAGAAAATATCCTCAAAATAATGACTTAGTATGAAAATAAATGTCTTTATACCTCAAAATTATTTAGTACCACTAAATTAACTAAATTAACTGAACTATAACTAAATCAGCAATGTGATTGTTATTTAATTACTGCAGTTTTCCAGATAGAAGATGATTTAATATCAAGTCCTGCATCCTCTCTTAGCCCGAAGCTATTTAACATCTCAGATTATGATTTATTTTTAGATCCCACAGAGTTTTATTGGCAGTGTTTGCAGCGATGTCTTCATCCCGGCAGAGTGAAGTACACCCCTGGTGTTTGAATTATTACTCCACTTTCACTTGATTAATGTGGATTCCAAGTCATGTTCTCTGAAACGAGCTGTTATTGATGAGCAGGAGAAAGGGAGACACAAAGTGGAGCATTGAGGACTTTAAATAGACAGATCGTGACATGTTTTAACAAACAAAAGCATAAATAATTAAATTAGATTTCTATTGTTAATTACTTTTTATTCGAAACAATTATACTTCTAAGCTGATTTTTCTTTGCCAAAGACCTTAGATACCTGCCAAATCCTCAACAAAAGTTCTTGTAAATGTGAACCTTTTGTTTGCAGTAACATGATCTTCCACAGCTGATGTGAAGCACACATCTCGCCGCAGTTACCAAGCAACGCGACGGCATAGAGGCCGAGGGAGGAGAGAGGGAACATGTGTGGGAAGAGGAGAAGGATGCGTGAAAAATGAAGGAAGCAGGCGGTGCACAGCAATGTGCACGATGCTGATCGTGTTCACACAACACGGATCTTTGTCTCTTCCTTCCGGCTCGCAAGAGGAAACTCCCTCTAAATAAAACACTATTATTAGAATCATTATCTAAGTACCTTTAGTATAATAACGTATTACTCAACCTTATAATCAATATTTTTGTATTTAGTTTTTGCATTATTCTTATTCATATCATAAGCAGTAATATTTTTACTTGTAATTATTTTGCTCTTTTATTATCATTATTTGTTGATGTTGAATATAATTATTACAATTATGTTAACATTTTCTATATTATTATATTATCATTTATTTTACCTCTCATAGTTGACATTGTTATTTCCTTATTATGATCTTTATTATGACCTATTTGGTCCTATTATTGTTATCATTATTGTTTTTATCATAATTACTGTTCTCATTACTATGTGTTGACTGAACGCATCAATGTTATTTATTTATATATTTCTCTCTCCTTCACCATACCTGCTTATTCAGTCACCTTTTGCTCTATGAAGCTTACGGTCGTCATGGTAACTGTCCCCCAACGGCTGACGGGAGGTCGCCTCGTGGCCCGGCTGTTGGACGGAGTGACTCAAACAGAACCTGCTCCAGATGTGAGGCTTCTGATCAACAGTAGCAACGAGCTGCACGGTGACCAACCTGCACGGCGACCAACCTGCACGCCGACCAACATGCACGGTGACCAACATGCACGGCGGCCAACATGCACTGTGACCAACATGCACGGCGACCAACATGCACTGTGACCAACATGCACTGTGACCAACATGCACGGCGACCAACATGCACGGCGACCAACATGCACGGCGACCAACATGCACGGTGACCAACATGCACGGCGACCAACCTGCACGGTGACCAACCTTCACGGCGGCCAACATGCACTGTGACCAACATGCACGCCGACCAACATGCACGCCGACCAACATGCACTGTGACCAACCTGCACGCCGACCAACCTGCACGCCGACCAACATGCACGCCGACCAACATGCACGCCGACCAACATGCACTGTGACCAACCTGCACGGCGACCAACCTGCACGCCGACCAACCTGCACGCCGACCAACATGCACTGTGACCAACCTGCACGCCGACCAACATGCACGCCGACCAACCTGCACGCGACCAACATGCACGCGACCAACCTGCACGCGACCAACCTGCACGCGACCAACATGCAGGACATGCAGGATCAGGACTGTGTCAATACATGTTTGTGACGATAATATTGTGCTATAATAATAATTAATTAAATTAAATTAATAAAGATAATATTCATCAGTAAGAAAAGTCTCCTGATTACGTGTCACTTCACTTATGAGTTATTAAGACTTTACTGGGATATTTTCTTTCTTTCTCCAAAAACAACTGACCAAATGTACAATAAATGCTGCACTTGATCATCTGCGTGATAAGATGACTGCGTCTGTGCTGCGGAGGAGCTGAAGCCTCCCTTCACTCCGGTTCTTCTGTATGCATCTATTTAGAGTTTCCTCCTCGTTAAGTCGTCATAATCCTTCCAGAGGAGCGTCTGCAGCGGAGGAACCAATGAACAGACTGTGTCATCTCTCGGCATCGAGCACCTTAATCCCATCATCCTCCTCCCCCCCCCCCCCTCCGGAACCTCTCTGTCTGCTGTTGTTGTGGTCTCGTCCTCTGATTTACACTTTACCCCAGCAACACATCTGTCCATCTTGGCACATCGCAACCTTATAAATCTTCTTTTACCGGTGTGTGTGTCTGTGTGTCACCTGATAATTAAGCCCCCCCTGTTCCTGCGCTCCCCAGTTTGGTGAAACCCTGAACTAGTATTTGTTATCACAATACAAAGACCTGTCAATCACAGTGTAACCCCGCCCTAAAACATCCCCTGCTTTATGCAGTGGGGCCGAGTGCGAAGGTGCCACGTTCCCATCATCCTATTGGCAGGTCACATGATCTGTCGCCACCTTCCTGTGATATGATCGACAGGTCACATGATCTGTCACCACCTTCCTGTGATATGGGGGGTCGTTGTGGCGCAGGGGTTAGAGAAGGTGTGCTGGGAAGCACAACGTTGTTGGTTCGAGTCCAGGCTGCCCCATGTTCCATGTTGAAGTGTCCCTGAGCAAGACACCTAACCCCTGATTGCTCCCCCGGGCAAAATGTGAAGCCATGGGTTTAAAGTGAAATGTAAGTCGCTTTGGATAAAAGCGTCTGCTAAATGACCTGTAATGTAATGTAATGTAATATGATCGACAGGTCGCTAAATCTGGAGGCACCTCCCTCTAAAATTATAGGACCATGCCGATAATCAGAGAGGCGCAGCAACACTAAAACAGCAGTGGAATATATGTTTTGAAATAAATAAATCGAACCCAGTGACGGCTGGCAGTCGAGCAAACGGTTTGGCCGGACCGGGGCGGGGGGGTAGTAGTCAGTCTGCCGGTGCTCTCTGTCCGCTGGTCCGACCACACCGCCACCGCAAACTACCACCGACCACCGCAAACTACCACCGACCACACCGCAAACTACCACCAACCACCGCAAATTACCACCGACCACACCGCAAACTACCACCGACCACCGCAAACTACCACCGACCACCGCAAACTACCACCAACAACGCAAACTACCACCGACCACACCGCAAACTACCACCGACCACCCCAAACTACCACCGACCACCGCAAACTACCACCGACCACACCGCATACTACCACCGACCACCCCAAACTACCACCGACCACCGCAAACTACCACCGACCACACCCCAAACTACCACCGACCACCGCAAACTACCACCGACCACCGCAAACTACCACCGACCACACCGCATACTACCACCGACCACCCCAAACTACCACCGACCACCGCATACTACCACCGACCACCCCAAACTACCACCGACCACCGCAAACTACCACCGACCACACCGCAAACTACCACCGACCACCGCAAACTACCACCGACCACCCCAAACTACCACCGACCACCCCAAACTACCACCAACCACCGCAAACTACCACCGCCGTTCTGACAAGGAACCTTCTGCCGACCACTTTTCGCACTCGGTTTATGGTCTGTTTGACTCTGAATGGACCATAATTTAGTAAATGAACATCATGTTGTATTGAATAAGACTTGAAACTAGAGATCGAGACCAACAATGTTTACTGAGGGAATAAGTAGAGTCATTGTCTCATAGACGTCTATGGGACCAGAGGAGTCGCCCCCTGCTGGTCAGGAGAGAGAATGCAGCGTTAACACATTAAGCTTTGGCCTCATTTTAAAGAGGTGGAGGTTGCCGCCGGGTGTAGACGGGCATAATACGAAGACACAGATGGAATAAAACCGCTTACCTGTAAGCAGGTGTTTGGCTCACGGAGATCAGACCACAACTTAACAAAGTGTTAAAACAAGAGAATTGGGGTCTAAAACAAAGGGAAGTCTCCTTGGGGAGGAAGCCGGTCACTTGAATGTGCCTGGGGGGGGAGAGGGGGGAGTGGGCGAGAGAAGCATCCGATGAAGCCAGGGGTGCGTTGGTCATGGAGCATGAGGTAAGTCCCTCTGCACCCCCCCCCCCCCCTTTGTCCCTCACGGAGGCCCAGTTGGTTTAGTGGTTAAGCTTCCCCCCCGGACACACACACGATGAACAGATAGAGCGGTTAGAACGGGGCGGGGGGGTTATGACAGTCGTCAGACACATGAGTGCGTATTGAAAGCATGTATGGATACATCTGTGTTTTGGTTGAGTAAATATGTACAGTATCTACATATATGTATATGGTATATTTATTTGACCTTCCTATTGTATATGTTTTATTCGTCTTCGTACTTACGCTGCTGAATAAAGGAATATGTCTCTAACCAGCGAGACGGATCTTCCTCGCTCTCATTCTGCTCTGTGAGATTCCATCTCACGGAGCAGAATGAAGTGCCGTTATTATGTGGCAGGGAGTAATTATCCTAAAGCACCGACATTTAGCTTCCATCATGGGTTCGGACCCTCAAGCACAAGAAAGAAGCATTTCTTCAGCAATGGCAACGAGGTAAAAATACAAAAAACGTACAAACTAGCAGCCTAGATGTCCTGAGACAGCAGACGTAATAGTAACGTAGCAGAGTGGCACGCTGCTGGAGACCCACAATGCATTGCTGGACCCGCTAGAGGGAAGGGAGGCCCGAGAGAACCAAAACCAGGATATATATATATATATATATATATAAGAATATGTGAAAAAGTCCGAATTTGGTCAAATAATGTCGTGGAAAAGAAAGTAACCCAATATTAGATTGAAAAATGTCATGAATAAAAAACCTTAAACAATAATATTTAAAAAAATGTTTTGAAAAAAATCTAAATATGTCCAGTGGGATAATGTCATGGAAAAAAAGTATTTGCGTCAACATTGATGGATAATTCTTTATTTCCTTGTTTTAACAAATTAAATGTGACTCTCTGAAACTCTGCATGTGTTGAAATACGTCTACAGCACACATCTTAACGCGATTAATGCAAAGTGCTTTGTGTGGACACAATGAATTCTATATGTATAAAGCACCTATAAACATCTGGATGTGGTTTCCTGTGTGTTGGTGCAAATAATTCCTGAAGGGTTCTAAACTCTCAGGTTACCGTCATTGTGACATCGTCATCACGTACGACCTCCTGACCTTTGGCGGCTTTGTGAGTTTAGGGTACAAAGTGATCAATGATGCGACTCCTCCCCCCTCGCTCAGCTAACAGGAAGGGGGTTGCCCTTCACAATAAGAGCATCACTACTTTTTTGGGACTCCGTGCCAAGTTGTATAAAAAAAGTTTTCAAGATTAAATTATAGCTTGAAAATACGTCAGTGTGTTTAACTGTTGTTGAGAGACAGAGGGGGGGGGGGGGGGGTGACACAGGGATTTTCACCAAAAGGGAAAAAAAAAAAGGGGGCAATGGCCCCCCTTGAAAGAACGCACAAACACACCCACACACCCGGGTCACTCCTAACAGGTGAGTGCGGCCGCTCAGTTGAGTATTTGTGGGGGGGTGTGGGTGTGGGGACAAAAATGAGGAGGAAAACTTCATCTCTATGACCCACGGTAAGAATCTCCTCTGTAGAAGCCTTACTTCACCTTCTCGTCTGTGTGTGTGCGTGTGTGTGTTGCTGTCGGGGTTATTTGAGTGTTTTTTGCTCTGGTCCAAACCCGCACCGAGGCCTCCACCGGAGCGCCGAGGCTCCCGGCCCGTTCCGAGCGGGGAGGGGGGTCCATGGGGGGGCTGATGAGCCGAGGCTTTCATAGGAGAAGTTCCCCTCTGAGGGTTCTGACGCGGTGCAGACGTTCACCGGGAAGCTTCTGGAGTCCCACATCCGATCATTTCTGTCAGAATTGTGGCGCTGCGGCCGGTTTCGTGTCCGGGAGGCGGATCCTTCTGGAAGTTTTATATCCGCTGTGTGTGAGATGGAATCTCTGCTGCATCGAGGTGAAGCATTTTATTTAGACCTCCAGAACTAAAAGAGTCTGAGAGAGAACTTCAGAAGGTGTGCGTTTACAAAGGCCTTAAAGTGTGTGCATAATGTGTGTGTGTGTGTGGGGGGGGGGGGGCAGATTCGTTGTAATATAACTCACTCCGTCTAACTTCACGATGAACACGGCCTGTTTACTTCATCTACTGAGTTGTATTTTAAATATAATAACTCATCCAACATGATCTTAATCAACAAATGTTATTGATGAAAAACATGGCAACCCCTTTCTGATAAAGCTTAATTATGCAATTAATGGCTTTATTAATGCTTCATAGATCCTTTGCTTTTCCTTCAGCTCGCTCTGTAGGTCAGTAACATTTTTATTGAAACCTAATTAAACTAAAGAGTTTAATGAACCAGCAAATTGCATCAGTCAATTAGAACATCTTAATACATGATATATTATCATATGTATATGGAATATTACAGTTCTCATGTTACATATGCTGCAGGCCCCACGGGGACTCGGGTGGATTTAGGATTTATTTATGAAGCTCAAGGAGGATTTCCCCTCTAATCAACGGCTTGGATCCATAAAGCATTAGTGACTGATTAAGGGGAATTAAACACATCACATGCATGCTGGTAGCATGACCCACCCGACTGCCTGGGGTTACGTTGCATTGTGGGTAATGTAATGCTAAATGGTTAAAATACTCTTTTGTTTACAGCGTATAAACCCTTTATGAAGGTCAGAGGTGAAACAACAGAAGCTTCATATTAACGTTTGGTCGGCGTCCCTCGTCCGTCTGTCTTTATTCCTCAGGACCAGAGAACCAGAGAAAAGGACGCGGAGGAAACTTCCTGCGCCGAGGCCGACGTCTCGACCACGATCCGACTCACGGGAAGAAGCTCCAACCAGCGGAGACGCCATGTCCTCGCCCCCCCTCCCCATGCCCTCCCTGCCCCCCAGCCCGCTCGCCATGGAGTACCTCAACGACTTTGACCTCCTGAAGTTCGAGGTGAAACCGGACACTCCGCCGTGCGTCTACCCCAAGTCCGACCTCGCCCGCGACCCCTCCAGCTCGCCGTACACCGGCCGCCCCCCGCCAGACTCCAGCCTGAACTCCAGCCCCTACGACTCGCTGCCGCCCTCGCCCACCCTCAGCGACGCCCACCCGCCGCCCTCGAGCTCCTCCTCGTCCTCCTCCGTCTCCTTCCCGCTCTCCATCTCCAACAGCTTCACCTCGGGCATCAGCTCCGGCTCCCAGGGCCACGCGGAGGGCAGCCCGGCCCACGCCGGGCCCCCGGGCGCCGGCCCGCCCTCGCTGGAGGACCTCATCTGGCTGGCGGCGCTGCAGCAGCAGTTTGGTGGCGAGGTGGCGGGGCCCGCTAACTTGCTGGGGGCCCTGGGGGGAGGGCCGGAGCGGGGGGGGGACAGGGAGAGGGGGCCGGTCAACGGATTCATGGGCTGCGAGGACGCCGTGGAGGCGCTGCTCAACTCGGCCGCGGCAGCCGTCAGCTCGCAGGTAAGACGAGCATTTCTTCACCTTCTCACAGAACGCATCTTCTCCACGCCGCCGCCTCCTCTTCATCACCCCCCGCCCCCCCCCCCCCCCTCGATAGTTCCCAGGTCTTTCCCAGAGTTCGAGCAGCAACCTGGGAGACTCCAGCAGCGACAGCGGCGCCGACATCTCCTGCCCCAAAGGGACGGACATGTGCCACCGCCCGCTTGTCTTCCTCCCGTCCGGCGCTCCGAACGCCGGCGCCTCCGCCGGTTACCCACAATCCCTCAGCCCCCAGGGACGCCTTCATCACCACCAGCATCACCATCACCATCCGCACCATCCCATGCATGGCAGCCATCACCACCACCACCACCCACAAATCAATCAGGTACGTGATGAAACCACGTTCATCAGTTTGTGGAGGTGAACGAATGTAACGGGCCGTGTGTTAATGTGCCGTGTCCATCTGAAGCGTCGCTTGGGGGATCTCATTTATCACTCAGAAGTGATTATTTATTAAACGTTATTGTACTTTAGTCTCACAGCGAGCGTCTTTGGACCTGATCTGACTCGTGGTCGAGGTTCTGGTCCATGTGGAGCACAGCGTGAGCTCATTACCATAATATCTGCTATTATTGCTGTGTGTAATCCTGATAACTGTCACTCATGCGTAGTCCGATTACACGGATTATGGACATGTGGTGTCCAAACACATCACAGCACTGTCCACCCGCCATGTCCACCTGGGCGGAGGGACAGTGCGTCCCGTTGCCTCTGATTAAAGGAACAGAGCATCTCCCCCCACCAGAAGCCCCCCGGAGGGTTTATTAGTCCCCCCCCCATCACATCCACCCCCCCACGTTGACACCGTGTTGCTCCTCCGTCTGCTCGGCAGTGCGGGGGGAACGACCGCTTCTCCGACGAGCAGCTGGTGAGCCTGTCGGTCCGGGAGCTCAACCGACACCTGCGCGGCGTCAGCAAGGACGAGGTCGTGCGCCTGAAGCAGAAGCGCCGCACGCTGAAGAACCGCGGCTACGCGCAGTCCTGCCGCTACAAGCGCCTGCAGCACCGCCACGCTCTGGAGTCGGAGAAACACGTGCTCACGCAACAGGTAGCCCCCCCCCCCTCCCCCACCCCGACTCACCTGGAAGTGGTCTCCATGAAGCACACGTGAACACCCATCGAACCCTTTTACCCCCCCCCCCCCCCCCCCTGTCCTCCACAGCTGGATCAGCTGCAGTGTGAGCTGACTCGAGTGCTGAGGGAGAGGGACGCCTACAAGGCGCGCTACGAGAAGCTCCTCGCCACCAACCACGGAGACGCCCCGCCGCCGCCGCCGCCCCCCCGCTCCGGCAACCCACCTTCCCCGCCCCCCGACTACTTCCTCTGAGCTCAACCCACGGAGGGGTGGGGGGGGTGCCGGGGGTGCCGGGGGGATGAGTAATCGGACCTGGGGAGGACAAACAGGGACGGGTGTATGAGAGAGACACATAGCGAGAGACAGAGAGGGACACAACTGTGGAATCCGCTCCTGAGTGATGGAGGGGGGACGCGACTGGGGGCTTTTTGCTTCCCTGTGACGGACACTCGCAGAGACAAGAGGAAGCTTTATCTTTAAACTGGGCCGCTGGTCCCTGAGTAGTTGTAGGAGCGCGGCCCTGCTGCCGTTTGGGTTCGATTCCCACAGAGAGCTGAAGCTGCCGTTTGGGTTCGATTCCCACAGAGAGCTGAAGCTGCCGTTTGGGTTCGATTCCCACAGAGAGCTGAAGCTGCCGTTTGGGTTCGTTTCCCACAGAGAGCTGAAGCTGCCGTTTGGGTTCGTTTCCCACAGAGAGCTGAAGCTGCCGTTTGGGTTCGATTCCCACGGAGAGCTGAAGCTGCCGTTTGGGTTCGATTCCCACAGAGAGCTGAAGCTGCCGTTTGGGTTCGATTCCCACAGAGAGCTGAAGCTGCCGTTTGGGTTCGTTTCCCACAGAGAGCTGAAGCTGCCGTTTGGGTTCGATTCCCACGGAGAGCTGAAGCTGCCGTTTGGGTTCGATTCCCACGGAGAGCTGAAGCTGCCGTTTGGGTTCGATTCCCACAGAGAGCTGAAGCTGCCGTTTGGGTTCGATTCCCACAGAGAGCTGAAGCTGCCGTTTGGGTTCGATTCCCACAGAGAGCTGAAGCTGCCGTTTGGGTTTGATTCCCACAGACAGCTGAAGCTGCCGTGACGGATCCACGCCATGCGCTTGGTTTGCCGGCTAATGTTTCACAGTTGCCTACTAAAGTGTTTGAAGCTCACCGAGACCAAAAAGTGATTCTTTGTAAATTGAATGATTCTGGATTGAAGAATGTACGGGGGGGGTGTTGGGGGGGAGGCTCATTGGAGACGTTTCTAAGCTTCCGTTTGCTCTTCTTTGGCTGCTCACGCTGGAGTGGAGGAGAGGGAAGGAGCGTGGATTCGCGTGCTTGTGTCTGCTTCTCCGGAAGCAGTTTTTTGGGGGGAACACCTCCATAACTCAGACGACCACCGTGCTGATGAAACATTGGCGGCACCACAGAGCTGGTCACCGTGGACTCTGGGAACGCAACAGACGATTTAACGGTGCAGGGATTTAAAAAAGATAAATGACATAAATCTCCTTCTTAACTGTCCCATAAAATCAAATCAAATGCATTAGAGCTATTTATTTTGTTTGGGTGTAGGTTAAAAACATTGTTCTTTTATTTATTCACTTATTTATTCAGTATTTATTGTTTATTTATGTACTGATTGTGATTATTTTTCCAGTTACTGGTTTTATTTTAGCGTGTATTTTTTAACTTTTCCTACAGTTCATTGCTTTATTCCACCTGTGGTTAGAATGAACATAATTGCGGACGCCAGGTGGGCGTTGCCACAGCTTTCCTGTTGTAGTGCGGTTCCACATGCAGATGAAATAAAACAAGTACTCCTCCATCGCCGTCACATCCACGTGGATTTTTTTTTTAACCATTCGTCTCTTTTTCGCGTTCACCTATCTGATCATCTGCATCCTTTTTCCCCTGCAGCCCCCCCCCCCCCCGCTCCATCCCCTCTCTTTATCTCCGTGCCTCTATAGAGAAGCAGTGACCCTGGGTGTGCACTGTTTGGGATGACCTCATCTTCAGCTCGCCCTCGCCTCTCTCTCTGTGGCCTGTATAATAGGAGCAGGATTAGGGCTATAATAGCGGCCCGGCTGTTCACTGCCGGGCTCCATTGTGGCTTTGTGTGGGAGGGGCGCGTCGCGGCTCGCGGACACGCTCGCACTTTGACAGATAACATGTTCGACTGCGCTCCTTGGATCAGGGGGTCGGCCGGTTGGATATGACTTGATTTCCAAACAGTTCTAAAGAGCCGCTTTGGTGAATTAGAGCGTTCGTCATGCCTCCGCCTGTCAGAGGGGGACCCAGTGAGCCATTTGAACATACACAACGCTCCCCGAGCGACACACAGACACGCACAGACACACAAAGCCAATTAGAGGAAGACCTGTGTGTTGCTGCCCCCCAGTGGCCACCTTGCTTGCTGCTTCCTCCTGCTTCCAAGAGGTCAATGCTGAGAGCTTCGTGAGCATCTCTCTCCTCACTCCCTTCATGCAGCGCCGAGCTGCTGCACCAGCACACCTTTCAGCAGCGCCCCCCCCCCACCCTACAGCACCCACCCCCCTCAGCTCACCCCGCGGAGCGCTCGCAGGTGAGTCACCGTGCCGGTAGGAGGGTGGAGATGAATGACGGTGCCAAGTACGGACCTGGACCCCGGACCTGAGGACACAGTGAGGTAGAGAGAGGTAGAGAGAGTAAAGAGAGAGAGACGGAGAGAGAGAGATAGACAGATAGATAAATAGAGAGAGGTAAAGAGAGAGAGGGAGAGAGAGAGAGAGATAGACAGATAGAAAAATAGAGAGAGGTAAAGAGAGAGAGGGAGAGAGAGAGAGAGAGAGAGATAGACAGATAGATAAATAGAAAGAGAGGTAGATAAATAGAGAGAGGGAGAGAGGGAGAGAGAGAGGGAGAGAGAGAGAGGGAGAGAGAGAGATAGACAGATAGATAAATAGAAAGAGAGGTAGATAAATAGAGAGAGGGGGGGAGAGAGACACAGATAGGTAAATAGAGAGAGAGAGGTAAAGAGGGAGAGAGAGAGGTAGGAACATCAGTTGAGGGAGAGAAAGACAAAGAAAGAGAGCGCGCTCTGCGGGGAGCCGCGTGACAGGTGAGAGATCATCCCGGGATTGGTTGTGATTTTTTTGGGGGGGGGGCTTATTCCCGGTCCCTTGGTTTCAGTTTGCAGATGCCGACAGATGTGCCCGAGGACAAGCTCAACCACGAGGAGAAGGCGACCAAGGTGAGATGCTGAGAGCATCGGGTGTTCAATTAATCGATGGTTTGATATCTTCTGATTAGCATGTTGATGGCGTGTGTGTGTGTGTGTGTGTGTGATCAGGGAGTGGTAGTGTGTGTAGGTGTGTGTTCAAGTAACGTTAGGTGGTGCAGCAGGAAAGTGATGTCTTGCATTTGAGTTTCTCGTTTTAATCACTAACGTTAAACCCAACTTTTGGCTACTTATTTTAGTTTACTTTCTTATTGAAACGCCATTAAAACGCCTTCATTGTGTTATTTTATCTTATTTTCTATCCTTTGTAACGTGAAAAGTGAAGTAGGTGATAACCCACACAGAGGCATCACGTGACCGTAGTCCCCCCCTCCCGGATGCTAGCTGAAGGCAGCTAAGCGGAGCTAACTACGTTTAAGCTAACGGCTGCTAACGGTAGAAGAAGGAAGCAGAACGTTCGGCGGTTAATTCGCCGTTATTCCCCCATCGGGAGATGGTGGAGACTAAAAGGGAGCGAGCATAGGGAGTGAATATGTGGTTTACCTTTATCTGCTGGACCTGACCACGACTCCAAAACGAATGCTAATGTCGCCACACTTCTGTGTAATATTAAGTATTAACTGTTTGCTAGCAAAGTTCACCAAATGAGCTAAAACAAAGGAAATGTTTGGGAGGTAAAGCGCGTTACAAAACTCTCGCGAGAGTCACTGGTTGATGACACGCAATCATCTCGCGAGAGTTTCACGTCAACCAATAAATACTAAGCCATGGGAGAAGGGAAGACTAAGGTCGTTTTATGTCCATAAGTCTGGATTGAACCCAGATGATTTATTTTGGATTGGCTACAGAATGCCTGTGTTTACGGCCAAACGGGCGCTGTGAAGTTTGTAAGATTGGAGAGATTTAAAAGTTATATTGAGAATCTGCAGACTAACCCGGAAGTTAGCGTCACACTGGTTCGATTGACAAGCAACCGGTGGATTTTGAATTTCTGTCGTTCCGTTTAGCCACTTGTTAACAAACCACTGACTCAATCCACGTGGTGTAACAAAGGTCTGCATCGAGTTCTAACCCTTCAATGGGAATCTCAGGATCCATCGATTCAGAAGGTTGAAGGCAGCTTATCTGGGCCTCCGTAGCATTATGAAGTAAATATCTAAGTGCTATTAAAGATTATTTATCATTTAACAATGACATAATAAATAAATCAGTTCAAATGAATCATTTGCATCACAAAAGAAACCTTCAGCAGTCTAATGTCCATGTTGATTTTGAGTTGGCTGGTCCCCTGTCCTGCAGTGCGACAGCATGACTCTGTCCAGCGCCCCGGCTGTGCGCAGAGGAAGCACCCCTCTGCCCATCAAGCACCAGCTCAGGCGGGAGGAAGCCGTCCACGATGACGGCGATTGGACTTCGGGGGCGGCCGGCCCTTCCGCCGCGGCCGGCGGCTTCAGCCCGGCGCTGGGCGAATACCCGACCCTGGCGGCGGAGGGCCGGCCCGACGGGCCTCTGAGGATCGCCCTGCTGGGGCAGAACGGCGTGGGGAAGTCCTCTCTGGCCGTGGCCCTCGGCGGGGACATGGACAGGACGGCGTCCGTGGATTCCGAAGGTGAGGCGGCTGCCTGCGGGCGACCGGACCGACGCAGGTGACGAATGACGTCTCAGGTGAGCCCTAACCGCTGCTCCCCCTGTCCTCAGGGGAGGGTTACGTACGCACGGTCACCGTGGACGACGAGGACAGCACCATCATTATCTTTGACAACTGGAGACAGGTGAGCTTCCTCATTAGGCCTCGGAGACTTCTCTGCAGCGCTGTACCGCCCGTCGGCATGTTCATCCGTTCTAAAATACATTGGGACTTAATCGTATCCCAGCATGCACTTGAACAGGCTAAAATCTTGCATAACAATTAAAAGAGGTGAAATATGAATGAGATGAGGTCCTTAATAGGGCTGTAATAAGATAATAATGTGTTGGGAAAGACAACTGAAGTATTCAGTCTGCGCCATCTATCTTATTAAATGCATGAGATGTGCTCGCTATCGCACAGTCGCTTTGTTTGTTCTTGTTTGCTCCATCTGGTCCAAGGAGGGAAAGCTCATTATCAGGTTGTTTATCACACTTTTCTCTTCTTTCCCCTCGAGGGCAGCTCAATGCCATCGGAGAGACAGAGAGATTTTATTTTTAGGGTTTGAATCTTTCGTCCCACATTTAAAGCGTATGTTTTACGTGCGTAAAAATGTTTGTTTGACGTCTTCAGGTTGAACAGTTTGATAAAAACTAATTGTTTAGTGACATGTGAGAGTAGAATCGGTATTTAGCGTGATATTTTTCAGTGTTATGACAAAGGAAAATGTTCTCTCTTCAGGGGGTTCAGAAATAGATGAGCATTAGCATTAGCATTTAGCACTCACGAGGCCAATGTGTGACGCTTGTATGTGCCCCACCCCCACCCCCGCAAACCCCTCAGGACCTCTCGGCTCTGCAGTGCGAGGTCGGCGTTTTGGTGTTTTCGGTGACCGACCGGCGGAGCTTCCACCGAACGGCTCAGCTGAGGCTCCTCCTGAGGGAGACTCAGCCCCAAACACCCATAATCCTCGTGGGCAACAAGAGCGACCTGGTCCGAACGCGCGAGGTCACCGCTCAAGGTCAGAAAAGCTTCCAACGTGCCGCTTTTTAATCCCGATGACGTCGCTCTGAAGTCATCGGGAGACACGAGACGCAAATGTCCCCGAGAATAAAAACGACATTTTCAGCGTCGTAGCACGAAAGCTAAATGTTAGCTAACGAAACGAAATCAATTGACTCACATTAGCACGTGTGAAAATACCACCCGATGTGTTTTCATCGCCTATGCACATTGTGTTCACGACACTTCTAAATGAGGGGGCGGGGGGAGGGTCCATGACCACGCCCACTTAGCAGACAGGAAGTTGATGCCATAGATTTCAAATAAGAGGCGGAGCTTGTATTGCATCTTTCATATCTCATATTTTCACAGTCGAGGATTTCATTCATTCAATACAGTTATGCAAATAAAATTATGTTTATGCTAATTATTCAGTGTTGGGCATAACTCCTCCCCTCTGCCCCCCCCCCCCCTCCCTCCCCACCCACAGAAGCCATGTCCAGCGCCGCCCTTTTCAAATGTCTGTATCTGGAGATCTCGGCCTCCCTGGACCACCGCACTCCGGAGCTCCTGGAGTGCGCGGTGCGGCTGGCCAGGGGTCAGTCCCCGTGGCCCCCGGGGTCCAGCGCTGAAGACATGAGCGGCGGGGGGGGGCAGCGGGGGAGCATCACTTCCCGCGCCAAGCGCTTCCTGTCCAGCCTGGTGCCTCGGTACCCGCGGGAGCGAGAGGGCCGGTTCCTGAGGCAGAAGTCCCGCTCGTGCCACGACCTGGGGGCGCTGTGATCGCCGCGTGGGGGGGTCACAACCCGAGGTACACGGAGAGACGGTGGAGAAGGAGTGTCCATCCATCACGAGACGATGCAGCCAAGATGCTGCTGCTGAAGACATGTAAATAAACTCGAGCACTGACCCATAGCGACGTGTAGATCAGTGAATAAATCACTTTTTTGGAGTCCTGAGAAAGTCTCAGCACATTTTCTTTTTTCCTCTCATCGCTGCATGATCTCATTTCACACTTCAGCTCGGGGTGAAGCCGCGACCACACGCGCACACTCAGGAACTCATTAGTGGGTTAAGAGGCTTTTCTGCTGATGAGTCACGATGCGTTCATTTACGCGTCCGGCGAGGAGTGCTGGAGTGAATCTGGGGGGGATTTAAAGTGTATTTGTGGAGCACAGAGGAAAAATAGGTTATTGTATATGGAGTGACGGTTGCTATGCAACGGTTGTCAGGGAGACAGTAATGTCAGCGCTGTAATGCTGCACACAGATGGATTCTCCCGCAGTCCTTTTTCAAACGTTCATCATTCAGCTCCAAATGAAAAGCACTTCCATCCTCCCACTTCTTCCTCCCACACGGGAACAAAGACTTCTCACATCCAGGTCGTCGTACCCTCATCATTCGTGATCAAAAGGGAGCGCTGTGTGACAATGGAAGTTGAATAAAAAGGAAAGTGGCGGAATGATCGTGTGACTCATCGCCGCTCGGCTGCAAACTCCTGGAACCGATTGAAAGGTTAAGATGAGTCGTTGGAGGCGAGCAGCAGGGGGGCCGGGGCCCTCGCAGCCGAGAGGAAGCGCAGCTTATTAAGTCCAGTTAGGAACGATACCAGAGGGAAGAGCTGACAGTTGACAGTCTGAATTATAATTATCTATAAAACAGAGTCTACAAACTAAATCGGACCCTTGGAGGTCCAGTAAATATACGATCATCACCTTAATTCCATTTTTTTCAGTGGAGCTTTTCCAGTAAAAAACAAAAACAATATTCCACAGAATTGTAGTCAATTACTTTACCGCAAATTAAAAGTTTAATTCGTTGTGTCGGGGAATTCGGTACATTTTATTCGTTGGATCAAAAAGCCTCTGGTCATGTGTGGCTTCGGTTTCTAGACAGATATCCTCTTTTCACAACCAGCTGTGGAGTCAAAAGGAATCAATCTCTCAGAAATAAGTGAATATACCAAAAGGTTTATTGCTTTAGAAATGGATTTATTTGCAAAAGTTAGTGAGCAGACATAGACATCAGATTTAGTTTCCCATTAAGCCCGACGGCGAGTCACAGATTGGTACGTTTTCCTGCTGCGACATGTCAAATATCTGCCGGGAAAAAAGTTCAATGGGACAAAACCGACCACAGAAGCACTGAACTAGTTCTAATGGAAGGATTTCTGTGGCAGAAAGGCGAGACAGAAAGGGGGCGGAGCCCCGAGCGAGGGCCGCCTCAGAGGCTGCAGGCCTGCAGCTTCTGGTCGGCCAGCTTCAGGGCCACCCAGGTGTTGAGCATGGAGGCCCTCAGCCTGCACCACACCAGGTGGTCGGTGAGCCCGAAGATCTGAGCCGCGAACTGGGCGGCGGCATCGGGGGAGAGGACGGTGGAGCAGCCCAGACCTAGACCACAAGGGTGGGGGGGCAGTTAGTGCATGCACACATACACACACACACACACACATGTTCTGTGGAGCAGCAGGTGATGAAAGATGGACTCTGATCAGTGAAACATTACCACTCGGCATGCGCAGGGAGGACCAGACGTCCTGCGCCCCCCAGTCCGGAGTGAGGGGCGGGCAGTTGATGACGGGATACGCCGTGTTCCCGGACATCACCGGGCCGAGCCCGTTGCTTCTGCCGGCCACCGCCACAAACACGGTGGGCACGCCGTCGCCTGGGGAGAGAGCGGGTGTCACATCCCCGTGTCCTCACGTCGTCCCCTCGGCCCTCGAGTCCCAATGTCCCCACTTGTACCTTCATATTCGGCTTTGATGCGCAGCGTCTCGTCGGGACCCTTGTGTGCCGAGGTGACCCTCAGGATGCAGCGGACCCCGTAGGAGGTGCAGGCCTTCCTGATCTTCTCACAGTGAGCCAGGTCCGAGGTGGAGCCCATCAGAACCACCACCCTGCCGCCGGCCCGCGGCTCCAGCAGCAGCTAGAGACAAGATGCTAGGACTCGTTAGCTAAATGCAAGTGCACGTATAAAAGCTAACCCTACTCGCTAACGTCAGCGCCAAAGCTTTTTATCTACATAGAAACCAAGAACAACGAGATGTGGAACTTTAGTTAAAGCTGCATTCTCTCTCCTGACCAGCAGGGGGCGACTCCTCCGGTTCCATAGAAGTCTATGAGAAAATGACTCCTTGTCTCTTGATTTATTCCCTCAGTAAACATGAGTTAATGTTCTCAGTCTCTGGTTAAGTCTTCTTCAATACAGCATGATGCTCATTTAGTGAATGATGGTCCATTTCACAGCATGTTTTCCATCACTAGTGATAATTATATATATGTATAATTATGGCAACATTTTACATATTTACCTCCAAAGCCGCTGCAGCAGCCTGAACATGAAGATGTGAAACCAGAGGTGGAGACTGGGCGGAGCTACGCTATGATTGGCCAGTCTGCGTGGGTTCAGTATGGAAAGTATAAAACTGATGGCTTTAAGTTCAAGACCAAAGTTCAGTTTCTCCATTCAAGACTTTAAGGTAAGTTGGTAGAAACACAAAGAGCTCCAGCACCTTTAAGAAGAAGATCAAACGGAGCTCAGATAATAGTTAACGATGAATTGTGTTAAAACTTGATAAAAATTCAGGTCCAGCGTACCTTGACCCTCTCAGAGACCCACTCAAAGTTCCTCTTCACCATCTGCATGGCCTCGGGGGTCACTTCTTTCAGGTCGCGGTACACCTACAGCAGAGGGAGGTGTTATCTCCGCTTTATAGATTCTTAATTCAGCAGAAGAATCTATATTATTTGCAAGTCCCGACCTGCTTATCTTTCTGCTGACTCCGGTCGCCGGCCGGCCACAGACGCCACGAATCGTTGTCGATCACGTCGGCGAGGACGATCTCCTGGGTCTTCACGTTCACCCCAAACTCGATCTACAGAGCAGGGCCGGGGGGGGGGGTCTGAATTTTAAAAAAAGCAGTCGAGCAGAAGAAAAGCTCGAGTCGACCAGCAGAGGGCGCCGTCTTACCTTCATGTCCACCAGCGTGCAGTCCTGAGTGGCCCAGGACTTCTCCAGGATCTCAAAGATGGCCACGGTGCTGCGGCTCATCACGTCCACCTCGCACTGGCCGATGGCGAGCCCGGCCGGGGAGAACTTGGCCTCCAGCAGCTGCTCCTCGGACCACTGGGGGTCGTTGTTGGCGTCGTCCTGTCGGAGGGCAGCGGACACTTTGAAGCACGTCGCAGCGCCCGATGGGAACGTTTGGGGGGGGGGGGGGGGGGGGGGGGCCCAGGGGGCCCAAAAAGGTGCTAAAAGGGGTCCCCCCCCCCCTTAAAAAACTTTCCCGCTTTCGGGGGGAGAAACGGGAGCCTTTCTTGACCCCCGGATTTCTCTTGAGGAAGGACCCCCTCCCCCCTCTGCGGCAGACCCACTCGATGGGAATCATCTCGCAGTGGGTGGCGATGAAGGCCGTGTCCGAGTGCCGCTTCACGAAGGCCGTCTTGATGCCTGCAGCACAGAGCAGCCTCCGGCTAATCGAGCGCTACGAGAACCAGAGCGGCGCTCCTACAGACACCCACGAGCCGGCCAAATGCGTTTATCTCATTACGCAAAGTCTGCTTTCAAGTCACAAGACGGCGCTCACGAGCGGCGCGTCGTTTTCACTTATCGCCGATTACCTCCAGGAGGAGAGTCATTAATGACCCGACCACGTTTCCACGGCGACGCCACCGTTACGCAGTGATCGGTCCTCTGAGTAGGAGATTACAAAAGTGATTTTCATAATTGTAAATATCAGAAAGACGACAAAAAGTGACGACAACTGTTCCAGCGTCAAGTTGCTTTTTGTTTTGTTGTTCTGACGGTTTAAACCTCTTTCGAGTTAACATCGCTTTGCAAAATTTATTCAAAGCCCAAAGAATGAAGAACTGATTCATTTTCGCCACATTGTTAATTACTAAATGCAGTGGCGGCTGGTCCATAGAGGGCAACGGGCCGTGGCCCCCCCCTGAGCCACAAAAAAAAAACTTTCTACAAAAAGTAAATATTTGTGTTTTTGAAACACGGAATACACAGAGTAATATTTGTAGATTAAGACCCGCCCTCTCCGCTCTGCATGTGATAAACTGCTTGTTCCTCCTCACTGAGAGCAAAACACTCGACTAGATCTCCACTCTTTGCTGTCCTGCTCCTAAACGGTGGAAGGAGGTCTCTGAAGACATCAGGACCACAGAGAGCCTTCACATCTTCAGACTAAAGACACACCTCTTCAGACTCTACCTCCACTAACACACTAACTAACTGTAGCACTTACATTGGACTTATAATGGTTCTTATCTACAGCAAGTTGTACATCGGCTTATTTGATGAAATCGCACTTTCTTGTTTCTTGTTCTTCTGAGTTTGTGTCCTTATGGTTGAAATGTTCTTATTGTAAGTCGCTTTGGATAAAAGCGTCAGATAAATGACATGTGATGTAATAAAAGATATCTGTGCAAAATATTTGCTTTCCCTGTACGTCCTCTCTAATGTGGGCCCCAACGCAATATATTAAAAGATAAATATACTACAATATAAGTGTATTTATATCAAATCTATTAGAACATGTATACATTGATGAACTTAGTGTGTTGGGGAAACACCAAATCAAAAGCCCCACAAAACGTCACACAATGAACTATTTTGGCTGAAATGTGCCCGTTTTCATCCGCGTCCTGGTCGCGCGTCCTCGCCGCAGTCATAAAACACGGTGACGTCACGCGCGCAAATATAAGGCGTTAGCATGTAGCTAACTAGCTAGCTAAACATCCCGGTGTATAAACGCGCATGACTGCGCGTTAAAGCGAACGTCGCGGCCCAGCTGCGCGCGCACGGGACGCGGATGGAAACAGGCACATTTTATCTTTCCTCAACACACACACACACACACACACACACACACACACGATGTAACGAGCTGTCAGGAGGGGATTTTTCTTAACTGTAAAAGTGTAACAATCAAAGTCGTCTCACAACCTCTAAACTCAGAAAAACTTTCGGGTTACATTTACAAATAGAGTGAATAATTATGGTCTCCTGGTTTAGACCCACTGACATGCAGAGACTCAACACGTGCTTGTTTGGGTGGTGGTTTGGGGGTGATGGGGGGGGGCGTTACATCACACCTCCACCTAGCAGACTTCCTCTCACACGGATCCAGACTGCATTGACCATTGAATGTGATAAATAAATAAATATTTATATTTATATGATAGATAGATAGATAGATAGATATATCGGTGTGTAGATCCACAGGCCGCGCTCACCGGAGTCCTGCAGCAGGCGGAACACGCAGCTCGCGGTCCCGTTGGCGATGGCCGCCTTGCCCTCCATCTGGTCCTTCCTCACGGCGTTACCCGCCGTGATCTGGTCCTTGGACTGGACCAGGACCAGCCCGGGCTGGTCCTCCAGCAAGAAGATCTGCTTCGTCTTCCCCTCGTTCAGCTTCTCGCCGAGTTTCAGCTCTGCGAAGGAGACGAAAACCGAAATAAAACAGATAAAAACCAGCGGGTGAATAAACGAGGACTCGTCGCGGGCTCGCGCGCGGTACCTGCAGCGGACGTCATGGTGGAGTTGTGCCGCGCGCGGACCTCCTGAAACAGAAGAGCAGACGTGTGTGGAAAGTGGCGCGAGCGAGAGGAGGCGTGCAGGAAGCGCGACGGTGTTAAAGGTGACGAGATAACCAATCACAGCGCTTCCTTCGCCGAGGCGGCCAATCACAGCCACGTCTTAGTGACCACGTGGGGGGAGGAGAGGCGCATGTGACAAACTAACCCTCTGCCGAGAAGAAGAGCCACTTTCCTATTTATCCACTGAACTAATCTGCTCTTTTAGACAAGGGAAGTGATCGATCACAGGTGACTTCGTCAGGACCGGATCGATCAGTCGGACCTCGTGAGCTCTGTCACCTCGGAACACCACGTGTTTCCTCTCGTGCGTGTGATCGTTCCGGTGACTTCCCTCCGGTTCTCCTCCGTTAAAAGACTCCTTTCATATTCAGACGAGTTGCACGCGGTGCGTACACGAGTTCGCTGCACGTGCTCGTCCAACGCACGTGCTCATCGCCCAGGGCGACCGGGACAGCGGGAGCGGCTTCCGGTCCACCGAGGACCGACCACCGGGCGATGGAGTTCGAGGGCTCCGGCATCGGGGAGGAGTGCGGGGTGTTCGGCTGCGTGGCGGCGGGAGAGTGGCCCACGCAGCTGGAGGTCGCCCAGGTGTTGACGCTGGGGCTCGTGGCGCTGCAGCACAGGTGAGCCGGGGGCCGGAGGGGGGTGGGGGGGGGGCGTTTCACATTGACATCTTCTCTTTTATTCTTAAAGTAATTTCCTTTCATCAGTGATCAACTCGCCAATGATGCATTAAGTATAAGTTAAGTCTGACTCAAAGCACTTTGACGTCTTAAGCAACTTAAAACATTTCTAGCTCAACAAAATGTCACTTGAGAAGCGATGTGAGAAATGTTGCGCGCCCCCCCCCCCCCCCCCCCTATTTAAGGGTCATGGGGGGCACTCGGACCTTGAACCTATAAATACTCATTCAAAGGAAGGCAGGCTCTCAGGTTAAGATGACTTGGAGTGTTGGGGGGGCATCACGGCTCAGCCGGGGTCCGATTTCTTTGTGTGTGTGTGTGTGTGTGTGTGTGTGTGTGTGTGTGTGTGTGTGTGTGTGTGTGTGTGTGTGTGCGCGCGCGAGAGAGACTGGAGACCGCAATGCGTGACACTAGAGATGCAAAGATGTGACTGTTAGAGTGTTTTAGCATCAACGTGTACTTGAAGTTAAAAGTACTCCTGCAGTTTATTCTATAATAATATTCATGATTGGGTTAAACGTGTCTAATCTTAATCGATATTTATTGGTTTGTATTTTGACTGCAGAAAATGTTGCAAAGTAAAAGGTACATTTGAGCAGAATGAAATAATGCGTGAGTAGATGTTACTTCATAAACGTCATCAAACTTCAGTCACAGATTAATTTAATCATAAAATGTAGAGGAGCAAATCAATTAGACTGTTTTAATCATCCAGATAAATTGTGTCTAATTTGACCAATAATCCAAAACACAAATTTAGTTTGTTGGAATAAAAGCATCAATGAGAAGTTCTTTCTTCAGCTGATGATTGACTTAAGAGATTTGGGGAGGGACACGTGCAGGATGCGAGTGTTCTGATTGGACGTCGCGTTACCTCTCTGTCTGGGGGCGGAGCCGGCGACGGCATCGAGCGCACGGAGTCGATCTTGATGATGGGGATGTGATCCGGCTCCTCTTTGCACTCCGCCGTCTCACAGTCCACTTTCTTTGGGGGGGTCTGGAGTGGGAGGTCTGGGGGGGGGAGAAAGGGGAGGGGTTTAAAATGTGCTCGTTTGTTGGGTATCAATAGAAGTGATTTTTGGACGTCCTCTCTCTCTCTCTCTGTGGTGTCTCGTCCTCGGGACAAACGAGCCCTTGTGCCTGATTGAATTTATGAGGCGCCATCACGGGACTCTGCCATTAGACGGGAGGACGTCATGTGACGGGAGGACGCCGCTTACCTTCATCCGCCGCTTTCCTCTTCCTTCTGCTGGCGGGGGGGAGTTCTTCTCTCTTCACTCGTGTTTCAGAAGAGCCTGAACGATTTAAACAGACGACACAGATGCAGACTTTACTGTAACGTCTGGAAGAGGAATCTAGATTCCCTCTCCCCTCTGCACGCACTCTGAAATGATTATACGGGTTTGAGCATCATTCTCTGATGACTGGCGTTAAAAGTCTCATGTCGAATTTGTGACTGCACAATTGTTTATGCTCGTGTTGCTACGACGATGTTTGAATTAAAAAAAAAAAAAACCTGAAGCCACTCGGTCACGTGCACTGATGAGCAAAGGTCAGCGTCCCCGACCCACGAGGCCGGTCACGGGTTCAAGTTCAAAGTTGAGATAATATTCAAACGCGTGTTTAAAGAAGGTGACGAAACCAGACCTGTTAAAATAAAATAACACTTTTTGTCTGTCGCGTTCCGAATTAACACAATTAAAAGTGTTTTATTTGTTTTCCTAAAAAACAAAACGCCCTGTGAGGTGATGACTTTTTTTTTCCAACATTAACATTCTTGTAGTTTGAGAGAGAATTAATGAAACAAAAATGTGCATTTCAGAATGCGCATCCAAGTGTTCGTTTGATTGCATTTGCGTGTGTAGATTTCTACTAAACTAAACCTGCAGCGTCTGTGCGCCATTAACACTGGACTCACTGGACGTGATCCGGTCCGAGCGGAGCTCCGGTACCGGGGCAACGCCGAGGCTCACTGAGGAGGCGGAGTCCGTGTCTGTCGGGTCGTGCGTCGCCCTCTCCATCTCGCGCGCCCCGTTGGTCTGTGTGTCGCGTTCGCTCTCCTCGCCGCCGCGGCACGGCGAGCCGTCGGCGGGCCGGTTCATGATGGCGTCCACCTCGTCGTAGAACCGCATGAGGCGCCTCGGGTCGGCCTCGTCGCTCCTCCCCCTCTGGAGCGAGCGGTAGAGGTACTTGAGGTTCTTGTACTTGGTGTGGCACTGCTTCCAGTCGCGCTCGACGCCCTGCTGCATCAGCCGGTTGGAGATCTGGACGAAGATGTCCCTCTTCCTGGTGGAGCTCTCCAGCTGCCGGCACACGCGCTGGTCGGACCAGACGCGGATCAGCGCCCGGACCTCCTGGTCGCTCCAGTTGCGGCCCGTGTCCGCCACCGTGACCACGTGGAACTGCTCCGAGCCGGACGGGTCACACGGCGTCAGGGGGGCATCTGGAGGGACATCGAGCAACGGGGGGGTTAAATGTGCTGTAAACTTCCCCCCCCCACCACCACCCGCCACTCACCTCCCCGAGACCCTCAAAGAGAAGGGACGCAAGTAAACTCCCTAAACGAGAGACACAGTCTGTGGGAGACAACGGGACGACCCGACCCGGTTCACCAGTACCTGCTCCGCCCCATTTGGCCTCCAGGTCCTGGTCCATATCGTCACCGTCGCTGTGGTCGTCTGAAAGGTGGAAGCAGAGATTCTAGAGATGCATTTTCTCGTCTCTTTGCTGAGCGAAAAAGTGGAAAAACGCACCGTCTTCGATCTCGATGACGACCTCGCTCTCCTCGCCGGCCCCGCCCCCTCCCTCGTACAGCCTCCTCTGCATCTCCGCGGTGCCGTCGCCCAGCCCCCGGTCCAGCAGGATGGCCTCCACCTCGTCGAAGAACTTCATGTACTTCCCCGGGGCGCCGCCCCCCGCGGCGTGGCCGCCCTTGGCGGTCTTGTAGTCGTACTTGAGGTTCTTGTATTTGGTGCGGCACTGCTTCCAGTTGCGCACGACCCCGAAGCTCCGCTGCATCCGCCGCGCCATCTCCTGGAAGATGGACTTGTTGCGCAGCGTGCACTTGAGGCGCTCTCGGACGCGCCGGTCGGCCCAGACGCAGAGCAGCGCCCGCACCTCGTCGTCCGTCCAGTGGCGGACCGCCCTCCTCGGCCGGGCCGGCGGCGGCGGCGAAGGCGGGGCCCCGGTGGGCCGGCCCCCTCGGGCCTGCGTGTTTAAACATGGAAAGCAGTTGAAATGAGGAACAAGTCGACGGGTTTATTCTCCTCCGACTCAGAAACCTCCATTTACCTTCCTGCATTGGGCCTGAGGGCGGGAAGCTTCCTCTGTGGCTCCCCTCCTCCCCCTCCTCCTCCTCCCCCTCCTCCTCCTCCCGGCCCTCCCCCGCTGCCGGGACGCAGAGTCCCAGGCGCCGGCACTTGGCCCGACACTCCCACCAGCCGCGCTCCACGCTGAGCCTCCTCAGGCGCCCTGAGATCGCCTCGAACGTGGCTCTGGTGTCGGCGCGCCGGCCTCCCGCCTCGTCCCACGCCGCCACCAGAGCCAGCTCCTCGGCCTCCCCCCACCGGCGCTCCGCCGAGCCCCCGGCCCCCTCCCCACTCCGGCCTCCTCTTTGTCTCTTTGCTCCTCTCTCCATGGTTTTGAGCTGACCTGGAAACGCTTTTTTTCCAATCCCTCTGTCTCTGCCGCCCGGTTCCCAAGGCAACCAGGCGGTTAAGCCTGAGAGCAACGCCTCCATGCCGAAAAGCAGCCTCACCACTGGCTTAAGCTGTGTGCCGAGGGGGCGGGACTAACGGTAATCTGAGAAGCAGCTTGGTATTTGGCTGAAAGCTGCAGCGAGGCGACTCCCTCTCGCTGTGTGTGTGTGTGTGTGTGTGTGTGTGTGTGTGTTTCTCACTCCGCCTCCAGAACAAACCAGTTTAGTTTGCCCCCCTGCCCCCCCCCCCCCTTTCCTGCCCCCCCCCCCTCGCTCTCTCAGAGAGCAGACAATATGAACGTGTGTTTGTCCCCTCAGGGGTCAAGAGAGTGCTGGGATCGTCACCAGCAATGTAGGCAGTGCGCCCACGTACGCCGTCCTCAAGGTAACACGGGGGTCTCAGTGGGTCTGTGGTGGGCCCAGGGGGTCTGTGGGGGGCCCAGGGGGTCTGTGGGGGGCCCAGGGGAGCTCGCTTTGCACAAGTAGACTGAGGCTCTGTTCAAAAACAGGACCGACCATCAACACAGATTCATATTAATATTCTACTTCTTAAATAGTTTATTAGCTCAATATTACTCATTTGCTGCTTTAATCTTAATAATCAATAATAAAAAGTGTTAAATGCTTCCTGACCAAAGCATGTAACACTCGTCCTCAGTGTCGCTCTGCGTTCATAATGCACTATAATCTACAGCGTTGAACATAACGGCAGTTGTGAAGAACGATTCTCGTCAAACGGGTTTAAACGTGTTCTGGTTATTGTTGAACGGTGGCATCGCTCCTCGTCAGTCGCCTTTTCCTACACGTTAAATATCGTGGCTGCGTGACTCGTTCGCTGTGACGTGAAACGCAACCCTTTTTGTGAGCGACTTGGATTGAAGCGGGAAGCCGTGGATCCGGACGCCGGACGTCCTCCGCGATGAACTGCTGAACGTGTTGCGTAACGCTTGTTGCAGGGAATGGGGTTAGTGAGCACGGCCTTCGCCCCCGAGGCGCTGCTGAAGCTTCGCCACGGCAACCTCGGCATCTGCCACACGCGCTACTCCACCACCGGCATCTCCGAGCTGCAGAACTGCCAGCCGTTCGTGGTGGACACGCTGCACGGGAAGATCGCCGTGGCCCACAACGGCGAGCTGGTCAACGCCGAGGCGCTGCGCAAGCGGGTGAGGGGGGGGCACAGGTGCATGCTGGGTGTCTTTACGTGACCAGAATCCCAAAAACACGTTGCATTGTGGGCAAACGGGTTGAATGTATCTGCTTGGTGCGTCGCGCAGGTGATGCGTCATGGCGTCGGCCTCTCCACCAGCTCGGACAGCGAGCTCATCACCCAGCTGCTGGCGCTGACCCCCCCCATGGAGGAGCAGGACGCGCCCGACTGGGTCGCCAGGTCGGCGTTGTGATTCGACTCTTCTTCTTCCTTTCTCTTTTTGAGTGGACGCTTTTCATTGGTTCCTTTGTTTTGTTCTTTCAGGATAAAGAACCTGATGAGCGAGACGCCGACGTCGTACTCGCTGCTCGTCATGTTCAAAGACGTCGTCTACGCCGTGCGCGACCCCTACGGGAATCGCCCACTCTGCATCGGCCGCGTGGTGCCCGTCTCCAAGCTGCACAGCTCAGGTACGTCCCCCCCCCCGTCCCCCCCGTCCCCCTCAGCGTCCCTCAGAGGTCTCACCGCTTCTCCGTCTCCTCCTCAGGGGCCGGGGTGGAGGACACCGAGGGCTGGGTGGTGTCGTCGGAGTCCTGCAGCTTCCAGTCCATCGGCGCCAAGTCAGTCGTGAAGCAGACGCCCCCCCCTCCCGCGCCGCGAGTGAAGCATGGTGGGTAATGATGGCGGTTTTGCGTCCCTCAGGTACTACCGGGAGGTGCTGCCGGGGGAGATCGTCCAGATCTCGAGGCACGGGGTGAAGTCTCTGAGCGTGGTGCCGCGTCCCGAGGGAGACCTCCCGGCCTTCTGCATATTCGAGTACGTCTACTTCGCCCGGCCGGACTCCATCTTTGAAGGTTAGAAACTCTTCTGTAGAGAGAAGGAGCTTCATGGATCAGAGATGATTGATCTCGTGGTGAGGGGGGGGGCGCGAGGACCTTTTTGGAGAACCATGTGACCGTGTGCTGCAGGGCAGATGGTCTACACCGTGAGGCAGCGCTGCGGGCGCCAGCTCGCCATCGAGGCCCCGTCGGACGCCGACGTGGTCAGCACCGTGCCGGAGTCGGCTACGCCCGCCGCCCTGGGCTACGCCCAGCAGGTCAGTGCCCCGCCTCCCACGCACCGTGCTGTAGCGGCAACGTAACGCCACCCGATCCCATGAGCTCACGCCCCCCCTCTCCCCCTCCCAAGTTCGGGCTGCCGTACATAGAGGTGCTGTGTAAGAACCGCTACGTCGGCCGGACCTTCATCCAGCCAAACACCCCCCTCCGGTAGCTGGGGGTCGCCAAGAAGTTTGGCGCCCTGACGGACAACTTCGCCGGGAAACGGGTGGTGCTGGTGGACGACTCCATCGTCAGGGGCAACACCATCTCCCCCATCATCAAGCTGCTGAAGGAGGCCGGAGCGAAGGAGGTTCGTTGATGGGGACGCTCGTCTTTAGTGGCGGCCAAACGAACAAACGGGACCAAGCTGACGAGTCTCATTAATGTTATTTTAACTACACTGAACTAAAACATATGCAAGACTCTGATTATTATTTCTTAAATCGAGGCCTTTGTCTAATGAGTCCCAGATTCCTGCAGCCGCATGTGACGCCCATGTGACGCCCATGTGACGCCCATGTGACTCCACATGGTCCCGGCGCCTGGTGTTGGGTCTTGTGTAATTGTCCTGTGAGGATCAAGAGGGGGACATTTGACACTGAGCTTTGGGACGTCCTGTCATGCGATGTGCATGTTTAATGTGCATAACATGGATGTAATTGTCGGACATTGTGTATTCTGACCCGTGGTCGTCGTCCCCCCCCGGTCAGGTCCACATCCGGGTGGCCTCCCCTCCGATCCGGTTCCCCTGCTACATGGGCATCAACATCCCAACCAAGGAGGAGCTCATCGCCAACAAGCCCGAGTTCCAGGACTTGGCCAAATACATCGGTGAGAGCGCCTTGTCCCATCGGAAAACGCCGCGGCGCGGTTACTGTCCTGCTGCGTCTCAATCTGCCCCCCCCCACCCCCCCTCCTTGCGCCTTGTGCAGGTGCAGCCAGCGTGCAGTACCTGACGGTGGAGGGCCTGCTGTCGGCGGTGCAGGACGGGGTCGCCTCCCAGCAGCAGAAGGACCAGCTGATCGGCTCCGGCAACAAGTCCAGCAAGAGGGTGGGACACTGCACCGCCTGCCTGACGGGGAAGTACCCGGTGGAGCTGGAGTGGTAGTGAAGGGGGGGGGGGGGGGGGGGTGAAAACATACTGGATGGGGAATCTTTTCGTTTAAAGGAAGCCGGGATGTTTAAAAGGGTTGAGTCCCCTTCCTCTCCCAAAAATCAGGGTCTGCTGGCGGAGGAACCAAAAACTAAACAGACTCCGACTCCTCTGATGGAAACCAGGGTCTGAACCGCTCGTGCTGGTGGACTCTAGAGGGGCATCCACAGGGCCCAACGCACAAGTTCCTGGAGAGTCGCTCCCACCAACAACTTTAAGAGCTGAGCTTTGGTTGAAGACTTTCCAGTGTTTTCACTGTGATCATGTGTCGTCGACACGGATGCTTTGGTTCTCTTTATTTTTATTTTTTCTGTTACTTTATCAGACGTTTCACATTTAAACCTTTAATGTCAGGAAAGCGCACGAGGCTGCAGACCAAAGTTTATTTTCCTCATCCAAGTTCTATTTGGCTCCTTTTTTTTTCTCGGCCTTAATGTGCATGAGTAGAATGTAAAAGTGTAACTAATAAACACAATAACTGCAATGACAACAAGTGCTTTATTTTCCACAGACATTTTTATTATAAGCAACAGATGATAAATCTACTGAGACGATTAAAACGAAGAAACTTCGTTAGCTTTTCCTTCTCTTCTCCGTTGAGTTAAAACGGCACAAAGTGATCGAGGAGGAACTGTTTTACAGTTCTGTCGGAGGACGTCTCGTGTCTCCTGTGTTATGGTGTGAATGACCTCTGAGCGAGGTCAAGGCCTTAAAGGGGCGGAGCATTCAGTTGGTTCCAATGAGCCCTTCAATGGTCAGGATGAAGTGGGCAGTAAACGGGTGTCTGTTTAAATTCATTTACTTCAATTAAAACGCTTCATTCAAGAGGTGACGGTGAGCTGAGGAGCTCACGGCGCTTCAGGAGGAGGCTCACCCACTGCAGGCGGATCCGCTCCGACTCATCCAGGCCTCCTGATGTGCGCCCGCTGACCGCCGCCACAAGCTCAGTCCGTGAAACGCGCCGCGTGGCCCGGCGCCGCGTGGAGGTTGAAGCAGACGCCGCCTCAGCACCTCCTCTGCCGTAGCGCTTGGAGCCCGGGGAGGACGGGCTTGGACAGGGGGTATGCGTCCCGGTCCAGCTCCCTGTGGCGTTTCCTCAGGAGGGAGCGGTGGGGCGACGGGGCGAGAGCCGCCAGGGCCGAGGACGAGGAAGGAGGAGCTCGGCCGGCCGAGGAAGGAGAAGCTCGGCCGGCCGAGGAAGGAGGAGCTCGGCCGGCCGAGGAAGGAGGAGCTCGGCCGGCCGAGGAAGGAGGAGCTCGGCCGGCCGAGGACGAGGAAGGAGGAGCTCCGCCGGCCTCGGAGCATCTGGCACAGAAGCGGCAGGGGAGCCCGCTGAAGGACGACCATCTGCTCTGGCACACAAACTTGTGGTAGAGCTTCCCCGGACGAGGCCGCTGCTGAGACGCGTTTCCCGTCCTCACGGGGGGCCGGTGGGTGGTCTCTGTCCCCACACACTGCCCTCGGCTCTCCTCTGACAGCGTGCGGCTTGCTTCGTGTTCTGGATTCCTGCCGTTGTGTCTCATCGGGACGATGAATGGTGCTGCTGAGACTGCTTCTGCCCGCGTGCCGCCTCCATCTGCCGCAGCGCCTCAGCACCGTGTCGCCGGCCTTGAAGACGTGCTTTCGCCACCACGCCTTTCCTATTCGGCTGACTGTGCCGTGGTAGCGCTCCACCAGAGAGCCGCCGTGACTCCTCAGGCTCATTTCCAGCTCCTGGTCTCCGTCCTCGGGCTGAACATCCGTCAGTAAGGCCGAGATCCTCCTTGTGGCAGTGGCAAGTGGGTGGCAACTTTGTGACAGGCAGCGGCAATCGCCAGTAAATCAGTCGGCGTCACAACGGCACGCTGGGTGGGAGGAGCCAATTTTTCCCAGAAATTACTGTTATTTGTACGACAGGTCAGGCTGCTGTAAATATTTTATTTTAGTTAATTTTAATTGAGACAGGTGAGCCCTCCTTCTTATTACAGAGGCTAATTTTAGGTTTGGACCGGCGGGTTCCGTGTAGGGAGTGGGGCTCTCAAGTTTGATGCCACCCACTTGCCACTGCCACAAGGAGGATCTCGCTGTCACTCACATCCGTCTCAGAAACGCTCCTCCGGTTCTCCTCCAGCGAGCTCGTGGTCAGACCAGTCAAGTCGCTGGGAGACCAACCTGAAGGAAGGAGGACATGGTCACCTATGGGTTTCTTCAGTTGTAAGATCATATGACATGTGGGTATAAATAGCTGGATGTAAATAAATGAAATCCAGATACTGCAGCTCTAATAAATCAACGTCCACCAAACCAAGAACAGCGGCTAGAAACACGTTTGCCTTTCCATACTTCCTACATCGCGCGGTTTCTTTTTTAAATGCGATAGCTCTGCTCTGCCATGTTGTGCTTTAAACGTCTGTTGCTTTCCTGCTCTCACGTTGTCGTCCAGAGGCAACCGAGTCTCGTCAGCGCCGCCGTCTTCATGCAAGACGTCCAACTGTTCACAATGAACCACAATGAACATCGGAATCACTGGATACTGAAGTGTTTGGATTAATTGAGTGCATTTAGCGGAGAGCCTGTTGAAATGTCCTGGACTGGGGAGGACGAAATGTCAAAGAGTTCAGAATATTAATAAATAAACACAAACATGGTGAATTGTTGTGTTCGGTCTTGGATACGTGCCCGTCATTGATTCCTCGCTTAAGTCTGTCAGGCTCTGAGGAAACGACAAGTATTGGATTGTAAATGACTGCACACATGTTTAATATCTAAATTTAACGAGGACTGAAAGACGATAAAACACATGTAAGTCAACAAGGAAGGGGGGGGGAGTTAAATATGAGATCTGACATTCATCTACGATTCTGAATCCATTCACAAATGTACGAGTCTGTGATCGTTTTTTATTTATCTAAACTTGACTTAAGTCTCTGAAAACTGAGGGATACAAATATCTTGAGTAAAACATGTATTATTTGTTTGTCATGGATGAATGTCATCTTCAGGTTGTGTGTGTTGTTGAAATCAGCTGACCCACAATGACTCGTCTCATACAAACCTTTGACTCCAGCTGGCCGATCTCTGCTTTAGACCAACGCTTCATCACGCAGAGAGCGAGGACAGGAAAGATACACAATGAGGTCGTGAGACAACTACAGAGGGGGAGACAAATGACCGACTGGTCCGTTTAACCGAGTGAAGACAAAAATAAAAGCTTGTGTAATGACTTATATAATTAAATTAATGTTAAAACGGTCAAATGTGTTGATTGATCGTTTAGAAAAATTTGAAGTGAATTCGCTTTTTTAATATATGGACATATATTATAAATATGTATATTTATAATATATATCAACGTTACTGTTACCACAACACGTCCTAAATGTGTGACGTCACTATGACGTCGCCTTTTACTGTGATCTTTAATTCAAGCTTTGTAGGAAGTTTACTGTGGTCCACGTCCACTTCCAGAGCCCCATGTTGGGAGTGAAGCTTTGAATACTGTTGTAAACAAACAGAGGAAACGTTAAGCAGCCTTCGCTGACGTTAACATAAGCTAAGCTAACGTTAGCTAAGCTACTACGCTGCCGCATCCACCGTTAGCCCGCTAGCCTCGCCAGTGATTCGTTCCAGTGAGCTTTTGACCTTAGAGGCATTCATAGTGAGCCCTGTATTCAATAATTAGTCCATGTTGTCGATGAAAAACGTTTTTTTGACGTTAATAAAGTCGCAGCGGGCTATTCGATGGGGAAAAAACGGCGCTTTTAGGTTTAAAATGAATTTTGGTGCAACGATTGGACAGAGTGGCCTTCAATGTCAATAGGAAAATAGCGATTTATTAAATAGCGGTGTTTGATTTCAGGTTGAAAACCCAAATAACCTACTTTTAAAATGTTGATGTCAGCGTTGCATGTGTGTAATCAATATGAGGTTGGAGGACATTTCGTAATACAGCAACGTGTTTTTTCTACATTGATATTTTTATGCCTAATAGCGACAGGCCTGATTTCTTCAACTCGGGACTGACTTTAACCGAAGCGTTTGAAGTAGCCATGGGCCTGGGACGTCATCTTCACGCGACAAACACACGTTTTCGCTTCTTCCACCCAAAACAAAACCCAACTCCTTGTGAACAGAGCAATATACCAATCCACGTCCATCCGAAGGGGTTATTTTCTACGCATAGGCGACACTGGTGGAGAATGGTCGGTTCTCCCTCGGACGTCTCTTCGTCAGCATGGCCGCTCGGACGCTGCAGGAGCTCGTAGCCGCCGCCGCATCGCTGCAGCCGGACCGAGTGGCTGTGAAGTACGACGGCGGCCCGGCGTCGCTGCTGCGGTACGGAGACCTGGTCCAGCTGGCCGACGAGCTGAGCCGCCTCCTGCGACAGAACTGCGCCCCTAATGGCGGGGTGGTGGGGCTGTACGGTTCCGATGACCTGTTCGTACCCGTGTGGATCCTGGGGTGAGTTCACGGTGCAGCTTGACGGGCATTAATAAGCGTCTCACAGGAATCATGCAGGGGGGCAGCAGTCATCACAACATCGGTCAAATGACCCGTTTCAGACTTAATAAATATAGAATCCCTTTGTGTTCATTTCTGAAGCCTCATTAAGACACACGTCACTTTATTTAAGACGCTGCGCTACTTGCACGTCGCTGTGATCTACTAGATTCTCTAAAACACAAACCCACCTTCATGAAGATTCTCATTTAACGTGACAGAATCTGCATGTCGCTAAATACCGACTGAGACCCACAAAGGATCCGACCCCCGGCCCGCGTCACGCTTCTTTCCTTGCATGTCTTCATACATTTCATACATGTAGTCTTGACTCTTTGAATCCTGTATGTCGTTGTATGTTTTTTTGTTTTACGCGTGTGATTGGTTTTCAGCACATCTGCTAACGTCCCTACAAAGTGCACTGCTGTAAATGACGCTGCCCGTGTTGTCGCGCAGCATCCTGCAGTCACCTGCCGCCTACGTCCCTCTGGACCCAGAAGCTCCGGGTCTCCTCGCGGCCCGCGTGATGAGCCGCTGTGGCCTCGAGTTCTGCGCCGTGAAGACCGACGTGCTGCAGGTTCATGTCGATTATCTCATGGATGTGTGGACACAACAATAGTGATGAGGGTGTAACAAATACGTAAAACTAACTAAAATGAGATGAGAGATGTTCTACGTGTAGACGCGACATCCTGCACATGAACTCATGATCGCGTTCCTTCCTCCCGTCCAGCGGTTCCGTGCGGCTCTCGTGGAACACGCGTCCGTGGAGGTCCGTGCGGCGCTGCCAAAGTTCAGAGTGACCCTGGTGCGAGTAGAGCTGCTGCCCGTTGCCCAGCGACCAGGATGGACCGGAGGCCGCCAGGCGGGCGGCGCCGGGCTCGTGGACCTGGCCTACGTGCTGCACACTTCTGGGACCACCGGGGATCCGAAGATCGTGAGGGTTCCGCACAAGTGCATCCTGCCCAACATCGTGCACCTGCGGTGAGAGATCGCTGCATCATCATCATCATCATCGTCACTCACCTTCCTCCGCTGGTTTGCAGAACGTCTGCATCTCTCTCGGCTCAGGTCTTTGTTTCAGATGCGCTCAGACGACGTGGTGCTCCTGGCCTCGCCCCTGACCTTTGACCCCTCGGTGGTGGAGATGTTCCTGGCCTTGTCGTCCGGGGCTCAGCTCCTGGTCGTCCCGTCCGCCATCAAGAAAACGCCGAGTCGACTTTCTAGGCTGCTGTTCGAGGAAAACAAGACGACCGTGCTGCAGGCGAGCGGGAAAATAATCACGTTCATCCCCAAAAAAGCTCTGGTCTCCTTCCTGTTTCCAGGCTGCCAAATAACTTCACAAAATAATAACGCAGTTTAATGATTTTCTGAACGCGTCCCTCCGTCAGGTCACGCCGACGCTGCTCGGGCGCTTCGGCCGCCGCGCGCTGCGGCAGGAAGTGATGTCACGCGACTCCTCGCTGCGCCTGCTGGTTCTGGGCGGCGAGGCCTGTCCGCCCGCCGCTCTGCTGAGGAGCTGGAGGCACCGCGACAACCGCACCCACGTCTACAACGTGTACGGCATCACCGAGGTGTCCTGCTGGGCGTCGGCCCACCGGCTGCCCGAGGCGCTGCTGCAGGCCGGCGACGCGTGAGAGCGCCGACCTTTAAACACACGCGCAAACACATGTTCCTGTTGGTCATCGCTGCTGTCTAACATCAAGTGCCTTCCAGCTCGCCGCCCTCCGTGCCGCTCGGCGCTGCTCTGATGGACACCAGGCTGGAGGTGAGGGACGAGCGCGGCCGCGTCGTCGCCGAGGGCGAAGGCCAGCTGTTCGTGGGTGAGGACGACGGCCTCCGTCAGCTAGTTGTGGTTCTTCATCCGGCTGTTGTGTGGCGACATCGTTGCACAAACATCCACACGCGCTCTTCTAGTCGATCGCTGTCCCCCGTCTTTGTCCTCATGGGTCCGCATGGCGGCATCGCAGGCGGGGGGGAACGAGTGTGTCTGCTGGACGAGGAGGAGGCGGCGGTCGCCGGGACGATGAGGGCCTCCGGCGACTGGGTGGAGGTCAGGGACGCGCAGATGTTCTTCCTGGGGCGGAGGGACCGGCTGGTGAAGCGCCACGGGAAGCGGCTGAACCTGGACGGCGTGCAGCAGGTGAGACGCATTTCAAAACGCCTTTATTGGCTCTTAGAATGGCGTTCTGATTGTTTGTTTGTTTTTTTTGCTGAATTACAACGTGTTTTTTAACGTGTTCTTAACGTGTTACGAGGCACTCAGGAAGTCGTCATGCTCTTGACTCCGCCCCTCAGCTCCTGTGCGGCCTGCCTGAGGTGGAGGCGTGCGCCGTGGTCCTGCACGAGGGCGTCCGGCTGCTCGCTTTTGTTGTGGCGTCCGGTGGGCGGGGGCGAGCGGACGCGGCGACCTCCGGCCAGCAGGGGGAGGAGCCGCGCCCCCCCCGGGGAGCGGACGGCGGTCTGAGCCGACTCCTCCTGAGCCGCCTGTCCCAGCTGCTGCCGCCGCACAGCGTCCCCGACACGCTGGTGCTGGTCCCGGCCCTGAGCCCGACGCGTCACGGTGAGCACGTAGAACTCTTCCCACGTCTATGGAGCGCTGACGGAGCGCTGACGGAGCGCTGACGGAGCGCTGACGGAGCGGTTCGCTGACGGAGCGGTTCTCTCCCAGGTAAAGTGGACGTGGCGGCGCTGATGGAGACGTACCGGACACGCAGACGCTCTTCGGCGGAGCTCACCGAGCTGAAGCCGACCCTTCGGTCCTTGTGGCAGGTTTGGACCGTTTACTTCTGCTTCCGTGACTCCTCCCCCCCGACCCCCCCGTCACTGACTGCGCGTCCACTCCGCCGCAGGAAGCTCTCGCTCTCCCAGAGGACGCGGCCGTGGACGAGGAGTCCAACTTCCTGTCGAGCGGAGGAGACTCTCTGAAGGCGCTGCGGCTGCACGAAGACCTCCTCGCCGCGGGAGTGACCTCACCGGAGCTTCTAGAGGTCATACTGGGCGGGACCTTCTCCGACGTTCTGCGCCACGTCGAGGCGGCGGCGCCGGGCAAGAAACGGCGCGGTGACGAGGCGGGGACGCGAGGGGAGGAGACGGGGGCTGTTAAAGTTCCGAGACGAGAGACTGAAGTCGACCTCCAGGCCGACGCGCCCGGGGAGGAAGGTCCCGGCGAAGAAGAGGGGGGAGGAGCTCTGGGCCTCGAGCTGAGCTGGTCATCGGACACGGGCCGCTGCGTGGACGCCTCCCCGGTGATCCTGGCGCACGGCGGGACCGACCCGGGGTCCGGCGGCCGCGAGGCCACGGTGTTCATCGGCTCCCACTCGCACAGGATCCAGGCGTTAGACCTGACCAGCGGGGGCCTCCTGTGGGAGCGAGTTCTCGGGGGCCGAATCGAAGCCTCGGCCGCCGTGTCCCGCTGCAGGACCCTCGTGGTCATAGGTCAGCCCCCCCCCCCCCCCCTCTGCGTGAAGACGTCTGGCGGAATGTTGTTAACATTTGACTAATTGCTTTTCGGGGGCCGGGTTCTTCCAGGTTGCTACGACGGCTGTGTGTATTTCCTGTGCGCCGCGTCAGGAAAGACGCGGTGGACATTCCAGACGGGAGACGCGGTGAAGAGCCGTCCCGCCGTGGACCCCCCCACGGGTCTGGTGGTGGTGGGCTCACACGACGGGCACGTCTACGCCCTGGACCCGGAGGTGGGACGCCTTCAGAGCGCTAGTGGAGATAAGCTAAGCTAAGCTAAGCTGCCTGTGGAGGAATAAAGGGGAATGTGTTTCCTCAGGTGGAGCGCTGTGTTTGGAGGCGGAGCTGTGGGGGCGGAGCCGTGTTTTCCTCGCCGTGCCTCCACCCGTCACTCAGGAAGCTGTACGCAGCTTCGCTGGGGGGGCGTTTGCTCTGCCTGAACCCTGTAGGTAAACACTTTAAACGCTTCTGGTCCGTTTTGAGGGATTTGTCCTAACGTTGTCTTCTCGTTGCAGGACAGTGGCGAGGTTCTGTGGTCGCACCGAGGAGACGCCCCGTTCTTCTCCTCGCCAGACGCCTCCTCCGGCCAGGTGGTCATCGGATCGGTGGACGGAAACATCTGCTGCTTCAGCCACACGGGGGCGCCGGTGAGCTCTTTATCGATGTTGCTGGTGTCTTTCTGGTCGGGTCCGTTCCTCCTGCTCACCGCACGCTGCGCCTCCTCCCCTGCAGGTCTGGCGGTTTCTAACCGGCGGCCCGGTCTTCTCCTCGCCGTGCGTCACCGCGGACCGCCGCCGGGTTCTGTGCGGGTCACATGACGGCCGCCTGCACTGCCTGAACCTCGCCGACGGCTCTGCGGTTTGGAGCTTCCGGACCGCGGGGAAGGTGTTCTCCGGGCCGCGCGCGTTCTCCGGCGGCGCCGGGGGGGGAGGGGCCTTGGTGGCCCTGGCCTCCACCGACGGCACGGTGTGGATCCTGGACGCGGGGCGGGGGGGGCGGGCGCTGGCCCGGTTCCGCCTGCCGGGGGAGCTGTTCTCCACCCCGGCGGTGCACGGGCGCTCCCTGGTGGTCGGTTGCCGTGACGACCGCGTGTACTGTTTGAACGTGACGGAGGAGACGTGAGCTTCGATTAAAGTTGATACAGAAATGAGTGACGAGTCGTCGGGTTCAGACATCAGAATTTAATTTACATTTTCAGAACATTTTGTGTCCCAAACAACCAAAGAAAGTGCGAATGATGCCAAACGTTGTTCTGTTACACACGAGGGGGAGGGGGGAGGGAGGGAGGGAGGGAGGCGGGGAAATGTTCTTCTTCTTCCTTCATACTGAAGCAGGGTGGTGCGTTTCACAGGACGTCGTTTGTTACAGTTGTGTCCGCCTTCACATGAAGTCCCGCCTCCCTCCCCCACAGACTTATTTAGACAAAAATGGCAAATCACATTGTTCGGCTTAGTTTAGAGAAATTAGTTTAAAAAATCTACATTTGTACGGACAACTGACATAGAGACGTATATGATGACCCCCCCTTTAGTTCCCTTCATAGTTAATTTGAGTCTCTTTGTGGTGGTTTTGTGAGTCCACATGTAGAAGAGTCCACGGCGTCACTAAAGAACAAAAGCTTGTTGTTGCTTGTAGCCCTTAAAACACCAATCAGATGATCGATCGCGTCACACGGTTCCTACGCGACCCCGTGTGGGACATTTCATAGGTTGTGTGTCTGTATACAGGATGTGCGTGCGCACAACAAGTGTGTGTGTGCGTGTGTGTGTGTGTGTGTGTCCGCGAGGAGGAAGATGAGGGTGATGATGGAGGGCGTTACCTGTTTCAGTCAGGGGGGGTTTCATGGTGAGTTGGTGAGTTTTCTTTGCTTTTTTGTGTCTGTGTGTGTGTGTGTGTGTGTGTGTTGGGGGGGGGGTGCCTCAGTCTGCTGGGGGGGTCTCGGGTGTCATTTGATGATCTGAGGACAGTCGCTCCAGGCTTTGGCCTTCCGCTTGGCGAGCGCCAGCCAGGCCGGCTCCGTGGAGACCTGCTGCGGGTCGCCGGAGGGGAAGCGCTTGGTCACGGCGGGGGGCGACGGCGTGGAGTCGGCGATCTCAACTGACACACATAAAGAACAGGGTCACTTTCATAACTTCAAAACAAAATAAAAAAAATAAAAAAAACTAAGAGGTGACGTCTCGTTTAGTCCACCCAAAACAAATCTATGTAAAATGTTGTAAAAACTATGTAAAAGTTATAAAAATAAATTATTCACCTAAGAAAAATAGAAACAGTATCCTATTCTCACATTACAACCTTTCAACAAAATGTTTCAGCTCATATTATAAATATATATATATATATAATGTTATATATAAAATATATATTATATATAATATATACAATATATAATGTATATAATATATATATATATGTGTATATATATAATATATGTATAATATAATGTGTATATATATAATATATGTATAATATATACACATATATATATATAATGTGTATATATAATATATGTATATATATATATATATAATCATTCAATATATTAACTTTTATATAGTAAATAAATTGTTCATCTTGTCTGGTTAGAAACTAGTGGAATCCTTGGTGGCATTTAGACACGGGTGGTGTAACTGCTCACCGGTGACGGAGCTCGGCAGAGTGTTGGCCTTCTTCAGGTGTTCTCGCCGCTCAAAGCGGCCCAGCAGGCTGTCGGGCCGCCGCGGCTCCTCTGGCGTCGGCGGTTTAGGGGGCGGGGCGCTGCTCCCTTTGCTCTCCGTGGGGCTCGGCGGCGCCACCTGCAGGAGGAGGAGACGACGGCGTGAGAGGGAGCGAGGGTGTGACGCGAGGACGCGCGTGCGCGGCGAGGACGTACGCTGTCCCTGTCTCGGGTCTGCTTCTCGGGCGCTTTGTTCTCCCGGTGGCTCCGCCGGTCCTCCCGGTTCTGCTGCTGCTCCCTGAAGCCCTTCTGCTTCTGCAGAGCCAGCGTGATCCACAAGGGCCCGGCCTCCTTCTCCTGCGCCTTGGAGCCGTCCAGCGAGTGCCTGCTCTGCAGCGAGGGTTTATCTGCGGGACATTTTGACGGATTAGTCTTGTCTCACTAATTAACACAATAAAAGAATAACTTCATGTTCTAGTGTTTTTAGTCCTCCGTAGTGAACGGGGTCTGTGGACATGTGGATCGTAACACCAAGCAAAGGAGTCAGTCACAGACTGGTCATTAGGACACGGTTGTCATGGAAACAACGTGCCATCTTTCGGCGGCGAGGTTCCCCTCCCCCCACTGACCTTTCTTGAGCTCCGTCTTCTGGTCCGTCTTCTCTCTCCAGGGGATGTTGATGGAGGGGAAGAAGGATCTCTTCTCCTTCGGCTCCTCCTCCCCTCGAACTTGACCTCGGTGCAACTGGGCGACCGCCGACGGTTCCTCGCTCCCGCCCGTCCTCTGGCCCGTGGCCTCCTGTGCCGCTTTGGGCAGCGGCGAGGGCGGAGGCGTGGGGGCCGCTCCGCAGGCCCTCGGCGACGCGGTCGGCCTCCGGTAGACGGGTGGCTTGGAGAGCACCTTCCCGACCTCGCACGTTGATTTACCCAGTTTGGCCCGGGGGGGCGCGTGGGAGGCGGACGCGTGCGGTTGCTTTCCCCCCGCGGCGTCTTTCTGAGGCGACGTGGGACTGGTGGATTTGTCGGAAAAGACGGAGGAGGCGTCGGAGTCCGGCTCGATGGGGGTGAGCGGCGAGGGGACGCCGTCGAAGCTGTCCCCGGCGCTGTATCGCTTCTTCCTTTTCTCCGCCGACTGCTCGCTGTGGAAGCGCAGAGAGAAGTTGGTCCTCCTCAGCTTGATGCCGAACGGCGAAGGCATGTCCTCGCCGTCCCGGCCTTGGAACCCGGCCTCCTCTCCGCCCTCGGACGCTTCAGCCTCCGATGGCTCCGCCTCCGGGTTGGCTCCGGGGCTCGGGACCAGGAAGGAGGGCAGGTCTTTGGCGAACATGCACCCGTCGGAGCCTCGCTCCGCGATGCGCACGCTTTTGCTCGTCGTGCTCCGGGGTTTGCTGGTCGGACCCGGCGAGGCGCCGGCGGGGCTGTCTGACGGATCAGCTTCCCGACCCGCCTCCTTCTCGTCGGCACCGAAGACCTCGGAGTTCCTGTTCGAATCTCCGAACTTCTTCTTTGCAGGGGTGATGGAGAACTTGGCGCTGGCAGACATGGTCTTCCTGAGGTTCGTGTGGGGGGACGCCGCCGGGTCTTCCCCGCCGGGCTGGTTCTTGCTCGGTTCCGGGTACTCGTCGTACTTCCCCTCCTCCACCCCCTTGAATATCTTGGACCGGATGCTGGCCCATTCGGCGAGGACGGACTGGTCCGTGGAGAGCGAGGACTCATTGAGCGACTTGGTTTTGCCGGACTTGCGGTCCGGCGAGGTCTTGCTCGGCGGCGTCCCCTGCGCCTTCCTGTCGTCGCCCAGGCCCAGCAGGGACATGCAGGCCGAGTCTCGGATCTGGTCCAGGTTGACCGCCGTGCCGCAGAGCTGGGCGCCCGTCACCAGGATGGCAGTGTGGGGGACGTACGGGGACGTCGGCAGGTTGGGGGACTCCGGTCCGTCGCAGGAGGACGAGGCCTTGCCGCTGTCTAGCTGCTCGGACAGGGTTCTGCTTGGTGGGGCAGACGCCGGCGTGACGGGCGTCAGGTGGACCTTCTGGAACAGAATCTGTTTCTCCCCGGAGGAGACCTTGAAGGAGAAAGGCCTCTGTCGCTCCTCCATCTCCCTCCAGCGCTGCTCCTCCTGCTCCTTCCTCATCCTCTCCTCTGCCGCCGCTGTTTCAATCTCCTGCAACCTCCGCTTCTCCGCTTGCTCCTCTCTCTTCCTGTCCTCCTCCTCCTCTCTTAGCTTCTTCTTCCTCTCAACCTCAAGCTGCCGCTGCCTCCTCGCCTCGTCTTCCTCCTCTCGTTGTTTCCTCTTCTGCTCTTCCAGCTGTCTCCTCTGTTCCTCCTCCTCCTCCCGCATCCTCCTCTCCTCCTCCCGCATCCTCCTCTCCTCCTCCTCCTCCCGCATCCTCCTCTCCTCCTCCTCCTCCTCCTCCCGCATCCTGCTCTCCTCCTCCTCCCGCATCCTCCTCTCGGCCTCCTCCCTCTGTTTACGACACCTCTCCTCCTCGAGCCTCAGCTCCTCTGCTGCTCTCTTCCTCCGCTCCTCTTCCTCCAGCTCCCTCCTCTCCTCCTCGTGGAGCATCTCTGGGGAGCGCTGGTCCTCGGGTTCCTCTCGCACCACGCCGGGAATCGAACCCTCCTGGACGTCCTGGAAAGGAGGAGACATGAATTTGGATCAATGTGTATTAAATCTACAGAAACCCGCTGAGGCGGCTCACCTGTGTGAAGCGCAGGTGTTTCCGGGACAACCTCTGGTTCTTGGGTTTGACGGACAGCTTGTGCCTGGCGGCGGTGTTGTCCAGGCGGGGGGCCGCCTGCGGGACGGCGTCCAGGTTGATGGACTCAATGGTGCCAGTGGGAGGGAGGACACGCCTGGACCTCGGGGACTTTACCGGCGTGCTGGGTGGTCCGGCTTGATGGACCTGCTGGTTATGAAGAGAAGTACGTCCGTTTTCACAAAATACTTTTCGCAACATCTTCACCTGCAGAACATAAACGTCAACATGGAAGCGAGAAATCTGCAGAAGCAAATGGACAAAGTAGGAAGTAAACTACATGAATCTCAAACATGATCAATGCGTTTAGGGTAATGTGTTGTTACCTTTAGCTCTGCGGGTTCGGCTTCCATCTGGGCCGAGACCTTCAAGGGACTCTGGGGAACCTCTTCTTCATCGGAGCTTCCCTCATCTCCCTCACTTCTCCTCAGAGAAGGAGGCCTCTGACCGAACTTGATACCTTCAGCTATCTGCCGCTGTTTGAACAGAGAAGGCGGCGCGTTAGCAGAACGGGCAGGACGGACATCGCCTCGCCAAACCCCCCCACGAGGCTCACCTGCAGGTTCCTCACTTTATCTGAGACGTTTTCCTGGGACATGGCGAGATCCGGACCGGGCTCCGCCTCCGGGGTGAAGATGCTGTCGTGGGAGAGGGCTCGAGAACCGACGGGATTGGCCCCCCTGCGGAGCGGACCACAGTCTACGTCCGTAAATCACTTTCAGACACTGAAGGGCTTCTTTCCACCCGGCCGACGTCTGAGGGGCCGCTGAGCGATTACGGTCATCCACGTCATGATCAACGCGCACGGCTTTTATCGTGACGACGTGACAGAAATGACACTCTGGAGTTAATCATCCCGGGCGGTTAATTACCTCAGATGTTGAGAGGACTCCTCGTCGGCGAATACGACTCCATTGCAAACCTCGCCGGTGGAGAAACTGGCTTTCAGCGGCGTTCCATCTAGCCGCCCCTCAGCCTCCGTCTTCTTCCTCCGCCCAAAGAGCCGTCTGAGGGGCTGGAAGCGGCCCGGTCGCCTCCGCTCTGCCGGCAGGAAGCAGAACGCGTGAGCGGGGCGGCGCTGCTATCGCCTCGTGGATCTTTACGAGGGGCCCTCGTGCGAGATAGCGGGCGGGGCCTCGGGGACGTCGCTAGTAAAGCGCAATCAGTTTAGTCAGCAGGAAACAACAAGCCTAATGGCAGACGGAGTGAGAAGAACACCTGCACTTTATACTCATTCCTATTTAAAAAGGCTTTAGAGGATTCACAACAACGCCATGACGTCATGTGACACTCGACCTGCAGTCTTTCAACAGATAACAAATCCACACGAGGCTGGCGTGCAAAACTGAAGGAGTCCGAGTGATTATTACAGAGTGACTCAGTTTTATCTCATTCAAGGCCAAAAGCCAAGACGATAAGATCGTAAAAGAATCAGAGACGTGTAAGAGGAGGAAGAGACTCAAGAGGACCACAAAGAGACTCAAGAGGACCACAAAGGGACTCAAGAGGACCACAAAGAGACTCAAGAGGACCACAAAGAGACTCAAGAGGACCACAAAGGGACTCAAGAGGACCACAAAGAGACTCAAGAGGACCACAAAGAGACTCAAGAGGACCACAAAGGGACTCAAGAGGACCACAAAGGGACTCAAGAGGACCACAAAGAGACTCAAGAGGACCACAAAGAGACTCAAGAGGACCACAAAGGGACTCAAGAGGACCACAAAGGGACTCAAGAGACGCAATATGATTCCAAAAAGTCCCAAAGCAACAACACAAAATGAATGAAAAGCAAGAGACAGGAAAGAGCAACACAAAGAGGACTGTTGTGTGTCTTTGAGATCCTACCCAATAAAACGCGTTATGACACAACAGATGAAGGAATCAGGAAGCGACTTTTAGCTGATCGCTTTCTATTTGAGCCTCATCTTTCATGACGTCATAAAGTCCAAAGCTTCCTCAAGCGCGCTGACACGAGGTCACTGCAGACACACAAAACCACACAAACCTCTTGGCTCAGAGCGTCCGCTTCTGTCCGTGTGTACGTGTGTCTATGTGTGTGTGTACTTGTGTACTTGTGTCTATGTGTGTGTGTGTACTTGAGGTCCCTTGTCTGAGGTTACATGGTTACTCGACCCCCCTGTGGGTATCGCTGTTGGAGCTATAAGTAGCAACCGGTGTGGGATGTCACTTTGCGTGTTGCACCAGGTGCATCTTGGGAAACGTTGCGGGGAGTTTATTACATTACTTCAGTTCATCAACATTACTGTTAGTAATCATTGGTCCTGTGGAGGTCCGTGATGTAAAACAGAGGCAGTGATGTTGTGATGTGACACCGAACGCCCCCGAGGCCGTTCTGCTCTGGTACAAAGCCACAATGCACTGCTGCCGTTGCGCTCACTCCCTCATGCGTGAAACCAGAAAGGGCACTTTTTTATTTCCCCCGCAGCACCGACGACTCAGCGGAGCGGCTGGTCCGGTCAGGGGGGGCCGGGGGGGCCGGGGGGAGGGGCTCGCTCCATCTGGTGAAGAGCAGCTGGCAGAACCTCTGCTTCTGACTACGAACAAACCCAAAATAAAACTAAAAACTACGCAGCAGCTCGACGTTCCACCTCATTCCCGGTTTTTCAAACATGTAAAACCACCGGAGACGCAGGGGGGACGAGGGGGACCGGGTTGCTACGGGCAACCGCCGCCTCGGCGTAATGAGCGTAAAACAGGAAGCCGCTTCGTTTCGTTAGTTGACACTTCTAGCGAAGAGGAGGAGAAGAAGTGAGAATCACAGCACGCCATGCTGCTCTTAAAGGGACAGTGTCTCTTTAAGAGGCCGCCTTCCGCTTTACCTGGGCCCTTGGCTTGGGTCACTTCTAACAGCTGGTCGTGCTTGGTGTTCGTGGCGTCCGTCGCCATGGTCACCGCACACCTGGGCGCAGCGAGAAGAAGGACGGATGCTGCTGCACCTCCCGGGGCGCCGAATCTACAGAGCGGAGCCGCGGTCGGACGCCATGTCTCGTTTGACTGTCTTTTTTTTTGCTAAAAAGCAAATAAAACAAAAACACTTGTGTTTGCTGGTTGTGAAGGTTCCACAGAACTCCGTCAGCCGTGTTGACTTGTTGACTGGTGACCTGCTGCGAGCGACTTACACAATAAGCAGAGATGAGTCCGTGTTTAAAACCGTAACGGACCAGACGCACCGCTATTAAACATGTGGACAACCGCTGGAATGTGTAATGGAGGTAAACCTCTGGCTCTCCGTCCCGACGCTCGTAACGGTCATAAACACGGTTCATCATCTGGTGACCTTTGGCCTCTTCTCCAGATAAACTGATAGTGTATTCAGCTCGCCAGCTTTTAGTGTGGAGGGCTGAAAGTGCCCGAGGGGAACACGCTGTCTCACTATGAGACAGCAGAAATAACCAGAAGAAAACCCACAAACCACAGACCTGAACCACCGAGCGCCATGTGTGGTCGATAAGAAGAGAGAGAGAAGGAGCCGTACTGGATTTCAGCTGCACAAAACTGCAGTAAAACCTCAGGGAACATCGACCCCCCCTGTTTTTTTTGTTTTGCACAAGGACTTCTTTACCCAGACAAGCAGAGGTGGGGGGCAAAGTCAAAGCTTCATGTCTTAAAGCTGCATTCTGTGCAGTGACCAGCAGGGGGCGACTCCTCTGCTCCCATAGACGTCTATGAGGAAATGACTCTACTTCTCTGTAGTGACCAGCAGGGGGCGACTCCTCTGCTCCCATAGACGTCTATGAGGAAATGACTCTACTTCTCTGTAGTGACCAGCAGGGGGCGACTCCTCTGCTCCCATAGACGTCTATGAGGAAATGACTCTACTTCTCTCTTGATTTATTCCTTCAGTAAACATTGTAAACATGAGTTCATGGTCTCAGACCATGAACTCATGCAGACCATCAAACAGACCATAAAGCAGGGGATGGTGTAGGGCGGGGCTACACAATGATTGACAGGTCTCTACGCGGTCACGTATATTAATCTACACCTCCACAGACAGACTAAGGTCTCGATTTCTCTCCTCCGCAGCTTGAACAGCCTCTGGTTTCCATGGTAACATGTGGAAGCAGCACAGAGGCAAACAGTCCTCGTCCACCACAAAGCGACTCGACTGTACTTGTTGACGCTTGTTTCTCTCGATGCCTTTTGTTTCAACAAAGGAAGCAGCAGCGAGATATTACAAATATGGGGAATAAACATCCTGTGTGGTGAGTAACGGTGATCGATGCCAGAACTGTGAGTGTGAAGCAAGTTGTGACACGGTGGACGACTAATCCCCTCATTCCTATCCAGAGAACCTTATTCTTTGGTCTTATCTTTTATTACTCTTTAGTTACCTTTTTTGAATACTTTTTTCTCTGAGTTTCTGTTTCTACAGAACATTATAATTAGTAAAATACAAAAACAATACCATTTTTTTTTTCAAAATTCTTACTCGGACACGATTGATTCAGTTATTTAAGACAAAAGACCAATTAGCATTGAAGCAAACATGAAAAGATACAATGTGTGTTTCTTGTCACAGTCAAAAGAACTCACAATAATGTTGCAATAGATAATTGCCACCAGAAACCAGTAGAGTATTGATATAAACGTATATATGTATTGAGCTTAATTACATTTCTTTATATTATATAAATATTTGCACTTAAATTCGCGGTCGGACGGTTTGCAGTAAAGCAGCAGTTTGATGTAGTAAAATTAGACATCTACATTATTTAGCATCTTTATGTCACATTCCTGTCAATCAGCGTGTAGCCCCGCCCTAATGCATCCTCTGCTTTATGGTCTGTTTGACTCTAAATGGACAATAATTCACTAAATAAACATCATGTTGTGTTGAAGAAGACTTGAAACTAGAGACTGAGACCATAAACTCATGTTTACAATGTTTACTGAGGGAATAAATCAAGAGAGAAGTAGAGTCATTTCCTCATAGACGTCTATGGGAGCAGAGGAGTCGCCCCCTGCTGGTCAGGAGACAGAATGCAGCGTTAACACACGACGCATCACTTTTCTCACCTGTGTATGTCACATATTTAACAATATGCCCCCCCGCCCTCCTCTTGAGGTATTTCACTTTGCACCAAAAGCATTTACTATCCGACTACTCGACGTAAACATTCCTCAAGCCGCCGCACCGCAAAAAAAACTCCTTAGAGGTAGAAAACCTGCAGCCATCGGTGCAGCTATAAACACCACCTTCATGAATCATGGAGGGCCCTGGTCTCCGCTGCTTGTCCGCTCTCTAGACATCCACAAAGGATTTCAGAGCGGCACGCAGCACGGGTCACATGACCGGCGCTTCGTTTTCCACATCGGCCGACGGCTGCGTGGCAAAATACCCGACGCGGTTTTCCTCCACCCGCGTGAGCGCTTCACACCAAAACTACAGTTCTCTGGGCTAAACTACGTCACCTACCCCCCTTTCGGCCGGCTTGTGCGCGAGGCTTCTTCTGCGTGTGCGAGGCTCCCTGCGAGCGTGAGGCCGTTCCACCTGCCTGCTGCCGCTGTGGATCTAGGGCATCACCTGGAGTCAGGTGTCAGGCTCGGCGAGAGAGTGTGTGTGTGTGTGTGTGTGTGTGTGTGTGTGTGTGTGTGTGTGTGTGTGACCACGTAAACACCCCTTGATTATTCTCGTACCAATGAAAATTGGACTTGATGCTCCGCAAGGCAGCGACAGACTTCGGGGATGAGAAACGTTGCCGTTGGCTGTTTGAGAGGAGCACATGTACAGTCTGGGGGGGGGGGGGTCTCCTGTGTCTGTACCGAGGAGGCACAAAGTGACACTTTGTTAGCGGCCCACCAAAAAACAAAGTGGCATTCATCGTCTCCGACACAAAGGCGCCCGTTGTGCGGCTAACGCTAACGGAATTAGCACGTGTCTGCTTATTCATTTTGTGGTGGTACACAGGGAGCGGTGCCAGAGCGTGAGTCGCCTTTTCCCCCCCTGTTCTTGGAAGCCCCCCCCCCCCCCCCCCTCCGAGGCCTTAAACCCTGAACCTTCAAGGACTCACTGACATCACCTGTGAGACACTAAAAGCTTCCAAGATACCAACGAGAGCACTTAGAAAGGTCACCTCTTTACTCCCTCTTCTCAAAGTTATCAGATGTAACATGTAACAACGTCAGTGAGCACAACGTAAAAGTAATACGTTATAAGAAATAAATAATAATAATCTCTGCTCACGGGTCATTTAATGTGCCTTCTTAAATCCCAAATGTTTCTGTGTAGATTAAAATAGCCAACTCCCATCAGTTCTGATGAGTGAAGTCAGAGCTTCATGCGTTAAAGCTGCATTCTGTCTCCTGACCAGCAGGGGGCGACTCCTCTGCTCCCATAGACGTCTATGAGGAAATGACTCTACTTCTCTGTAGTGACCAGCAGGGGGCGACTCCTCTGCTCCCATAGACGTCTATGAGGAAGATGACTCTACTTCTCTCTGGATTTATTCCCTCAGTAAACATTGTAAACACGAGTTTATGGTCTCAGTCTCTAGTTTCCAATCTTCTTCAATACAGCATGATGTTCATTTGGTGACTGATGGTCCATTTAGAGTCAAACAGGCCATAAAGCAGGGGACGCTTTAGGGCGGGGCTACACGCTGATTGACAGGTCAACACCAGAGACCTTGGTTGCAAAAAACGAGACAACATGGCGTAATCCAAGAGTCATTATATAAACCAATGAGTGACATCACCATGACTACGTGCACTATACATTGTTATTGTGGATGAAAACGCTGACTTTCCACAGGTCACCTAAATGCCTCAGATCGCTGAAACCAACCTGGTTTTCGTTTTGTTTTAACAAATGAAAATGTGTTGAGCAGAAATGTGTGTTTTACGCCATCCAATGTTATTCGTCATACCTTGAGGAAAACCCCTCTGATACGGTTGAAATATCTAAATAATAGACACTGTATAAATTGTAATGGCTGTTATATAACATGCTGATTTCTTTTTTATTTTATTTATGTTTAAATGAAATAAGTAACTGTATTTATTTTAAAATAAATAAAAGAGCGGCAGACAAAAGGTGTGTCTGGGTTCAAATCAAATCCACATTGAGTTTTTATGTGAGGTCAAAGGGCGTAAAATTGGTCCCATTAAAGGGAGGCTGTCAGTGTTAAACTCAGCAGCTGATATGAGATGCAAATGACGTCACCAAACATGGACAGCTGATCGATCGTAACGATCAGTGAAACGCTGTGGATTCCTCCAGCAGCCCCCTGCGCGCCTCCTGCACGAGGCCACCGAGGCGCGCGGCACTCATTTAGGACATTTCATTCAAATGAAGAAGCTCGGATTGATATGAACCGCTTCTGCTTTGTGCCGCACCTGCGGCCTGCAGCACGCGGCCCGCGCGCGCTCCTCACGCTGACTCGCGCGCCGTGCGGGAGACCGTGAAGGATTCACGCCGTCGTGGATCGATACGCGGCCGCCGATGGCGCGCGCGGGGCGCAGCTGTTAATTGGGGGGGGGGGGGGGGGGCGCGAGGAAAGAGAACAAAGAATGTGGCCTCCGCTTCTCGCGCAAACATCCAAACAGATTCACTCGCGCGCACAATCGATGCGCCTTATTTCACGTATTAATCTGCAGAGTGAATCCGGCCTGTTGACATCGAGGTTTTGCGCATTTCAAGTCGGATCAAAGTGGAACTGTCAGCCCATTTACAGCGCGCGCGCACGCACACGCACACACACGCACATCTGCAGGGATCGAGCGGGTCAATGAGGGACGATGGACGGAGACAAGGTCGTCGTGAGAAATGAAGAACAACAATAAAAGCAGAAATAAGAAGCAGCACCTTTCCGCGAGTCCTCCTCCCGGCGCGCGCAGACCCCCTTTGTGTGGCTGATGCTGCTGCTGATGGTGCTGGTGGTGCTGATGCGAGTGCACGACAGGGGAGAAGCCCGGACGTACGTACGTACGCACGCACGCACGCACGCACGCACACGCGCACAGCCAGTCCCAGCACAGCTGCACGCCCGATAAACTGGCCCTGAAGAACACGGGTGGGGGCGGGGGGGGGGGGGGTGGAGACGGGAGGAGGGTGCGGCTGCGAGCGGCGCAGAACGCACGAGCTCCCCTCGGCGCGTCACGACGCGAGCGCGTTCCCGCCCGTCAGCGCCGTGCTGGTCATTCAAGAGGAGGATGAAGAACGAGCCCCGAGGAGGAGGAGGAGGAGGAGGAGGAGGAGCAGGAGCAGGAGGAAGAGGACAGTATCGGGATTTTTCATATTGTTTTCGGATCATCTGGGTCCTGCTCCTTCTCCTCCTTCTCCTCCTTGAGCCACGAGTTCTCTTCACAAAGGTCTCCTTCTATCATGATTCTATTTGACTTCATGTGTAAATACACGACCATCACACATTCTGGGTCTTCATCATCTGCATGTCGACTCTGGACCGGTCCACCAGAACTCATGCAGGTCCACTGAGAAGGTCAATGGGGAAGGTGGAGAAGAAGAATCTCCATCCTTTCCACCCGTCCAAGGGAAGAGAAGATAAAGGAAGGATGGAATTTCTCGGATTCATATTTGGCTTTTGGACAGAATCATCTTCTACATCGTGTTTCCCTGAATAATGTGATTGGCCTTTTCTGACATTTTTATAGACGCAGCAATTAATCATCTTAATTAATCAGAACATATCTGCAGATTAACTAAGAATAAATAGATAATTGTTAGTTGCGAAAGACAAGTTTTCTAATGAAATGTTATCATGAATAAAACACAGTCGCTGCAGATCTGAGCGCACAACGTGTTCCAAAGATCAACACAGGTGTGATAATCTCTAAAACTCAGGTTGATGTTCTTAAACTTTAGCTCTTTATTACCGGCATTAAAACATACTAACGCCCTTTGGACTCTTTTAAACACGTGCCAGGATTTAGAACATTTTCAAACCAACTTCCAGGAAGTGTGCAAATGATTAATATCAGAATCTAGCAAAGGACAATAAGTCCTAAATGTGTCGTAGATCTGATTACTTCTTTAGGACTTGAGTATTTGTTCACTCCAACTATATTTCCTCAGTGTTCACCGTACGTCCTCGGCTGGTGAGAGGTCCAGTGGGCCTTTGTGTGGAGCAAGAGATGAACAGGGTGGATGAGTCGTGATGCTGCTGCTCCTCCACCCGGAGCCAGGTGGTGTGTCTCTGACGGGAAATATAAGAACACAGCGGGTCTAAAATGGTCTTCACTGCTGTGTGCAACTTTTACAACGTACCACACCTAAAGTGTCCTCCGAGGAATCTCAGTCTCCTCAAATATGCCTCAAGGGGATGAACATGCAGAAGGCCCCAGCTGAACTACACTTCCCAGCTGGCATTGCGGTACTACAGGATCAAAGGACAAATTATCCTAAAAACACATTCTGCAAATATGTTAAATATATGCTAATATATATAACAAATATATACAATCAGCCGAACTAAAACCTTTCCTGAACGCACTACATATTAATCACTATAGTTTCACATGGAGGATTTGACTTATTTTTCAAAAAACCTCACTGAAAATGTACTCTATCTACTTAATTTGGCATTAGCTTCCTCAAATAGAAGATCAACTTTAATATGGATTAGTAGACGTACATAACGTACATTTAATACAAACATTTACGTTAGTTTGAATCCGTTTTAAAAGTGGAAGTGGTTTTATTCTGACAGTCTCCAGCCCCGGAAGTGAACGAGGCTCTCTTCTCTTTAAAAACGTGTATTCTATATACTTAAATCGTCTTTAGTGTGGACAAGATGAAGCTAATCCTTTTAAAACACGTCAGAGGTTGTAGACACGTTAACGCTCGAATATTTTATGTGTCTATTTATATTCATAAGATTGGAGAAAAAAAAGCTTTTATTATGAAGCTCATCCGGAAACGGCTCGATCGACGCCGTCGTACGTGACGTCTCCTCGGCAGTTCGCTACGTGCTACGTCACCAACGGTTAGTCCGCTTTCAGCGACTCACCCACCGAACGGCAGCGAACGATGCCGCCCCGGCGGCACGACCCCGGCGCGAGGCGGAGCGGAGGCCCGGCGGCGCCCGGCGCGGCCCGCCGCGGCGGCTCCGCGGTGCTCCCGTCGGTCCTCACGTTCCTGGGTGATCGTGGCGTCCGGCGGCCTGCTGCTGATGATCGAGAAGGGGCTGCTGAGCGGCGTGGAGACGCCCCCGCCGCTCGGCGCCGGGAGGCGGCCGGACGACGCGCGGCGGAGCGGAAGCTCCGCGCTCGCCGCCGCCGACGACGTGATTTCGCAGGGTATCAATTGTTTTAGTTCCACTAAAGACTCCTCTTAAGAAAAGTTCCTGAGGGGGCCTACAGACGGCTCCATTCCCATCATGCACCTGGTTCGTCTTCCTGTTTCACCTGTGAAAAACGGACCTCATGTCCTACAGATGTTTTCACTAGATGAGTAACACTGAACTGACGTGTACATGTTATGTCCAGGTCCTCCAGGAGATCCGCAACCGCACCATCAGGAGCGTGTGCGGCCAGAAGAGCATGCCGCAGGACGTGTGGTCCCTGAGCGCCCTGCAGAGGAGGACGCTGCTGCAGCACGTCCTGGTCAACGACCGCCACCGCTTACTGTACTGCTACGTCCCCAAGGTGGCCTGCTCCAACTGGAAGCGGGTCCTCAAGGTGCTGAGCGGCGCCCTGGAGAACGTGGACGTCAGCGTCAAGATGGACCACCGCAGCGACCTCCTCTTCCTGCACTCGCTGAAGCCCGAGGAGATCCGCCACCGCCTCCAGCACTACTTCAAGTTCATGTTCGTGCGCGAGCCCATGGAGCGCCTGCTCTCCGCCTACCGCAACAAGTTCGGGGAGATCGAGTCCTACCAGAGGAAGTACGGCGTGGAGATCGCCAGGCGATACAGGAAGCCTCCCGCCAAGGACGCGGCGGCGGCGGCGACGAGGGGCGACGACGTCACCTTCGCCGAGTTCGTCCGCTACCTGCTGGACGAGGACGCCGAGCGCATGAACGAGCACTGGATGCCGATGTACAACCTGTGCCAGCCGTGCGCCGTGCGCTACGACTTCATCGGCTCCTACGAGCGGCTGGAGGCCGACGCCGAGCTGGTGCTGCGGCGCGTCGGGGCGCCGCCCGCCGTCCGCTTCCCGGAGCGCCAGGCGTGGTACAAGCCGGTCACCGCGGAGACGCTGCACTACTTCCTGTGCGGCCTCCCGCAGAGGCTGCTGAGGGAGCTGCTGCCCAAGTACATCCTGGACTTCTCCCTGTTCGCCTACGCGCTGCCCAACGCCACGGCCGCCCACTGCCGCCACTGAGGGGCCGCGGGGGGGGCCGCCCACTGAGGGGCCGCCCACTGAGGGGCCGCGGGGGGGGCCGCCCACTGAGGGGCCCCGGGGGGGCCGCCCACTGAGGGGCCCCCGGGGGGCCGCCCACTGAGGGGCCGCCCACTGCCGCCACTGAGGGGCCGCCCACTGAGGGGCCCCGGAGGCTTTTATGTGGAGAACCTTTTTTAAAAACTGTTTTATACCGCTAAGTGTTTATAGCTGTTACACATTTCTACTCCAGATGTTTCCTGAACATTTTTTTAAAGAAAAACCGCAACAAACCACTAAAGCTTGAAATCCGCTGCAGACAAAGAACAAACAAAGCAAACGTTTCCTTTTCTACGTTTTCCTGTTACAGCTCAGTGAGGTAAACTGTGGTTCTCTCTTTTTTCCTCAAACTGTTTTTACGTTGTAATAAAACACAAGTTCAATTTCTGTATCGCTTTATTACAAAAATAATTTAATAATTTAAACATTTAAAACATGAAGCTTAACACGCAGTCCAGTATTTGTTCAGACGTTGGAGCCTTTGAATCCAGGGAGTCGGACAGAAACAGTACAAATGTTGCCATTAAACACCTGCATGATTCCAGGTCCGTCTGTGTTTTTAATCCTTGAAGCTCACGCTTCTGAAACGAGGCAGGAAATAGATGTTTAAAACTTTAAAGGCTTTTTGATGAAATAAGGCACAAGTATTTATATAAAAAGCAGTTTATCAGGATAACCTCGGTTTGCCGAGGCCGCGAGCCCAAAGCCTCACCTGTCGGCGGGCCGGTCGGCGGAGCGGGCCGGGGTCCGCAGGATCGAGCGCTCGGGGGAAGTGTGAGAAGCGTCGTGGGACGACGAGAAGGAAACGCCCTGTCGACGCATCTCCTGCACGGCGCGCTCGCTGCACCAGAATCATCAATAAATACATTGTTGCAAGTACATGAAATCCATCACGCAACCAGCTGGGTCCTGGTCACGTGGTCGGCTCACCGCTCAAAGCGCTCGCTGGTCAGCTGTCTCCTCAGGACGTCCATCTCCGTCTGCAGCTGGGACACGCTGGCGCGCAGCTGGGACGCCTCCCTGGACAGCTCCACCCTGAGACCGTCCACACACACACACACACACACACACACAGGTCAGCTTCACGAGACAGACGTGGGAGTCTGGCGGCGTGAGTCTCCACGTCGGCTCCGTTTACGTTTTGCTGTCGGCGAGAGTCAGCCGGTCACGGAGGACCTTCAGCTCGGACTCCTTCTCGCTGGCCGTCAGGTGGGTTTGGAACTCCTTGTGCCGATTGGACGAGAGGAGGGTCTCCAGGTTGCGGACGGTCAGCCTCTCGCTGGTCATCTGCTTTTTAATAAGCTCCGCCTCCGACCGAACGTCCTCCAGTTCTCCTGTGACCTAGAGACCGCGACGACGATGTTACAGAAAGCAGGTAAGAAACCTCCAGGAGGGGGCGCTGTGAGGAACTTTCATTTAGTGGAGACTCTGGCGCCCCCCGTGGACCAAAGTGGTAGTGCCTCCTCCCACCAGGGTCCCTTTAGAAAGCAGCAGGGTCTCACAGTCCTGGTTCACATAGAGGATCAGGACTACACAGACTGGTGCAGGACCAGCTTCAAGTGGTCTCACCCTCTCCAGGTCCATGCTCCTGGAGGTGAGCTGACGTACGGCGTGCTCCTTGTCGGCGTCCAGCTTGACGCACAGCTCCCTGACGGATGCCAGGTCGGAGAGGAGCTCCGCCTTCTCCTCCCGCGCTCCTCGCAGCTCCTCCTCCAGCCGGGACATCCCGCGCACCAGCGCCGACACCTGGGCCTCGTAGGCCTGCAGGGCCTGCGTGTGCTGGGGGGGAGGACGGCGTGTTATAATGTCATTAACACAGGCGCCGTGTTTCTGACCCCCCGGGTCTCACCTGTTGGATTTCCCTCCCCTGAGAGCTGACGGTGTCGCGCAGGTGCCGGCGCTCCGCGTCCGAGGACTGCAGCTCCAGGCGGGATGGAGCTGTTGAAGCCTTCAGCCTGCTGCAGCTTGTGCTCCTGCTCCTCCACCTCCGAGTGAGGCCATCCTGAATCGCTCCAGCAGGTCCCTGTTCTCCTGCTCCTGTGGGGGGGTCAACACTAAGCCATCAATACAGGGAGGGGGAGGTGCAAAGGACGACATATCTGCTGTGTAGGAGACCGTTCTTCTCGCCTTCGTGTTCATCAGCTTCTCTATTCGGGACACTTCAGAAATGTAAGAGTGGACCCTCATCTTCAGCTCATCCTTCTCGTGCAGCGCCTCCTCCATCTCCACGTGCACGGCCTGCACAAACACAGCAGGAGGTTCACTCCTCCCATCACATGACATGTCATGTAGCTGACGCTTTTATCCACAGGAGATGTCCTGATGTCTTCAGAGACCTCCTTCCACCGTTTAGGAGCAGGACAGCAGAGAGTGGAGATCTAGTCGAGTGTTTTGCTCTCAGTGAGGAGGAACGAGCGGCTTCTCTTGGTATACGAGCAGCAGAGTTCGCCCTCTATTCCCCCGCGTGGCACCTACTTGGTTCTCTCTGGTCATGGTAGCCAGGTCGTCTTGCAGCCGGCGGTTCTCTCTCACGGTGATGTCTTTGTCTCGCCGGAGTCCGGCCAGCTCCTCGTGACCCGCGTCCAGCTGCCTCCTCATGCTGGCGATCTCCCTCTCGCGGCCGAGCAGCGCCTCCTGCAGCTGGCTGAGGGGTCACAGCGTTACCGCCGGGCCCCGGTGGGGCAGAGGGTCGCGGCTTTAGGAGCACGGTACTCACGCTAGGGAGGCGTCCATGTGTGTGACGGCGAGCCTCGCGTCTCTGAGGGTCTGCTCCTGTGTGGACACAGCGGCGTTACGCCTCGTTAGGAGATGTCTTCTAGTCTTTAATCTTAACCCTATTCTCAGTGTTCCACATGTGACTGAAGGGGTTCTTAGTCGTTATTCCACTAAAGGACGAGACATTTCCAGCGTTTGGGTTCATTTTCATAACATGTCCACCTTTTGTTTCCCTGTAGTGAAAAGTCTTTAACTTATGTGACAATACTGACTTGATTTGACGACAAGTTATGAAGCGTCACATTAACTTGAGAATGTTCGTCTGCACAGAGAGGAGCCGCGGCCCCGTGAGGAGGAGACATCGTAGACACGCCAGAGGACAAATGACCTTTAACCATCTGGGTGAGGCCGGTCGGCGGTCGCTACCTTTTTAGAGAGCTCCTCCTGGAGAGCCACCAGTCTCTCCGTCTTCTCATCCACCTCGTCCTGCAAAGCGTCCTTCTCTCTGTCCAGAGCGGACACAGACCTCTGGAGAGCAGCCACGTCCTCTTTGTGCTCGGAGCCCTGCTGACTCAGCTCCCCTGTGAGACCCAACGGAAATCCATCCAACGGCCCCGAAGCAAAAAGAACTGCGAGTGGGCCGACCGACAGCACACTTACGCGTCGCCTCCTCCAGCTGCCGGATGTGCTGACGTGCAGCAAGCAGCTCGTTGGCCTTCACAGAGAGCCGGCGCTGAGTGTCAGACAGCGACTGCTCCATCTGCTCCTGCAGCAGCCTACACACACACACACACACAATCACATTATTGACTTTCTAAGATCTGAGGTCACACTGTTGCTCCTCTGTTTGGATCCATAAAGATCTTCTAGTGGTGAGCAGCTCCAAAGCTTCGTTCTCTAACGTCTGGTATGCAGCAGGCGATGACGATGATGATGATGATGATGATGGATTCCAGCCTGTGTGTTCACTCGCTCGCTCCTTCAACAAATGCTCACGACGTTTCGCCTCCAACACAAACCTCAGCGCGTTGGTCTCGGCCCTCTGATGGGAAACCTCCTCTGCGTTCTGGACCACAGCGGCAGAGCGAAGCCTCAGCTCCTCCTCGGCAGCCTCCCTGTTCTCCTTCAGCCGACACACCTGGGACCTCAGCTCCAGTCTCTCCCGCTCCAGCTTCCCCCCCCGGAGGACAGAGGAAACAGAAGAGACAGCCGCCGTTGTGACCACATGCGCAACGTTAACACAAAGACCTGATTATCATTATGACGCGTTCGTTAAAGGCTCACGCTCTTCACGGCGTCCTCCAGGTCCCTCCTCTCCTCCTGCAACACATTCCAGCCACACCAACCGGTTTACGTGGTCGCTGAGCATCTGATCACGGCTTTCACAACCAATTCATCTGCACATGTTGTCACTACTGTTATTTCATATGTACAGTTATAAGTGTTGGTCAAGGCGCCGTTAGATCGGTCTGACTTTAAAATTGGTTTCATTTAACATATCAGAAGATACTGAAACATGTCTAATAGCAAAGGTGTTCAAGCAAGTAGCAGCTAATCTCTGCGTCCTGCCGCTACCTGCTCACTGAGAGGAGAGTCCATGATGCTTTCAGCCGCGCAGAACTCACCCTTCCTCTCTCTGCTTCTGTGGTGATCTGCTGGATTCTGCTCTCCGCTCGCTTCACCTCCTGCTGCAGCGTCAGCAGGTCAGCTGACCCGTCCGCTCCACCGGCCCGCTGCAGGTCCTCTTGAGCCTGAAGGGACAGAGAACGAGACACACTGGGTCCTCAGAAGGAGCTGAGAGGCTTCCCAGCCGGCGGGGGTCCCGGTCCTGCGGCTCACCCGTCTCCAGAGGGCTTTGAAGCGGTCTCTCTCGGAGCTGAGGCCCTTCACCTTGTTCTGGATGTCCTCCATGTGCTCCTCAAAGTCCAGCAGAGCCGCCTTCAGCTCGTTGCGTTCCTTCACCAAGCGGAGCAGCTCCGTCTCTGCGCCGCCGCCCTGAGAGCGGACGGCATTGACCACTTAGAATCTCCTTTGAGAGGATCCAACCCGACGGCACGTTTCAACTACGCGTCCCGGTGTCGTACCGCTTTGGGCCGAGGACTCCGGCCCCTCACCGGGCTCCGACTGGGGCTCGAGTCCGGCCCCCCGGCCCCTCGGGCTCTCCTGTAGCGCTCGGCCTCCTGCCGGTAGCGGTCCCTCTCCTCCTCCAGGCTCTTGACGAAGGCATCAAGACGCGACGGGGAGCGCTCCCTTCCACAAACGCCGTGCTTGGCCCGCATGGACTCCAGCTCCAGGACCAAGTCTTTGTCTGGGGGGGGTCAGAGACACAGCCCAATGCGCTCCATTCACAATGCTGCAGCGTGTTTCGTGTTCATGTATTCTGCACAGCGGCAGATAAAAGACAAATAATCCAATGAATCCCCGTTTTTTAATTCAGGGTTACGCTCTGTCCATTTCCTTTTTTTGCCTTAATTCAAAATCTTCAATAGAAGGTTTGAGTCGGTCCAGGCCTCTATGCTAATGTCACGATGTTAATAATTACTCACCAGCTGCCATCATGTTCTCCATTTTGTCCTTCAGCCGCAGTTTCTCCTCCTCCAGGAAGTTCACCAGTCCCTCCATCTTCTCCTTCTGCTCTCTGAGGTCCAGCAGCTCATCTCTGAGACGGTCTTTTTCGAAGTCGCCTTCGGACTGCTCCTGGATTCCACCGTCAACAGCAGATTATGTTTTCAGCTTGTGCAACACCACCGTTCACTGGAGAATGAGCAGAGGAACTAAGAAGGTTTCCCCCTACACACCCGTCTCAGTGTTGAGATGATTTCCTCCAGGTCCTCGATGGTTCTCTGTTGCCTTTGAATCGCTTTCTGTTGAGGTTTGTTTTTGTTTATTCACTTGTACTGACAGTGTGTGTAGATAACAAGGTAGTGTTTGTTTGTACGGTAAAGGCAGAAGGAACATGCGTTCCTACTTTGCTTTCTTGCAGCTCCACGTCGGCGGCCTCCAGCACGTGCTCCTTGTCCGTCTCCAGCCGCTGGGCCAAGTCGTCCACGTGCGTCAGCTCCTCGCACAGCTCCAGGTTCTTCAAGGACAGATTGGCCACTTCGGTGGAGGCGTCCTCCTTTTTCTGCTGCAGCGCGTCGACCTTCTGATCCAGAGTCCTGTTGGTCTCCTGCAGGTATTCGATCTGCAGAACGCAAAGCAGCAGCAGCAGGGGGTCAGCGGGCTCCAGACCACCACGGGGCCCCTTTTCTCCAGAGGAACCGAGTCCACCGAGCAGCTCGAATCGCAGAAACACACGTCCACAGGCCGTGGGGGGGGGGGCTGCTTGCCTGAAGGTTGAGATGCGCAATCATCTTCTCGTTGCTGATGTTCTGGGCCTCGAGGGAAATGACATCGTGAGGCCGTCCTCCACGAAGAGCGCGGCTCATGCGCTCAATCTCTTTGTCCCGCTCCTCCACCTAAAAGAGATCAGAAATAATAACATACAAACAACATTTAACATGTCACGTGTTAAATGTTTCCACTTTCAACTCATGCCTCACCTGCGTGTTTAAGTGTTTTATAAACTCTTGAGCGTTTTCCAGGTCTAGTTTGACCTTCATGATGTCATCCTGCAGCTCCTGGATCCTGCACACGAACAATAAGAGTCATGCAAATACCAACATCTCACATGTCACCCGGGTGGCGACCGGCTGTCTCAATAACACAATAATAACAACACAGCTCGCCCGCCACATTAAAGCAAACAGACCTCCCATCGGCCATGTGCAGCAGGTCGGCTATGTACGGGTCATCGGGCTGCGAGGCGGGATAGGCCGATGTGGAGGAGCGAGGTGTGAGCTCATCGATCTGCATCCTTTGCCGTCTGAACGGGATGCTGCGCTTCTTCCCACCTGAGAGCGAGAGAGGGTCCGTCCTTCAGTTCGCTTTGGTTTCTCTTTACAATCTTTTTTTATTTGCACAATTACAAAATAATAAACCAACATAACACAGATAGATAATTGCAAGGCGTAGGGAGCCTCCACCTAAATCATGTGGAACGAGAACCCAATGGCGATAATACATAAGAAAGCAATTACACAGCAGCAATGACATGTTATTTGAAAGCCCTTTGAAACATTTTCTGTTGGGAGGGAAAAGCCATTCTATAAATATTGTTGTCATGGAGCTGCGGTCAGACTTTACCTGGCGTCTGCACCACGGCTTGCATGTTCTTCTCCTGCAGCTGTTGGATGCGCTCAGCTTTCGCCTTGCTGTCCTTCTCCAAGCAGCGAACTTTGTGCACGTACTGGTTATTTAAAAACTTCAGGTCAGACGTCTCGTGGCCCAGTTTCCTGATGTGGGTCTTCAGCTCTTAAACAAGACGAGATCGCGTGGGGTCATCAGACCAGCTCGGTGTGGGTCGAGGATGTGAGGGAACCTGACGGATACACGGAGGAAGGCCGACGGACCGCTCATCGCTGGCTTACCTCTGCCGACTCGATCCTTCTCCTCCTTCAGCTTGAGAAGTTCCAGGTGCAGCTGGTTGTTCTCCCGGACCACTCGGGCGTTCTCCGCCCTGTACGGCTCCAGAAGGGCGTCGAAGGTTCGGGTTTCTTCCTCGGTTTTGCCCGCCGACAGCTTGGTGTTGCGCAGGCTTTCCGTCGTGTGGATCAGGTCACTGTAACAGCAGGAAAACACGTCGGAGGAACATCTCAGCATCGGTAAGAGATCGTTACTCTTTAACTTATCTATGTTTTCTTCCAAGACACCAGTCTCCATTAAAAAAAACCTGACAGAACACAGAGTCACTGGCGCCTCTTGATCCATGAGTTGTGTGTTTTACCGACTTTATTCCTCCGATGGAGGCAGAAGAGCAACTTTAACCTCACAATGTCCCGTGAGGTTAAAGTGTGGCAGCAGGTGCAGCCAGGTGAAGGTCTCACCTGAACAGCTTCTCCACCAGCGGCAGTGACTCGATGCCCAGCGGGTGTCGGTAGCCCAGCTGGTCCAGACGCTTCCGCAGACTCACGAACTTCCTCTCGGCGTTGTTGTTCATGTTGGCGGCGCTCAGCGAGCGACCAGCAGCCGCTTGTTTTAACACATTATTAACACAATAAGCGCTTCACTAATACTACTCTCAAATGTGGAGCAATATTTAAAACCAAACCAAGAAGTATGAAACTAACTTATCTAGCTAACTACTAACTAGCTCATGCTAACCAGCAGCTTACTATTACGGTTTATTATTAGGTAAGGTTATGGCATAATGTAGCTAGCGTATAGGCTAATGGGCTAATAGTGCTACGCTGTGTTACTTAACGAAAGAGCTAACTAACGTTAGCACAACTTAGCTAACCTAGCTAACGTCAACGTACCGTGATCGCAGGGACAGTTTGCGGGACTAACGGCTCTGCATAACCGACGTAAACGTCTCTCCCGGGGTCAATGCCTCGCGCGGGACTCCGTCGGGCGTTTACACGTTGTCCTCCGTTAATGTTTGAGAGTCAACAACGCGTTTGGGTTGACATGTTTGCTTTCGCGGTACCGGGGTTTGAAAAGAGCGCCGGCGGCCCGCGGCCCGTCACCATGGAAGCGCCGCGGCGGGGGTTAGCGCGTTTTGCAAGCCGGCGTTGGCCGAGCAGCCAACGGAGGGCGGGGTCAGGCCACAAACGTTGAAGTAAATAGTCGATAAATACCCATATTCAACACAGCACCACAGAGATAGATTGGCGGCGGCAAGTTTATTATGTACATATGGCATAAAGAATAATATAACGAAAATATATTTAGAGCGGGTCTGTTGAATTGCAAAGAAACCAACTCTCACGTACACACAATGTGGAAGTCTGCAGGTACATATAAATTTCATTAGAATACACTGACACACAGATGAAATGTTCATTGTCCAAAAACAAAACAACAAAAACAACAACAGTACAAGATAGTTAGTGAGTAAGTAGAGATCATCGGTGATCGACGTGAGGCGGGAGGGAATCCCTCCTGGAGAAAGTGCAGATCAGTGGGACTGAGCAATGCTGGAGAAGTACTCCAACATGTCCCTGATGGTGAACTCCATGGTGATTCCAGACCCAGGGTAGCATCTGCCGATCAGGTCCTCAAAGTGCTTGTACTGACGGATGAACTCGTCCTGCATAGAGTGCCACACCACCTGGTGGAGCGAATCGGCTGGTTAAGGGAGGAGGCAGCGCGAGCTGCAACAAACACACTGTCTTTTTAACCGCTCACCTGCAGCAGACTTTCTTCTTCGCACAGATGCTTGTCAACCTTCTTGTAGAGGTTGTCGAGTCCCTTTTTCACCTCCTTGCCGGGATACTCCTTGATGACTTTACGCAGCTCCTGCTTGTTGAAGGCCAGCTGGTAGCTCACCTCCTCCTCGCGGACGCCCTGAGCCACGCGGGCCTCGACTCCTTCGAAGAAATGCTGCAGGCACACGACAGGTTAGCAGCCGCGACGCTTCCAATACGACCCGTCTGTGAGGTTCATGTGAACACGAAGGCTCACGCAGACCTACATTGAGCTTTTCGAGCGGCTGGCCCAGGGAGTTGATCACGTAGGACTGCAGGTGGTCGGTGTATTTGTGCTTGGCCTCTCGCCGCTCTGCGTCCAGGCAGGAGATCTTCAGGCGCGACAGCGTGGAGAAGATGTGGTGGAAGTTCTCCATCATCACAACGTCCCGCGGCGTTTTCTGGCTTTCGTTGGCGACCTTCTCCACTGGGAAAAGAAGCCACGGTCAATATCCACCCTTCTCCGGCCAAACAAGCACACAGCTCAGCCTCACCATTCATGAAGACGGCCCTGATGAGTTTCACGTAAGCTTTGTCCAGGTCTCCTCGGCGCTCAGCGTTACGGAAGATGGTCTCGGCCAGCTCTGCAAACTCCTCGAACCCGGTGACGAAAAGGAGGATTCCCACTTTGCTTTTCTTAGAAATCTTCACTTCCTCCATCTGTCTGATCTGAGCCGACTGGGGGGAAAAAAACACGGCGCATTGATACAATACAATATGCAAAAGGCACAGCTCACCCCCGAAATCACAAAACATATTCATCCGCTGTTGTTGAGTGGTTTGGTGTCGGAGATATCAGCCAACACACGCGGATTTATTCCCTCAGTAAACATTGTAAACATGAGTTCATGGTCTCAGTCTCTAGTTTCAAGTCTTCTTCATCCAGCATGATGTTCATTTAGTGACTGATGGTCCATTTGTAGTCAAACAGACCATAAAGCAGGGGACGCTTTGGGGAGGGGCTTACTGTGATTGACACGTCTCGAACAGAGACCACCATATTTCCAACACTGGAGATTCATAAACAAGCCAACAGGAAAGGTTTGGGGTGAACCGTCCCTTTAACCAGAAGCCTTTAGCCGTACTCACGATGCATTTGTCAAAGTTCCTCTTGACGGTGACCAGCACGTTGCCCAGGGTGGTGCTGAGGTAAGAGGCCGGGTCGACGTTCTCGGCCGTCCACACGTGGTGACTCATCTTCACCAGCATGTACAGAGAGTTGAAGCTGTCGATCTTGTCGCCCAAAGCGATGAGGCTGTTGAGCTCCGTCTCGATGCTCTGAAAGATCTTGTTCATCATCACCCGCACGACGTCCTTCCTGAGGCCGCGAAGAAGCAGAGCAAGCGGTGAAACAGAGAGAGGGTGGATTTGACGGATGTGAACGTGATGGCGTTGTATCAAAAGGTCCTTGGTCGGGGCGCAGCTGACTCACTCGGAGGAGAGAGACTGCCTGTGTTCGGCCCGGGGAGGGATCCTCGACGCGGTGCCTCCGTCCACATCCTCCGGCTCAGGCTGTCAACGCGAGCAACAGAAAACATGACGGATCCAAACCAGCGCTCTCCTTTCGCTATGCTCCGGCGGGGACGTAGACTCACCTGAGCGAGCGGCGGCACCACCGCCGGGTGCTGCTGCAGCTTGAAGAACTTGCTGATGAAGTCCTGCTCGGCGAGACACAGCGGCTCCAGCTCACTGAGGACCTGCTCGAAGATCTGCGGGAGACAAACGTCCTATTTCAGCACAGAGCGGCACGCGTACGCGCAGGAAACACGCCGTTTCTCGCGAGCGACCGAATCATTGGTTTGATAAACCAACAGAGGTTTCGCTTGCGTTTCTTTCGTGTGATTTATAACAATAGAACGTTGCCTCGGAACAAGCTTAACAGATCGGTGTCACCTTGTCAAACTTGGTCCTGTCGGCGACGTCCAGGTCCGAGGCGGACATGTTGCCCATGTCGAGCAGCGAGGAGGACTGGGAGCGCCGGCTGTTGGCGCCCTGCACGGTCAGCTTGTTCAGGCTCGAGGTCGAGCCCGTCAGCTTACCGGAGCTGCCGTGGAGGCCTAACGCGGCACAGCAGGGGGGGGGGGGGTTGGTATTATTCAACCAACTAAAGGGTAAAACAATCATACAGTGTCTCGGACAGCAGCCGTTAGCTGGTTTCCTTTAGCGCGGCTACGTGAGGCACGGCGCTCGGGGCGGTCGTACTTACTCTCCGTTTCCTGTTTGAGTGCACTCTCTTTCCGCGGAAGCGTGGCTGCAGCCAGTTAGAAAAGGCGGCATCAGAGACAGAGACAGGTTAGAGGACATGCAGCATGGGGGGGGGGGGTGTTAGACGTACAGTCACATATATGCTGGCTTAGCTTCTGCTTTATCATTTGTCTTCAGCAGGAAGAAGCTGACGCAGGAGGCAGGAGGTTTATAGCATTACTGGAGTGAATCATCCACTGCAGGACGGACCGCTCACTCTCAAGGGTCCAAACACGGCGCCTCTTACCGAACTTGCCCTTGGCCTCCTTGCTCGTGCCCGCCATCTTTATCTTGGCCACCTCGAAGAAGTCTTTGACCTCGCGTTCGTATAATCTGCTCATGTAGTCAACGTAGGTCTACGGAGACAAACGATAAGAGCTGGAGATGTCACGTTTCTATTTGTATTTCTCCGGTTAGGATTCTTTTACTGAAATGAAAGCCCACTATTGCTCAAGCTTACAGTTGAGGTTTCTTCTGCAACAGCCACTGAATGTCTTTACTTCTCCATAGAGCACTTTTTCATATTTAAACTGTTGCCGTTATCACGGTAACCACAGCTGTGGCCAAAGCAACAAATATATTTTAGATTATGAAGTTTTTAGTGGGAATAAAAAGTCTTAAATTCTCTCAGATCAAAAGCAGTTTATGAACCTCGTCAATATTTGATTTTCTTCTCCCAATTCACAACAATGTGGTCCACTAAGAGATGGTAGAAGGTGTGGCGGCTGCTGATCATGTGACAGTGTGTGTTTAGTCGTCTGACTGACCCTGGACAGGCCCTCGTACTTCTCCCGGTGGGTGTTCTTCAGCCACTCCATGAGCTTGGCGTAGCGCAGCAGGTCCCGGTGGAGGGGGCTGTGTTTGGGCAGGCTCATCTCCGTGTGCTGGGACAGCGTGGAGCTCTGGTCGTGGCCCTGGGGGGACGGGTGGGGGGGAGAAGAGACTAAATGTTTGCGTCTCGTTCCATCTTAAGCCTCCATTCATTTGAAAAAACACGAGCACACTCGCCACACGAGGAGCAGTTACTTTCACAAGCAAGGAACAACCTCCGCAGACAACACAAACCCTCCGTCCTCCCTCCCCCGACCACGAGGGGGAGGGAGGACCCAAACACGCAGACAATAAGAGACGAAAGGAGCCTCTTAATGTCTCTGTGTCGGCCGATGGAGACGGAGGAAGACGAGCGGAGACCATTACGTGGATGCCGTTAGAAAACGTGTCCCATGCAGTAAATGATGAGAGATGTAGGCGTGAGAAGTGAAGCCGTAGCGGCGTGATGTGGGGGGGGGCGGGTACTCACTGGAAGCGACAGACAGGAGGACCTATAGAACTGAGGGAGGGTCATTTTGAAGTGACTGAAGTGGTTGAACTGACACAGAAACAGAGAAGGATCAGAGTGGGATGATTCAGGCTGAGCACAACACAGAGAAGCCAAGAACAGGAAGGAAAGGACACAAGGAGAGAAGGAGGAGTCACAGCTGAACAGGAAGTGAGTGAAGTGGGGGAGAGAGAGACTCAGATTCTCAGACAAAAAGGTTCTACTCTTAATGTGCATCAACAGCTCGTTGAAATGCAGCGGAGAACCGCGTCTCCTCCTCTCACTGCCTGACTGATGCTTTGCAGGTATGTGTGGCTTCCTGTTACCTGGTGCACAAACACGTTGTTGAGGTGGTTGGTGAGGCGCCGGGCGAAGGTGTCCCTCAGCTCCGCGAACAGGAGCTGCTGCTGCGTCACGGCCGCCAGCTTGTCGTGGCCTCCGGAAAGGGAAAAGAGACACTGTGATAACCGCATCGGCCTTCGGAAGCATGTGGCAGTGAGATGGAATAAAGCCGTGGGTGCTGACCGGGCCGCAGGGCCACGTTCATGCACTGAGAGAGCGCCTCGGAAGCGTTGATGCAGGCCTCGATGCCTTTGGGGGAGGTCAGGTCCCCCTCCTGCAGCGCTCGGATGTGCCCCTTGGACAGGTCCATGTAGTTCTGCAGAGAGAGGAGGACAAACAATCCAGCTCAATTGACTGAAGGGAGGAGTTTCTCCTTATTCTGTATGTGTCATTGTGCGACTTTACAGCTTCCAATGATTCGTTCAGATTCACCAGTCACACGATAGCAGACAAAAACAAACTGACGGATTCAGAAGTAGAGCAGAAACTTCAGTATTCTGTGAGGTAAAATGACTCTTCTTATCAATGGAATCTGGAGTGTTTGAAGAGAACAAATGGTCCTCCTGAACACACATCCATCCACGAGTATCTACTCGTATGAACACGTGTCACAGCTCCTCACCACTAGGAACTGGATCTCGTCCAGCAGCTTGACGTTGTTGGAGTTGCTGATCTGGATGAGGCGGTTGCTCTGGGAGATCTGGTCCATCTGCTCCTTGACGCTCTGCAGCATCTCCTCGTAGCTGCTGAGCTTTCCCTCGATGGTGTCCACCTCGCCCAGCGCCTCGTCCAGCAGCTGCATCAGGATGTTGACCTGCTTCTCCGACGCCATGATGGACTGGATATTGGCCTTGAAGGGGTCGGAGCAGAAGACGACATCAGCAACGTATGAGATTGTGACGCCTTCAGCTGCGTCTTTACGCCCCACTCACCCCATCGAGGACCTGCAGCTCTCTGGAGAGCTGCTCGGCGAAGGCCTCCGCGTTGGAGACGGCGTACTCGCACATCTCCATCATGCCCTCGATGTCCTGCTCCTCGCGGGCGCTCAGCTCCTGGTAGTCGTCCAGGGCGTCCTCGTCGCCCCCGGCAACGCTCTGACTCTCGCCGCTCGGCACGGACTCTGATCCCACAGACAACGAGATGGAAACGCACACTGAAGACATGGTAGCACGTTTCCAACACGCGAGGCCTTTCACACAGCTCGGGCTGAAATCCACCCGGGGCGGGACGACGGACACTTTCTACATAACTTGAACTCTTTTTAAAGATCAGCTGAATGCACTTCTTACGTTTGTTGTTGCAGATTTTAAATCTACACTGAAAATCAAATCAAAGTCAATCATCTGCACTCAACTGGAAAAAAAATCCCACAGAGAACATCATTGAACCCATTGATGAGTTGTCATATGAGCTAAAGGTGGAATGGAGACGTAAAAAACAGCTCAAGTGAGGTAAAACGTGACCGAAATGTGTGTTATGATCATTGACAAACATGAATCATGCCCACCCGTATTGTCAGATAATTCACACAGGAGGAGCTTTAAGGGGGTGAGAGTCTCTAATGAGGATGGGGGGCGGGGAGGTTGAGGTCATGATAGATAACAATGGAGAGGAGTGAGGAGGAGGAGGGGAGTTAAGTCCTACCAACCTTCCGCTTTAGGAAGTTCTGGCCAGAGAAAGTTTTAGAGAGAAAATCGAGAATAAAAGAAGAATTTAACACCACAAGCCACAAAGAAGAGGTTGAATACTTTTCTATCACAAAAAACGTACTATTAATAAATCAATCAAAATCCATTCTCTCTCAGGGTACAACACGCTATTGGTTTCAGAGGGAGATCACAGGGTCGTGCTACAGTAAAGACGGAGAGTTTCCACACCTTCCAGCAGCTGAGAACTGACATTCACAAACTCCACCTTCTTCCTCAGGTACCGCTGGTTCAGCTTCCAGATGCAGGAGATGAAGGAGTTCTTCTCGGCCGCGCTGCTGGCCACCCAGCGGTACACCTTCTCAAAGTGAAGGTCGAATTCGGGGTTTTCCTAAACCCGGAGAGGCCACATGAGAGCGTGTGAGCGCTGGATGGGGTTAATGGGCGGGGGTAAAAGAATAAATCCGCCCACCTTGCTGGCATCTTTGGCGTCTACCTCCATCAGATCTCGGAGCTCCCACGTCTGCTGCCGTTTGTAGAAGTCCCCTTTGTCGGATTTCTTCACCTTGACCACTTTCACCTGGACCGGCCTCTCCGTGGTGACTGGCACAACGACAGAGAGCGCGTCAGTACTTTCTCCTCCTCAGCATTCGCAGCCACTCAACGGGGTTTTCCGCTCACCCGTCGCACACAGGAAGCAGTTCTTCTTTTTCTTTCCCGCCTTGCAGACATTGACGATGCCGAGGAGGCGCTCGTCGTTGGGCGTGAAGATGTCCCTCTGGAGGGCGTGCTTGATGGCTGTCATGGCGGACGCTGCCGTACAGAACGCGGCGGGTATTTATGATGGTTGAAGAGTGAGAAACGCACATCCGTCAGACACGAACACACTCCTTTAGGTTGCATTTACACAATAGAAGGTCCTGAAGCTGGCTTGTATAGATGTGTGGATGGAACATGCGTTGCTGAGGGACGGAGCCTCCTACTTGGTTTGTGAAAATGCAAAGAAATTTCACTGCTTTTTACATCTAGACCACATTGGACCAGGACCACTTTACCTAGACTGGTAAGGTCTGGCTCTGGTCCGATCTAATCCAAGTTTGAATAATTTAACAATTGTGTGGTTTTGTTTGATCTGGGTGTAATGTGGTCTGGTGCATTGTAAAACTGGTCTTTGGGTTAATGTTGACCCGGTATGTCGTTATAGTGCTTTTCTTATCTGGAATTGGTCCAATGTGGTCTAGAAGTGGGTGAAAGCAGGGAAGCAGTCTTACTTTTAAGCATTTTTCCAAATATGAATCCATTGATTAAATAATCTTCCCGTCTGGGATAATCTGATCCAGGTTTTAATATTTTTACTTTATCTGGTTCTTTCACCAATAAAACAAGGGTGAAGCAAATATAAACCACGTTTAAAAAGATCTTTAACCTCTCTAGATCAATTCAACCGATGTTTGAGCAGTCTAGGAATCATGTCTTTTGAAAGACGACTGGTTCAAGGTGAATTAAAGAGAACCCGTCTCCTTGGTGCTAAGGGCTACTAACGTTAGCATCGCAGGACACCAGAGGCCGGGGACTTTAGCTGACACTAACTTTAGCTCACTTAACAACATTGGCCACATAGCGCACAACAGGACTTTTTATAAGCCAGCTAACTACGGATTTTAGATGAATAAGGAACCCAGAGGAAGACCCGGAAATAAAAGCACTGTTGTCTTCTGTGTTTGCTAGTTAGATCAGCTAAGCTAGCTGTTCGCTAACAGCCCTGCTAGCTACGAGAGAGCTAAGCTAGCTTCTGTTAGCATCCGTTACGCAGAACAGACAACGGTTTTATACTAATCTACAATACTTTTTGAAGAGGCATACTATGTGCATTCTAAGGGACATATTTTAACGTTATTAATGTAATGCTATCGCCCACCTTGCCTTTTCTCTCCACCGGCCTTCTCTCTTCCGGGTTCAGCTGTCACGTGACAGTGACAGTGTCAACATCCGCTCTGGTGCCCCGCCTCCCAAGCAGAGGCCAAATGTCTGCTGATCTCAAAAACACGGCGTCATTATTATTCCCACTTTATCAAGTGTAGGAACACTAAGCTCTTCTTTATATTTATTCTTATCTGTTTGAAACTTCACTCTAATAAAAAGAAAGATTTGTGAGAAACATTTCGCCCCTTGTTGTTTATTCCTTTTTAAAGTATTGCTCCTCTGTTCTTGTCTGTGCATCATGATGAAAAAGTCACTGCTTATTTATTTGTTTCAATGAATAATCTATCATGAATGCCCTTATTGTTTTCAAACATTTTTTATAACACTATAAATTCTCTGTGAGAGCTCATGTGTTCAATAAAAAACAAAGGCCCAGGCGTCTTGATCCTGTAATTTCATACAAATATAATAGTCGTTATTCCTGCTTTCTTTTTACTTTATTTTCAAGCTCGGAGTCCTCGTGTCTTACTTCTTACATATTGTTTAATCAAATTACCGTGCAGATAATCTGTTGTTCTAGCGCAATAAAAGGCTAAAGTTAAAGTTTAGATTGAATAAACCGTGTTTAGTGTATAAATTATGGGTTTAGGACACCAGGTGGCATCGTTAATCTGTCAGTTCTGTCCCTTTCCTCCTGTCTCGTCTCTGTTTGCCATCAGCGTGTCTCACGTCTTCCCGTCACAATGAAAGGGACTAACCGGCTTTGAATGTCCCCACCCAGAGAAGAAGAAGCAGAAGAAGAGTGAGCGGCGCCCGGAGGCCTCGCTGTCTCCTTGAAGTCGGTCTGCGGAGACAGGCTTGATTTCTCAGCCCGTCAACTCCTCCAATGTGTCCTCTGATTGACACTCACATGTCAGCGTCACGCCTCTCCTCCGGGAACACGCCGGGGACGAGGCTGAGGCGACGAGTTATGGCTTTAATACGGGAATGAACACAAAAGAAAGCGACACGTTTATTATTCACCTTTTAACGGATTTCAACCATTTCTCACGGTTTGTTTTTAAATGGATGTTGCAGGATACGGTTTACGGTTTATTTATATATCATTATTATTCTGTTCCGTTTCCTTTACAAGATCAAGAGGTCCTTTCAAAAAAGACATTATAAGAATCGTTCTTTTTCATTTCTGCGCGTATTTCAGTGGGTTTTTATTAAGACAAACACAATAATATCTTAATACTTTACTTTTCCTTTAGGCAATAAACGTCTATCTGTCATGTTTCAGGACATGTGTGACATGTGAACGCCGCACACATCCATGCACATTCATTATGAAACACGCACGCGCACACACATACACACACACACACACACACACACATACACACACACACACACACACACACACACACACACACACACACGCAGCACCATTACCGTCCTCCGCGTTGTGCATGATTCACCTGCTGTTTCCTCGTGGACGCGTTCTGTTCTTCAGAGGTCTGAAGCGTCGACGTTCACAACAAACACAAATGTAACAAAGTTTAAACCGGAAGCTTCGAGTCTCGTTTGAGTCGTGTTTTAATTCCCTCTGAGCTTCATTCTGACCGTCGTGTGAGACACGAGTGACTTTAACAGTGTTAGTGTCAAATGTTTTCATATATATATACATATATATCTTTATTTTGAGAAACTTGAGAAGTAATAATTTGACATTCAAAGACATTCTTTTTAGATACCAACGTGTCATTTTTGTCAGACATAAATAGTAACTTTTTAAATATTTATTTCAAAATTATAACTACTTACTAGACGCTCATTATTTATAGTTAGTAAGTCACCGTTTTCAGAAACCAAGTGCGTGTTTTATGGAATGAAGTCGTTATTCTGAGTGAGTGAGTTGTTCTGTGCTCAGCTCACCGAGCAGAACTATAAAGGACAAACATTCTTTTTCCCGCTAAACCAGGCGCCGTGCTCCCGCCCGCCTCAAAGCACACGCAGATGTGTGGGGGGTTTGGGGGGGATTCCATCTGTGTAATCTACGTCTGACATTAACTGGCTGATTAAAGGCCGAAAGCGTTTTCTATCTGTGTGAAATGTCGCTGTCTGGGTGGCATTCAGCGAAGCCCTTTGAGCAGCGGCGTTTTCACACAGCGAGCGGCGGATTAAATCTGGGATGGAGGCCGACCAGCGATGGTGGCCTCGTGATGCACCGCAGCTTCCTGCCTCTTCTCACTGAAACGCAGCTTTAAAGACATTGGAACTCTTTGCTCGATGACATAAAACCTACGGAAGCTCATTAACGCCACAATGATGGAAAAAGAACAATCCTGCAATCATCATCACAATGAGATTCATCAAAATAATGAGTTAGTAACTCACATGTGAAACATAATCACATCATTTTCACATACTGAGTCACTCCATTGAGAAAACGGGTCGTATCTTTTATTCTAAAAAGTCATTTTTGGAAAATCTAAATACCTTTTAGTCCATATCGTCCAGATACCAATTCCTCACATTATGATACTGACAGTAATTCTGTGTCGGGCAGGTGGAAGTTTACTTCAAAGTTTGGAGCCTTTTTGACTGGAAACTGAAATAAACCAGAACGCCTCCTCACCTGGGAGACCTTCTTCTTCTTCTTCTTCTTCTTCTTCTTCTTCTTCTTCTTCTTCTTCTTCTTCTTCTCATCACACACCAGAGAAGAAGAACACGGCAGCACGGTCATGTGTGTGATTTTGTTTTAAAGTAATCATCGTGTGTGTGTGTGAGCAGGTTGCTGTGCAATTGTTTAAGAGGTTCACGGAGGGGGTAAAGAGAGGTGATTATTATGAAAGAAAATTAAATGGGAAATGTGGATGAAAACAAAGAAGAGATGATGACGACTTGGAAAAGTAGCTGAGAATAAAATGGAGCGAGCGAATGAGTCCAGCGATGAGTTGACGTCATTAAACAATACGAGCTTTTCTGTGAAATTTAGGTGCTTTCACATTTATTTATTCCCTTTTCTTTTCTTCCCAACACACACTCAAGCTGCATTAATGTTCCTCTTCAAATATGTACTTTATATGTTTTTCATGTAGCAACAGTGACACATTTATGAACGGTGCACAACACGTTTATTTTATATATACTACGTTTAATGTACGAGAGTTGGACAAGAATATTAAGCTGGCATCAGCAGCCGGTTAGCTTAGCTTAGCACAAAGACTCTAAAGCTCACAACCAACACTGTAATACTAAATATATTACAATATTGTGCAAGTGTCCATTGCTTTAGTTTGACTCATTAAATGATAAAAAAAGTAAAGGAGAGTCTCTCTAATAAGAAAATGTAAAGAAACTTACAGTGAAATAAAACATGACCACACAACTCATGTAGTGTGATTCCAACTAACAACAAACCTCAGGTTGTAAACACGGAAGATTTAAAATCACTACATTTCGGGATCCTCAACAGTTCTATAATTAATCTTATTTTTCACATGTAATATTTCCACAATATTCAGATCCACGCGGCCGCACTGGGAACTAGATAATAATGGATAGTAAACACGGAGTCACTGATCCTGTGATCTCCACCAGGGAGCGACTTCCGTCTCATGCTCACAAAACTAAATTAAGACCTTAAAACGATTACCTGCAGGATGTGGAGACACGATGACTCCCACAGTTTGCAAAGGCGATGAACCCAAGAGGCGGTTTTATAACGTGAGTTTGTCTCTGCTCATCCGTCCATGAACATCAGTCAAAGTTTGCACATAAACATAATATGTAAGAGATGATGCTGAGCTTCATGACTTGTGCAGCGTTTGGGGACCTTTTTTTAAAGGTTTGATGGAATGAAGACGGAGCACTGAGTGAAGAAGGAATGTGGAGTTATGTCTGGACTTCAAAGGTGCTGGTAGGACCTCTGAGGACCTGGGTCTACCCACGGGAGACATGTCTCCGCTGGAGGACCTGGGTCTACCCACGGGAGACAAGTCTCCGCTGGAGGACCTGGGTCTACCCACGGGAGACTAGTCTCCGCTGGAGGACCTGCGTCTACCCACGGGAGACTAGTCTCCGCTGGAGGACCTGGGTCTACCCACGGGAGACAAGTCTCCGCTGGAGGACCTGGGTCTACCCACGGGAGACTAGTCTCCGCTGGAGGACCTGGGTCTACCCACGGGAGACATGTCTCCGCTGGAGGACCTGGGTCTACCCACGGGAGACTAGTCTCCGCTGGAGGACCTGGGTCTACCCACGGGAGACTAGTCTCCGCTGGAGGACCTGGGTCTACCCACGGGAGACAAGTCTCCGCTGGAGGACCTGGGTCTACCCACGGGAGACTAGTCTCCGCTGGAGGACCTGGGTCGAGGACCTCGGTCTACCCACGGGAGACTAGTCTCCGCTGGAGGACCTGCGTCTACCCAAGTGGACTGGTCAACGATGACATCACAAAGAAGAACTGCGTAGAAACAGACCATCTTATTCTTCATTTTATCTCGTCTAACTAAACGTATGCTAAGCTAACATAACCGGCTGCTGGTGGTGACCTTTCACTGAGTGTTCTTTTTGATCTTCAAAGAATTAAAGAAAGAAGAATTAGTTAAGAATTCTTGATAATAATAATAATTACTCAACATTAATGTCATTAAGTAAGTAGATTGACGCATAACTCTTAAACTGCGTTCACACCAAAAGTGAAGCGAATTATTCCCGCGAGTAGATTCCATGCAAAGTCAATGCACGTCTAGTCGTGAATGAGGCGAATTTTAAACAGCCGACACGAAAAAGCGAAAAACCCCAAGCGAATAAATCGAACCCGAACACAACGCCGTCAGCGGTTCTGACGTTTGTGTAATTCACACAACAAATAAAGAGCAGAAATAGTGATTATTAATAGCTGAAACGATAACTGTCTCTTTGGAAAAAAGAAAAATATGAAGTGAAATAACCACAACTAGTCGGCCGACTAAACTCGTGCGAGTAAAGTGTCAACCTCCGATTTCTGACGGTCCTTAAATGCAACTCAAAGTTACAGAGAACAATAAAGACTATAATCCATCTTCAAGGTGCCACAGAGTATTAATTATACACAATAACCTTCCTCGACACCTTCGGGCTTTGACTCAAACAAACCAATTAGTCGACTCCATATTAAAAGAAAACCTCCAAAGGCCTCGACATTTCAGGACATCGTCACGGCGACGGGCCGAGGGGAGTCGAGTTACCGGAGCCGCTGACCTCCTCTATTCATCATAAGAGAGAGAGATTAGCGTGGGAGGAGGACAAGGGTGGGGACGAGTGTGACGACTCCCTGGAATAATCATCAATGCACAGATCACGATCATCATCATAATATGCAGGAAGGAGAGCAAGTTCTTCAATCTGAGCAAAATAATGATGTCACACCATGACCTTTGCCGTCCCTCTGACTCCTCCCCCACAAGCGTGGAACCGCCCCCGCCCAGCAGGGGGGCGTCCAGCCTTAACGGCGTTTTACCTCCATCAGGACAGCCGGTGGATGCGTCTCCTGCCTGTTTGTCACAGATCTCATGAACACAAAGGCCGACTTATGAGAGAGGATATTTCAGTAATGACCCATAATGACGCCCTCAAACAACCGAGGGGGATTTATTTTGTGCTTAATAGTGTGAATGCGTGAACTATTACACAAAATGTTACGATTAAGTCATGTTCCACAATTATCCTCATTACATGATTTAATGAACCGTTGCACCTGTCGTGTCCAAAGCCTTGAATTGAATACATTTACATAAAAATGATTTCTTTCTGAAATAAGAGCACGATTCCTTCTTACACAATACATTTTCAGCTCCACTGATACAAATGTAAATTCCATCTTCAATGAAGAACACGTTGGGTCTTTGCTTGATGAGCCCTGAATAATGAGTAAGATATTTGTATTACAGCCCCTGATCATTTCAACGTGTCTCAAGCCTTTAGTAACAACTTCATCATAACTATTGTGCAGAAATGTTTTCCTAATGAACTTTAGTCCACACAAAAAACTATTGGTATTATTACTGTTGTTTGCTTGATTTCATGTTATTGTATTGGTGAAATATGTACATGTCATCCGTTGTCTGTCCGAGTGCTGCAGGGCGGACGCATTGTTTGTAGTGGTTGGAATCACAGAAAGACAGGAAATCATCTCTGTGGCAAAATAAATGTTGTTGTCACGGTGTGGTTTTATTTCCTGTCTTATTTTGTAGTTTCTGCTTCTTGTCTCCCCGGGTAACTTCACTTCCTGCCTGGTCCTGTCATCCCCTGTGATTGTCTGATTGTTTCCACCTGTGTCCAATCACCTGCACCTCCTTAGTGTATTTAAGCCGTGTGTGTCTGTTGCCACTTGTCGCGTCATTGTTCAATGTCGGAGGTCCATGTCCATGTCCATGTCCATGTCCATGTTCATGTCCTGGTTCCTGGTTCCTGTCTCCGTTTTTGCCCCTTGGCCTTTTGCTTTTTTGAAAACCCTTTTTGACCATTAAAGTCCCTTTTGTTTCCCAAAGAACTCTTCCCTGCCTTCCACGCCCAACCCTGACAGCTGTGGCACTTTGGGGACGTTTGAAGTAAAGAGAAAATGTTATAAACTCAAGTCTTGATTATTTTAGCCCAAATGTTTGATTCCTAAACAGAAATGTTCAAATTCACTCTTTAGTTTTCTCTCTCTCACACTATACAACAATGAAAAGAAAACACACATTTTGCAAATGTTGAGGGCAATTAGAGACGGACAGGAACCGTGCTGGTAAAAGTTGTGTGTTCTTTATAGCAGGTGATGTGTGAGCACGACGTCCACGTCAGCACCATTATGAAGAGAAACGTACAGCAGCAGAACGGCCTCTCAAACAGCCGCAGATTACATCCATGAGTCACGACGTGACGCAAAGCAGCTACAGCGACAATACAGGAAACTTCACTAAATCCACATGAAACCTCAGCACTACATTAAGAGGAGCATTTATTGGATTAAAGAGTAGATGTCAACATGAAACTTTACAAAGTGGTAAAATAAATGTTTTCTTGACATTTGTCATTCATTTTAATTGTTGAATGATACTTAGGATTGAATATATTCCAATACCGTTATTGTCATTCTGATTGTTGTTTCTAATCTTATGATAAGCATCCTATGATTTATTTGTAATCTTATCTTCATGTTCTCGTTGTCTTTCTTTAAGCCCATAACTCGTATCCTCTGTGCTTTGCAAATAAATCGTACTAATATTCCGCTACATTCACTCCCTTTGATCACCATCGTCATCGATGAACCTGCTGCTGTCCGTCCAATCACTTTGGTTTTGTTTGTTTATCTCACGGCGCTCCAGTGACGCAGTCGGTGTGAGTGCACGTGAGAGGGTGTGTGTGTGTGTGTGTGAGGGGGGGGGGGGGGATGCCACGAGCCTTCATATCTCTCTGACATGAGTTGGAAACTCTCAGAAGAGCCAGAAGTCAAGCAGGCACAAGAAGAAGAAGTTAATAAAAGGCCCGAGGAAGAGACAAAGGAAGAGAGCCAGAGAACGAGGAGGTTGGAAGATAAAGATTTGAAGATAAAGCGAGAGAGAGAGAGAGAGGAGGAGATGAGGACCTTCCAGAGCCAGGTGATGCGGCGAGGAGCCTCCAGCTGCCTCACGAGTCTCCTCAACGCCGCCAGCGTCTCCTTCACAGCGCTGATGATCCTCAGCGTGCCGCTCTGCAGAGGTACTGCCTGTCTGTCTCTCTGTGTGTCTCTCTCTGTCTGTCTGTCTGCTTGTCTGTCTGTCCGTGTATGTCTGTCTGTCTGTGTGTCTCTCTCTGTGTCCCTGTCGGTCTCTCTGTCTGCCTGCCTGTCTGTATGTTTGTCGGTCTCTCTGTCTTTTTGTTTGTCTGTCTTTCTGCCTGTCTCTTTGTCTGTCTGTCTGTCTCTATGTCTGTCTGTCTGACTCTATGTCTGTCTGTCTGTCTGTCTGCCTGCCTGTCTTACTATAAAAGTGATTTTACAGTAGTAACATAGTAGTAACGTTGTAATAACGTTGTAATAACGTAATAATGTAACAATCCAAATAATATATATACAGTCACACATGAATATATAACTGACGTGACTCTGTGATGAAAAACTCGACCTCTGACCCCTTCCTGACCGTGACCCTGTCCCTGTGTGTTGACTTCAGGTGCTCCGGCAGAACTTCATAGACCCCCCACGGAGCAGAGGAAGCTGCTCAGCCAGGTTCCCCCGTCTCTCCTCCCACATTAGTAATTAATAATCATATGGAATTGAGGGCGGCGTGCTAACGTGCGTCTTCCTCTGCGCAGGTAGACGCCGTGTGCTCGTCCTACTTCTCCGCAGGCCACAAGTTCTGGGTGATTTTATGTGGCGTGTTTGTTGTTGTTGATTTTGATATTTCACAGTATGTTTCCTAAGAGCCGCTCTCTTCTTTCTGGAATCAGGCGTCCGATGTCCTGGGAGAACTCTGTGTGTCGATGCTGGTTCAGAAGTCAAAGGTAAACCTCCTTCCTCCTCCTCCTCCTCCTCCTCCTCCTCCTGCTCCTCCTCCTCATCCATAATGCTCATTCACACTGTGTGATCTCCTGCTGGAGAGGAAGCAACCAGAGTGACGTTGAGTAAAAGTCTCATTTTGTTTTATTCTCAGGAGCTGATGTTGCAAGAATTAAGTAAAAGGGTCAGTATGTCTTGTTGTTTAGTGTTGCGACTACCAATTTCCATTCATCTCTGGTGTATTTTATTTGTTTGGTTCAAAAATCTAAATGTCAAAATTATAAAAGATATCAGCCAATATTTCCCATGACAACGTGCTCAAACGTCTCAACAACCAAATATATTCCAGTTGAGTTTTTTTCTCAGAAAATGACTCAAACCAATTTATGCAAAGAGTCGGCAATTCATTTGATGGCAATAATACAATTATTGGTGGTCTTATTAATATTATTATTTTAGTTTTCATATTAAATCAAAAGTAGGATAATTCATATGCAAAAATAAATAACACTTATTTATAAAGATACAAATAAAATTAAATAATCATATTAATTTATTCTATAATTAGTCTTAACATTTGCACAGATCATTTCATTCATTACTCAATGCGCTCTGATGACTCCCTGGAAGCTTTAACCAATAAAACCAGCTTCATGTTTCATCTGCAGACTTATGAGGCTGTGTTCTGCAGCGATGGGGGAAGCATCAGTTTGCACATCTAATCTGCGTGTTGTTTGTTTTCCAATGTCACATCCTCCCCTCCTGCATCTGGTGTCTCAGCCGAAGACAGCGAGGACTCTCGTGCACGTCAGGTTTTGTTTTGTTTTTTACATTAACCCAAAAACAATTAGTTGTGGAAAACACAAAGAGAGAAAAACCTGCAGCAAATAATAACATGAAATGCGACTATTCCGAACCCCCCCCATGTCAATACTGCCGCCGCTCACTGCGAGCTACATTAGTTGTTCTTTCCCGAGCAGCCAGCAATTATGGTACGAAATTATAGCGGCCAAACTTATATTTCTATCAATCCGCTGAGTGGCCGAGAGGGGGGGGGTGGGGGGGGGGGGTGATATAAAGTGGAGAGTTGTTTTCGGAATGTGAACGTTTGAGTTTGTGACGTTTGCAGAAATTAGTTAAAACAGTAACTTATGAATAACACAATGTGTTATGAGATAAAAGGAGATCCTAAAATAAGCTGAAAAACGTTTTTGACGTTTTGAGCTTCAACTGACACGTATTAGTAAGAGTTGTGTCATAATAAGCCCTCAATAATGAAATGTTAAAGGTGCAGACTGTAGAAACAGCTGAAGCGCATCCTGTCAGGTGAGAGGTTCACGCACGGACACTTTGAGTCGTAATCAGAAGGATAAACTGCTTTGTTGCAGTGAGCTCTGAACTAAAGGGGGATCTGGTGTGTTGTGCAGGCGGAGGTCCAGGGACCGGGGGGAGTCCAGAGCAGAGGCTACTTCCTCTATCGGGTACGAACACGTCCATGAACACACATCCACGTTTCATAAGTACTACTAGTATTTCCCCGATAATATGACCAACAATCGTGTTTTCTTTACACTTGCAGCCAAGAAATGGAAGACGATCCCTAGAATATCAGTAAAGAAAGGTAATGCTGGTTTTGCTTTCTAAGTAAAATAGACGTGTACAGTAAGGGACTGTATGAAAATGACCAGGGGGTTAAAACAAATGGTGTGTTTTAATTGTTCTTTTGGCTAAATGTTGATTCGTTTAGGACATTATCAAAGAAATATGTGATGATGGATGATGGATTTTACATCACAATATTAACTGATACCCACATACAACACTTTTCCAGCTGATTAACTACATTAAGAAAACATGTTTGCACTAAATATGCAAATGAGGCTTCATCTTATTAACAAACATGTTGTTCTGTTTCCAGAACAGACACAACACAACACAGAAAATTAGATAAATGAATACAGACTGAATAACAATGTTTTGCCTTATTCTGTGATTTTACTCCCCTGGAACCGTCCCAGTAACTTTCACACGGCCCCTTATCGCCATCGTCTCCATCCCTTGTTCTAATGATAAATGACACATTTAAACGTGCCATCTCTCCTCGTCGTTGTGTACTGTTGTGTGTTGGTACGTATCGATGACGCAGAAGGCCGAGCCAGGACTGAGAGACCCCCCCTCCAGCCCCCCTCCCTCCCCGCCGCTGCTGTACAGCGACGTCTGAATGTACAAATAAGACCCAAATATTGCTCCTACGTCTACTTTACTTTGTGTCACATCCATGTGTGTGTGGGGGTCCTTCACATTAAAACTGCTACAATGTGGCCGCAAGTGCGTTTGACTTTGCTGCACGTCACTACTTTCATCGGGATGTTTAAACCACATTAGAAGACATTGACAATGTACACCTGCTAAATATAAACATACAACTTCAAATGATCATATTCAAGATTCATGGAAAAAAACATTTTTCTTTTTTACGCATGTTTACTTAATGTGCATAATAATGCATTTATAAAAGAATCACAGTGAACAAGCAAAGCTGCAAATGCAAAAAGAAACACGTTTTACACATGAGGGATAATTAGGATTTTAGAGTGACCTTTTTATTTAATAAAAGATTAAAACAGTTGAATGTCCTTGTTAATCAAACTAGAACTGCCTTCTTTATGATTCACAATAAAAGTACATTACACACAAATACTATAAATTCATTCAAACAGAATTTATATTGTAATTTTTATAAAATATTTGCATGTACAAATGAATGTGTTCTTGTTAAATTAATATTTGCATGAATAAAGTCTTCTATACTGAAACTGTAATTACAGTAAACAACAGTAGATGTCACAATTTTTCTACTGTTACTCACGTTCAATTCTGTTCAAATCCGTTCAGCGGTCGTCGCTCCACATCCGTATATGACAACAATGTTGTTGCATATTGTGTCGTGTTTTTCACCGTCTGAATGTACGGGAATGTGAAGAGGGAAACAGCGCCCCTCTGCCGTCGACACCGTGCTTGTGGCCAAAGGCGGCATTGCAGCTGTGGCGGCTTCGGCTGTTGCCATGGTGACGAGCACCGCGCAGGAAATTGGGGAAATGCTGAAACTGATCTGATGGTCAATTGACCCAGAAGACAAGAGAACTAGTCCCTCGAACAGGGTGTCGGCTTCGGTCCGGGACACATCGCTCGTCACCGCGTTAAAAAAAAATACAAAAAGCGGCCAAACGGAATATTTTATTTTTCCGGTGACGAGCGTCTGACCAAAGGCCCGCTGACCCACATTCTTATCTAACGTTAATGTTGCACGTAAGCTAGCTAGCTAGCTATGTTTGACATCACATAACACGTTAGTGGATGTTACGTTACGGTATGTTGTTGAATTCACAGTGTAAAGTAAAACAACATTTAAAAACAACAACAGCGGCGGCTGTCTAACGAGATAAAGTCAGCGGGACCGCGACGCGCTATGAACCCGTGTGTCGTTTAGTGGCCGCCGGGTATCTGACGTTAGCACGCAGACGAGCTAGCCGTTAGCATGCTAGCTGTCGGTGCCCTGGTTCGGGACGGACGGTTTCCTCAACGCGGACATCGCGTTCTGCGGATTCGACACCCGCGACTACCGACCACGGAAGGAGTCTTTTGGGCGGTACGTCTGTTTACGTCATTGGACCCCGTCGCGTTGGTCGCTGTTCTGCAGCTGATGGGACATTAAATCAGCTGCTGTCCTGCAGCGGGGACACGGATTGATCGGCGGGGATTAACCGGTTTGTAGTCGGTTATTAAATCAAAGCCACATTTAGTGATTTTTTTTCCTTTTTTAAATCACTGGTTTCTGCTTTTCCTCTGTGACAATAAACTAAACTCATTTGAGGCATGGACATTATATTACATCACATGTCATTTAGCTGATTTACAATAAGTGCTACAATAAAAACTCAGAAGAACAATAAACAAAGTGCAATTTCATCAAATAAACCAATTCACAACTTGCTGTACATAAGAACCATTATAAGTCCAATGTAAGTGGTACAGTTAGTTAGTGTGTTAGTGGAGGTAGAGTCTGAAGAGGTGTGTCTTTAGTCTGAAGATGTGAAGGCTCTCTGTGGTCCTGATGTCTTCAGAGACCTCCTTCCACCATTTAGGAGCAGGAGCAGCAGGCACCTCAGTTCCTAAACTCTCTTTCTATTTTTGCTATAAAATTCAGCTGAAATATTTGACAACAGATACTTTGTGTATCACAATGCTCGGAGAGAAAGGATTTACTTATTATTTACCCATGTTCATAGAGAGAGTCAAAGATTTGGGCCTCGTTTTAATCTGACCATCTATTGCGTCCAGACAGGTCCCCGTGTAAGTGATGTGCTGAATCCATCAACAACCATAGTTTACTAAATGAACATCATGCTGTGCTGAAGACTGAGACCATAAACTCATGTTTACAATGTTTACTGAGGCAATAATTCAAGAGAGTAATTTCCTCATAGACGTCTATGGGAGCAGAGGAGTCGCCCCCTGCTGGTCACTACAGAGAAGTAGAGTCATTTCCTCATAGACGTCTATGGGAGCAGAGGAGTCGCCCCCTGCTGGTCACTACAGAGAAGTAGAGTCATTTCCTCATAGACGTCTATGGGAGCAGAGGAGTCGCCCCCTGCTGGTCACTACAGAGAAGTAGAGTCATTTCCTCATAGACGTCTATGGGAGCAGAGGAGTCGCCCCCTGCTGGTCACTACAGAGAAGTAGAGTCATTTCCCCATAGACGTCTATGGGAGCAGAGGAGTCGCCCTCTGCTGGTCACTACAGAGAATGCAGCTTAACACATGAAGCTTTGGCTTCACCGGTTGCCGCTTGTGTTAAACCCACTGGTGAGGGTTAGGGGTCAGAGGTCATAAGGTGGAGTTACTGCTCCTTGTTATGAAGCTCATTAGTTTGTTGGATAATTGGAAGGGTTACACACGCAGGCGGTAACAAATGCTACTGGGCTGCTTAACAAATCACTTTGTCCGATGAGCCGTTTCATCTCTGAAATAACGTTGTGTGTTCGATTCCCGCCTCTCGCAGACTTGGATGCCGCTGCCATGTGGCGGTCCACCCAGAGCGACCCAAGAACCACACCGCTCCCTTTAAGCCTGTCGTCCACTCGATTCGCTCTGATCAGTGACCCAGACTCCGCCTCCACCCTGGCCCCGCCCCTCACAGGACTGGCTGTATTGACAGTAACGTACTATCCCACCTATTTTTATTTATTGATTTTCCGTATAAAAAATGTTATTACATGTGTTTTTCTTCATTCTGCCCAAAGCTTCATTTACAAATGTCTACCTCGAGGTTAAAAGACGCCTCTCCATCACATTGACCCTGAACAAGACACAAAATGACTTTGAGCATCCACCGGTGAGGCGAACGGCTCAGTCCCCGGCTTCTTTTCGTTATTCTTTTATATGAACTGAGGCTGCGGTTTGGTCTGAATGAGTCTTTTATCTACAGTGAGGCGCATGGCTCATTTCACCTCGCTGATTGTTGTAAAACTCATTTCCTTCAAACACGAGCGGAACTAAATAAATACTCTTAAAGTCTTTGTTAATCCTTCTGTTCCAACAATCAGCCAAGCTGGAAAGAGACGTAACCATCAATTCAAAGTCCCGTTGGAGTTGTATTCTTTCCTGCTTTTACTTACTGCTGTTACAGTGTTCATTAGAGATTCTTCTAGGAGAGGATCCTCTGACCTGTGTTTGTTCTGCAGGGATGACATCAGTATTCTTGATGGGTTAATGGAAGGAGATGAAAAGGACAAAGCAAAACGGTACGATCAGACATCCTCCTCCATGATACTAAAACTTGTAATAGAGCTTCTCATGCAAAAATACAGCTACCTCACCGATCTGTAGATTACATTACATACACCTGTAGAGCTGCGTGAGATGTTCCTCCATCGACTTCAAGCACAAGGGTGAGAAAGAACAGGTCGGCGAGGTGTCGAGTCTCTCTGGACCCACTTGATGACGCGTTGTTTTTCCATCTGCAGAAATCGCTGCTCAGTCCGAGTCCACCGAGATCAGACGAGACTGGAAGCTGATGCTGGAGCTGAACTAACAATCTGTTTAATACAGATAACTCTGGATAGGATTATCTACATGTGTAGGTCACAGCACAAAACCATAAATTCATTGAATCCCTTAAGTTCAAAGATGTTGAGGAGCCTCAATATTTCCATTCTTTTTCCTCTGTGTGTGTTGTGTGCTTTGCATCAGCTTTAGTCCCGAGTTGACACACTGAATGTTCCTCCCTCCAGGCGCTAGATGGATTTTCTTGCAATCATGACCGACGGGAACATAATCTACGCCTGTGAGAGTGTGACATCCCTGCTGGAGCACTTACCCGTGAGTAGTGCGTGCAGAGAGCCTGCGGCGCCCCCTGCTGGAGCTCAGAGACGCTTCATGTGTTCCAGGCGGACCTGGTGGATCAGAACCTGCTGGACTTCCCTCCCGGGGGGGTGGGGGGGGGCACTCGGACGTGTACAAGGCCCTGTCCTCCCACGTGCTGGAGGCAGAAATACTTCTAAGTTGGCTCTAATGTGACCATTTTTATCATTTCCGTTTGTTTGTAATTGTCATTTTAACGTTGTTTAAAGTTGTTTTTTGCGTCTAGCGAAGAACCAGCTGGAGTTCTGTTGCCACATGCTCCGAGGGACCATCGACCCCGAAGAGCCCCCCGTCTACGAACACGTCAAGTTCATCGGGAACTTCAAGGTAAATATACCAAAAAACAAAACTAATATTTTCTTATATGCTCCGTCCCGTTTCGCGTCTTTTCTTTGTAAATGCGAAGCTCCCGTCTGGCTGCAAGCAAATTCTTCTGCGGTCGAAACTTCTCAAGTGTTTGTGGCCACCAGGTGGGAGCAGTATGCGCCGCTGCATCTGACCCACAATCCTTTGTGCCGCAGGTACGGAAGCGGGGAAGCAGGACGGAATTTATTTGCTCGCGACAATCCGTTTCCTTTAAACCTGCAACTGCGTCATTTGGAAGGTGTCTGCATTTGCTCCACAAAGAATTAAGATTTGAAAATAAACTCATGAAAAGGTTCTGTAGTTTATTCCCTCTGTGTTTCCACTCAGCTGACTTTTATAAGCTTTACAAACAGGAAGTACATCTCACAGCCCGTCAAATATTGACGATGGAGCTTAATCGGTTTACCTTTAAAACTAAAACATTCCCATTTCCAAGGTTTGTGGTGACGTGAAGAGGAAATGAATAGTAAAACAAATGAATGAATACATTTGCCGTCTTCAGGTGTCGTTGAGGCAGCAGAGAGATCAGTTAAGTGTATTTAGAATATGTTCATCTCTTGATAAAAAGTGATTTAACTATTTGTTATATTATGGGGGCAGAAGAATCTATGATGGTATTCCAAGGGTTCTATCCATGACGCACAACAAACAGGATTATCAGCAGAATATTCGTGCCTCCATCGTTGATTTAAAAAAAAGGGACATTTCAAATTCATCAATAGCATAAATCAACAGATTAAATTACTGCTTTTAATCAAAGAAAACTAGTAAACTAAAGAGAAGAAAGAAAACCCACAGAGGTGAAATGGTTCCGTAGTAGAACCGTAAACAATCACAGCTGTTCTTCCCTCAATGTGACAAATCAAACATCACACGCACATTTTAATACGTGGGGGCAAAACAAACAAACGTAAAGGCAGAAGCTCAAAGTCTCATTCTCCCCCAGCGCACATCTGTAACATCTGTCTCTTTCTACGTCTTCAGAAGAGTTTCTGTGTTTGAGGCATCGATCACTACCACATTATTTAGTTATTTCAAAGACTGTTCATCCTCCACCAGGAGGGGAAGCTAGCTGGGGGGGGGGGGGGGGGGGGGGTCACATGGTCAAAACAACCGTCTCTACGGCAACGCCGACAAATCCTACACGTATTTACAGAGAAAACCTGGAATTCCTTGTTTGGGTTAAAACCCGGCGTCCGGCTTGATGAAGAGGGCGGAGAAGGCGAAGGCCAGAAAAACGATCCCTCCGATGATCGTAACTATGGAAACGAAGCAAGACAAAAATAGTTTGATTATAGGATGGATCGTTAAGAGCAACTAAGTCACACAGGCGCCTTGCTGGGGACCAAAGTATTATTAAACAGATTTTCTATGAATTATATCATTTAAAATGTCCAATTATACAAAAATAAAAGGTATAAATATTTGAGAGAAAAATAACAAAGTTCAGCTTTTATAAAAACAATGTGAGTTGTCGTAAGATGTTTGGTCTGTGCACAGATGGAGTGAAGATGTCTGTTTAGAGCTAAGCAAGTCCACAGAGACTCCAAGTAGCTTATAATGATGCCATGTGAGTATTACTGAGGAGACCGAGATGGTGCCAGTGACACGTTTGTGACTGCGGGAGGTAATACTTTCAAAGCTGTATTAAGAGATCTTCTGTGTAAATGTATCTGCCGGGTTAACAGCTCTGAAAATGTATGTAATCATGTTGGGTTTGTCAAGTATAAAGTTTAGCCCTTCACACTACCAGTCCCAGCTGTGGAGACATCGGTACAGTGGTCTGTTCATAAGGCCTTTGTACTCTGCTTGTGACCTTGCTTTTTTCTTGTTTTTAATCTTTATATATGGGTTTGCAGTTTTGTGCTCTAGACCTGGAGTCTGACATAAAAGTTGATAAATCCACACAGATTTTACAGCAACTCTTCAGCCAATAGAACGACAGAATTAAAAACAGGTCCCACCCGTTCGGACGGAGATTTTCTGGGCGATCATCCTCCCCCCGACCACGGCCAGCCCGGTGCACAGGCAGTGGCCCAGAGTTCCTCCCACGGCGACGCCAAAGGGATCCTGGGAAATAAAACAAAATGATCCTTCCCTCTCCTTCGGATTTACTCAAACATGTTATTTAAATCAAACATGTCGGGAACCCATTTCATTATTTATACATTAAACATGAAGGAGCACCATTTAGAGACAAATCAGAGTAAAAAAGGTACAAAAAACTCATGCTGTATATTTTGCAGTAAAACTATTCACACCAGCACAGAGTTAAATGTGTAACAATGTTCAAATACATTGGAGCGAAGGAAGAAGGACCAGGACGTTACGGACAACTAAGGTGTCACAGCGGTTCGAGTCCCTTTTGGTCAACAACTACACGCTGGATTTGTTTGGTGCTTTTACTGTGAAGGGGAAGAACTGAGGGGTTCAAACTGATGTCTAGGACATTTAGGACAACGCTGTGGCGGCGTTACTAAGCAACCAAAGAAAGGACTGAACACTGGGACAAACCTCGCGAGCAGCCAGGATGATGGTGGTCAGCTGCGAGCGGTCGCCCCACTCCGCCAGGAAGGTGAGCGTGAGCGCCTGGATGAAGATGGGCGAGATGATGCTGTGCCACTTCCCCTGAGGCGAAGTGGTGCCGGCCTCCACATCTGTAGTCCCGTTAGCCAGATTGCTCCTCTGGAGCTGCTCGGATGACACAGCATGTGTGTTTCACATTTAACTAAAAACATGGATGATAAAAACTGGCTTCCAACGCGATTCCCTTATTTACATTATTGGTGGTAAGAACGAGCATTAACACTGTGGAAACGTTCCCGGTGACGACGTCACGTGAACCGCGTGCGAGTCACATGACCCCCCCCTCCCCCGGAGGAACGCGTCTTCACCTCCCGGGTTTGAAGCGTCTGGACTCACCTCTTCGTCCTTCTTCTTGATCTCAGCCTGCACCTCCTCCAGCTCCTCCTGGCCTTCGTCGGGACTCATCCTAAGCCCCTCCCTCAACATGCGCACACCAAAGATGGCGAACAGAGCGGTGGACACGTAGTAGGTGTAGATCCTCGGTATGATGGTGGTGGCGTAGCCAAACAGCACTGGAGGTGAAACAATGACATCATCATGACTCATCAAAAGACGGGGGGGCGTGACTCCACGTGGAACGCTCCTACTAACCAGAGAGGCAGGTCATGAGTCCCAGGGCCAGCATGGCGCCCGTCAGCACGGTGAGGCGGTTGTAGCGCATCGCCATGATGGCCGCGATGAAGAACGTCTTGTCCCCGAGCTCGGAGACAATGATGACGGAGATGGAGGCCACGAAGGCGTGGATGAAGCCCAGGTTCCCTTTGCCAGAGGAGCCATCCTCGGACACCAGCGGACTGATCGGGTGGGGGCTCGGGGCTTTCTTTGCCGAGAAAAAAGGGACACGGCAGCGCGAGTCAGATTAGTCGCACCGGGTCCCAAAAACGTCTGGGCCGGATGTCCACGCTTTTGATCTATTTGAATTAGAATTCTCTGGTCTGGACCAGTTGCTCTCTGCTGACCTCACTTTTTCATCCGGTCTCAACACATTTTTATAGACTTGTGAATTATTATGAATTCTGTCCTACCTATGTGCCTTTGGAGGATACAGGCAGTCTTTTAATAGTGTGATATTTTCTACTGGTATTGGTCTTCTGTGTATTCTCCCTACTTGAAATCTGCTGCACAAATACACATTGTTGCTGGGAAAAAACAATGGCCTTCTGATGGCAGTACAGTAAAATTGTATTACTATAGTGAGGTTCCTGCTATATTGCATGCTATGTTACATTTACATTACATGTCATTTAGCGGACGCTTTTATCCAAAGCGACGTACAATAAGTGCATTCAACCATAGGGTACAAACTCAGGAGAACAAGAAGAAACAAGAGTGCGCAATTTCCTCAAATAAGCCAATTTACAAGTGGCTAACACTATGTGTTATGTTACGTATGAAACTGTGAGACTGCTTAAAATAAAAATACAACTCTATTTCATCATAAACATAGAATGTCATGTTGACATCTCGTGCGTCTGTCATCTCGTTCACACTTCCGCATCGGGCGATGACGTAACTGTACCCGGAACACAATGAGGTACCTGCGGCTATCCCTGTTAGCATGTGCTAACTAGCTAGGAGGTGCTAGCACTTGCTAACAGAGATGGCTAGCAAGCAGAGGAAGCGGAGCACCCGGCGTCAAAGACACGGGGACACACTGCTGCGTCCGCCTGGACGATAGAACACCGACAAGTGGAGCCGACGAGTGGCGAGGTCACCGTTACCTCCTGCGGGGCTGCCTCGAGCGCCGGTTTGCGCTCCTCCGGTTCGGCGGCGACTCCGACCGACAACAACAGCACCGCGGCGAGCACAAAGAAGAAGCGCGTCATACTCCTGTCGTGCCGCCGGTCTCCTCCGGCGAGCGAGAGACGCACCATGGCTGCCGAAGTACCGACGGTTCCCTCTCCGATTCGTCTTCCTCGAGTCACTTGATATCGTCGGCTAGCTTCATGTTAGCCACCTAGCTCTGCAACTCGGTGATACACGTCACGGACACACGGCACGAGCGTCGAGGAGGAAGCTCGACGGAGTGGGAGGAGTTAGAACCTTGCTGCCGCGCACCGGACCAAACAGAAATGATTGGACCGTAAATAACGATGACGTACATTGTAGGGCTGACGTATGCACAGGGCAGCTCGGTGATTGGACAGCCACCGCGTCGGTCATTTAAACGTTGTTAAAAGGATTGAATATCGAACGAGGGGCGAAAACTTCTAAATTTAGTCTCCAGCTATTGAAATAGTTTTTTTCTTCTTTTTGTAATATATATTTCTTTTTACTATCGCTGGCATTGACCACTGGGGATGAATATATGTCAAAATTACCCCAAACCAGGCAAATAACGAAGATACCTGCCTCCGTGTTTATACATATTTAATACTATATATCTTTACTTCATTTATTTTATCAGTCAGTGGAAAAAAACACCAACCACATTACATGTCCGAACAATACTTCATTATTTTTCAAATAAATATTTAAAAAGCACGTATTCTGTTTACAATCAACAACATCGATAGTGTATTCCTCCAATACTGCAGGTACATATTTCTTTTTTAAATAAATAAGCATACAGAAAGAATCCACTCCAACGGTTTTTCTTTTTATTGGGTAGAAGTGAAATATTTTATTACAGTGATATGATGCATTTCTTTTGTTGTTCTTCTTAATATAACGGCAGAGTTTTGTTGTTCCAGACCAAAGAAGCCAACCTGGTTTCTCTCGTTGCTGTGACACTTTATTTAACAAAACCTGCTCGTTATACGAGAAAAGCTGCTACATTTGTGAAGAATCAATTCAATCAGAACCCCATTTCTCACATAAAAAACACCACGTGGTTTCTGGTGTGTCATAACAAGATAAGATACCATGTATTAATGCAGACAATGCATGAATGCACCCCATTATTAGGGACAGCTCACCTCTCACCCGGAGAGTTGGTTCTGCATCACAAACCTCAATCATCTTGATCCCGTCGGCTCGTGAGCAGCTTCACGTGGTCCACAACCAGTGCACGATGGAGCGAGTCGAGTTTAACTCTGCAGGCTCAACAGTTCTTTACTCACAGCACAAACGGAATGAAGGCCTTCCTGTGCCTCGGGTACGACTCGTACTTGCCGACGTAAAAGTCGTGACTGAGCTGCGCCGCCAGCGCCTGGTTGAACAGCACGTAGAGGACGACGAGCCACCAGGTGAGAGAGCGGCCTCCGAGCACCAGGGCGAGAGAGACGTAGATCAGCAGCTCGGCGAAGTAGTGCGGGCAGGACACCAGCTCGAAGCAGCCCCCGACCGGCAGCCTGTGAGCCAGCGTCTCCACGGCACCTGCGAGACGACGAACAGGGGACACATGGGTCACGCCGGTAGTTCCCACCATGCAAGTCAGAGCCGATCGGACTCCGGTCCAGAGAGAAGCCGCGCCACCACGTGTGGCGTGTGCTTTAAGTGGCATGAGCGGTCTGTGGGGGTCCCGACGGGTCCGAAGGCCTCCTAAAGGTTTCATTTTTATTCACCGTGCGAGGAATGCAACAAAGAGAAGACGTGTTTACCGGACTTCCCGGTGCGCAGCCCGGCCAGCAGCACCGTGCACCGATGCTGCAGCGCCGAGGCGCCGAGGAAAAGCGAGGCTCCGGCCACGTGGAACCAGTCCAGCTGAGCGAGGAGGGGTCCCGTCCCTAAGGAGAGCAGCACACATCACCTACAGAAACACCAAGCGGACATTGGGTAACGGAGGAAGAGGACCGGGACTCCCACCTTTCCCCAGGCGGTCGGTGCAGAGCACCGTCAGCCCCAGCGAGACGTAGTAGCACAGGCCGAACGCGTACTGCACCGCGTGCACGGCGCCGTCGGAGAAGACGCTGACGCGCAGGCACTCCAGCAGCCTGCGCAGCGCGTGGACGCAGAGCAGCACCAGCACCAGCAGCGTGGACATCTGTGGGACTGGGGACGGGGTGGACACCGGTTACAGCGGGAATCACACCGGAGAACAACAACAACAACAGAGTCTAGGGGTGGGGGATTTTTCGATTTCTCTCGATTCTCTCTAGAACGATTCGGTTTCGATTCAGAAAAGTTAATAATCGTAATAAAAAAAAAAAAAAAGTTTGTCTCGCGCGAGATATTTGCTCGCTCGCGGATCGTGAACTTCCTCGCTCGCGAGGTTAGTCTCTGCTCGCGCCCCAAGGTGTTTTCTACGCGCTCGCTGTTGTTCTTTTTGACAGTAAGGGGGCGGAGCCAGTCACCATGGTCTCTACACCTGATTGGTTACAAACCCCGTCTTTGGATTGGCTGGAGTGATGCGTCCACACAACTATAGAAGCCCATTTCCGCACTGAAGAAATTATGAGATAAAACGTTGTCAAAAAACAAACGCCCCCTTCGGTGATCGTAGTGGAGCGTAGACGACAACCAGCTACAATCATCATTTACCATCATTACCGGCACATTAAGAGCAATGCGTCCAGCTCGCAGACCGGTCCGTCAGTCTGAATCTGAATATTTTGCCAACTTTACTGAACTATGAAGGATCCTGCGCAGATCTTACCTCATTATTTACATTTTCCAAAAAGTCGATCCGTATTGAAAGTTGAAGATATTCACAGATTTGGACTTTTTTCCGGTATTTTACAAATACGGACGGTCTGAGACTAAGAGCAGCTTTTTCTTCATTTAAAAGAAAAATGAATCTGTTTTAATATTTTTTTTACATCGGCTACTTCCATATTGTGTTGAAATGCAAACTGCGTTGGTTCTTGCATTGTTGATAGAAAATCATATTTGTGACAAAGATTTTTTTTTCTCTTATAAAAAATTAGAGAAGGTAATTCATCTGCTTATTTTCTTTAATTATCAAATAAAGTAGGAAGTGATTAGAAACCTCTGAGTAGCAAACTCAGATTTGAGAACATTTAGAAAATCGAGATGCATCGATAATCGTTTTATCGGTTTAGAATCGATAAATCGCTTTAGAATCGAATCGTTGACCTCTGAACCGGAATCGAATGGAATCGTGAGGTGCCAAGAGACTCAAACCCCTAACGGAGACACACCGGGGCGGTCCGGGCCGGGGGCGTCCGTCAGAGAGTCCAACGCCGCGCTGAGCCACGGCGGGTAGGGCCGATGGTGACAGGTGGCTCTCAGGTACAAAGACAGAAGGAAGGCGTTCCAGCCGACGGAGACGGCGTAGAAGTGCCAGAACCACCTGCAGGAGGAATGGGACGTTTGAAGACGGACGCTAACAAACTATCACAAGAAAAATGCAGGAGAAAAATGAACAATGTTCATTTGTTGTGAACATAATCTCTATAGACGAACAGAGATTTGTATTCTTGTTGCCACGGTAACAAAGGAGAAAGTCTTTCACAGCGAATAACGTTGGTGTGATTATGTCAATATTTGCTTTATTTAAATGTCAGATGAAATGATCTTTGTTTCAGCAGCAACACATTTGAGTTTTTTCAAGGTTCAAACAATCTTTAAAACACATTTTAAATGCGCGACACCGGTGTGACGTCACGGTTCTTCACGCGCTCACCTTTTGGGGAGGTCGCACGCGCGCAGCCAGCCGTGTCGCGCGAGGGGTCGTTTGGTCTTCCCGTACCGGATCAGGTCCTGAAACAGAACCAGCGCGAGACTTGTTTCGTATTTCCTCGGCGCGTGCTTAGAGAGCTCATACAGGCAGAACGCCGCAAAGAAACATGACGTCAGAACACACCAGAACACGTCCGCGTAGCTCGCGCTAACGGAGCGTCCGGACATGTTTCAGCACCGCCGGCGGAGTGACATGTTTATGCGCAACGCTGAAAGGAGTCCGTGGGAAAACGGCCACAAAGGTTCCGGATGAAAAATTGTTCTTTTTTAAAAGTAAAGGTTCATAAAACTCGCAATCTTTTTTACGTGTATTTCAGTAGTATCTATTTTTTTGTTAGTTTGCGAAATTATGTTTAAACACAGTGAAATAGTGTCGTGTTTCCACCTTCCACCTAATAATGTAACTGATATTTAATCATTCCATTGTCCACAGAATAAATAAAAGTCATGTCTGTGAATAATCAATTCTTTATTAATATCACAACAACAGACAAAACCAATCACCTTCTGAATATTAACTATAAGTCTGTTTTCTGCGAATCTAAAGTCACAGGGTTTAAAATAAAATGACTTGTGCACAAAAAAAACACCAAAAGAAAAGACTCTTTAAAGCTACGGACGAAGGTTATTATTTTATCGTAATAATCTGATTATTTACCAGATAATTGTGTAAAACAGCGACTATGAGAACATCTTTTACTTCTTCCCTCCAGCAGGTGGCAGCACCTGAAACCATCAATCAAAATAAGCGTCCAGTCACATGAGGTACATGATAACAATAATAACAACAGGTAATACTCATTTCCTTCTGTTGTTTATTATATTATCTTACATCTATTGTGTCTAAAACGTTTGTGTCCGTGTCTCTAATGTCCGTTTGACTTTCAAATAACAGTTAATTGATTCTTTCAGCTTTAATCAAGATATTTGACTCATGTCAAAGTACATACTTAAAATACTCGTATGTAAGACACGCAAGGGACACGCAAGGGACACGCAACGGACTCTTGCGTCTGCGTGTCCTTGTTTCGCTCTGAAAACGCAGAAGCATAAACTAGGCTTAAGTAAGTTTGTATTATAGACTTTAGAAATTTAAATTATTTCACCAAATAAAAGTTAAAAAGTTCTAAGTATTATTCATAAAAAACAACAATTAAAAGTCAAGAGACCGACGGACAGAGACAGACAAATAGATCAGAGAGACAGACAGGAAGACGGAGAGAGAGACAGGCAGAGAGAGAGACTCCTCCCCTGCAGGCTGACCAGCTGAGTCTCTCCATCTTCAGCTTCATTGTCTCTCGGCCGTTCAGCCGTCTCTCTTCTTCTCTCCTTCAGGACTTGGTGGTAAACTTTCCTCGGAGTGGAATCTGAGGCCTCAGAAGTCGATGGATCTTTTTCAATGAGACGAGGCCTCCGTCCATGTCTTCTGGTGATGGCGCAGACAGAATCCCTTATTCCTCTGCTGGCCTTTATTCTGAAAATCTGCTGTGTTGCTGGTAAGAGAATCAATCCATTTGTACCCTAATCAATAAACTCCACAATAAAAAGGCAATTCTGTTTACATTTGTTATTCGCCTGTCATTTTAATGTAGACAGTTGAGAAGAAAGAGGTTTTCTAGTGTAATCCACTTATTTCTGCTTTGTGAGTCTTTAACAGTTTATATCTGCTCAATAATAAAGATCCTCAGTTAATCGAACCGATAAAGTTCCCACTTTGTTGCCCTAAAATACCAGACAATGTGTGTGTTTTAGGGGCCTCCGGGGGGGGGGGGGGCTGTATCCTCTGAAACAGGAACCCCGCCTAGGCCTCGCTGTGCCGGGGCCATGGAGCCGGCCCGGCCCATCTCCCCCGGCTTCCTGTTTTGACACAACTCCGCCATTTTCTGCTGCAGTGGAAAAATGGCCGCCGGTTACAAAACACCCGAATTTTTGAAAAAAAAGAAGAAGAAAATCTGTTATGTGCTTTGAGATGCGACCTCGTACATTTTATAAACAGGACCGTGTCGTGGGTGTTTTCGCCCCCCTCGCCCCCCCTCGCCCCCCCTCCCTGTATACGTGGCCGTTGTTCGTCAGCGCCGCACAGACTCACGTGGTCGCGTGTTTGTTGCCTCCTTCAGCCATCGAACTGCGGTTTACGTCTGAGCCGCCGACGCTGAACGTCCCCGCCGTCCACAGGATGAACAGGTCCGACAGCCTGGAGCTGACATGCAGGTATTTACTTCACACACGTGCGTGTGCACATGTATGTACGCGCACGCGTTGACCCCGTGCCGTTGACCCTTTGTCCCTCAGAGGTCGCCAGAACCTGAGGTGGACGACGCCGCCTACGAGCACCCGCTTCTCCACCGTGGACTGCAGAGGGTCGGGTTTCTTCTGCATGACGCTGAGGATCTCCAACGCCACCGTCAACGAGACGGGGCAGTACCGGTGCTCCTACCAGGGCCTGAGGGCGGAGGAGGGCAAGACCTCAGCAGGGGTCTACGTGTTCGTCCACGGTGCGTCCCGCCCCCAACAGTTACCCCATATGTCATCGATCGCAAATACGCCGTGAAGCCCAACGAGTCCATCACACCGTTGGGTTTCCAGAACTGTGGAGGGTCTGCGAGCGCGACCTTCTCCACGGCGACACAGACGTAGAATTTATTCCATTTCCTTTCTTTTATCGAATAAAAACACCTGCGATGACGCCCCCTTAGCGCCACTCAAACGCCTTTTGATTCCAGACTACAAGGTCCCGTTTGTGCCGCCTGAGAAGGAGTTGGAGGTGGTGTTCATCAGCGAGGGGGAGCGGGTGGTGATACCGTGCCGAGGCTCGGCGGAGGATCTCAACGTCACGCTCCACACTGTGAGCAAGTTGTTGTTTCTCTGCACTTCCTGTTCCACCATTTTCCTCCATCAAGGATTATAAGCCTTGAACATGATAAGTGTCGGAGTGGTGCGCGGCGTGTTTTTTCGGTTCGGCCCGTGGCGTGTCAGCCGGCGGCCCTCCCGGTCGCTCGTTTTCCACATTGTCATTCCACGCATCGTCTGTGCGTTGTTGTAGGCTTTCCTGTAGGAAACCAGTAAATGTCTGTGTGTGTCAGAAGTATCCCAACAAGGAGCTGCGCCCCGACGGGAAAGACTCGGTGTGGGACGCCCGGACGGGCTTCACGGTGCCCAGCCACCTGATCAGCTACGCCGGCGTCGTGTCCTGCCAGACGCGCATCGCCAACGAGACCTTCAAGTCGTCCCTGTACATCGTGGCGGTCGTCGGTAAATGATGCGGAGAGGTCGAGGTCAAAGGTCACGGCTACGCGTAGTCAGATTATTGAGTTTCAGGTCATTTAAGGAGCAGAAACTCCACTTCGCAGCACGTATGAATAAAGAAATAATCACTTTGGTTCACTATTTGATGATCATCGTCCCTGTTGTAGTTTTTGTCTTTTATTTGCATTTCGGACTCACATATATATCTTTTTTAAACATTTCCCCGATGTAATATTTAGATATTTTGTTAAACGTAGGCGGCGTGGACCGGAAACAGGAGGTCCGAACACGTGTAGACACAGAACCCAGTTAGCGTTTATCTGCTTGTGATCAGTAAAGATTTGGTAGAGAGAGAGAGAGAGAGAGAGAGAGAGAGAGAGAGAGAGAGAGAGAGAGAGAGAACAATCGACTGCCGACTGACCGCCGCGGCGTCCCTCCCTTTTCCGCAGGATACAAGATCTACGAACTCACCCTGACCCCGGCGCAGCTGAGGCTGTCGGCGGGCGAGCGGCTGGTACTCGCCTGCGTGGCCAAGACCGAGCTCAGCGTGGGCATCGAGTTCACGTGGACGCACGCCGGCCGGGCCTGGGTCAGTGTCCCGCTCTTCCCCTGCGTGTCCCACGTGCCGAGACACGTTTCTTACTTCCTGCTTTTTGAAGGATCCTTTGGTTTATCTTGAAGTGCAAAAGTGACCAGATGTGTTTGTGATGTTCTGGTATTTAGTCGAGTTTGGAGAGAAAAATGTGTGAGTAAAAAGAATGTTAGGTCAAAGAATTTGGGGAAATAAAGTCCAAACACATTGGGACACATCGTGTGGAGAGAAGGTCCAAAGTTCAGCCTCTCCTTCTGTCTCTCAGACCTCGGTCAACAACTCGAGTCCGAGCCGCGAGACGCCGCACAAGAGGAAGCTGTGGGACTCGCTGGTGCTCTCCAAGACGCTGACGGTGGAGAACGTGACGGTGGAGCACAGCGGGGAGTGGACCTGCACCGCGTCCAGCGGGAGGATGGAGAAAAGTGCCTCAGCGTTCCTCAGAGTCTACGGTAGGTGAGATGAAAACGCACCGTTGGGTTTCCTCCTCCTCAAGGACAGCGGACGCTTCTCTGTCCATCTGACACTCAGATGGATGATTGAAGAGAAAAAGTTCTTTTGTTTACTGCGAATCAGTGAAATAACCGATAAGTTCTATTCATCCATTAACTTTTGATGGTTTGTGCTGCTCGTCTTTGCTCTGCAGAGAAGCCGTTCATCACCATGAAGGAGCCGTGGACGAAGGTCTGGGAGGTGAACGTGGGCGCTCAGACGTCCATCCCCGTCAAGTACTCGGCCTACCCGGAGCCCAGCTTTGCATGGTACGTCGCCGCCGCACGCCGCCGCAGCGCGAGCTTCGGTCTCACCGGGCGGACGCTGCCTCTGTGTGCGCAGGTTGAAGAACGGCCTTCCCCTGAAGGACGATTACAGGCTGCAGCAGAGGAACGACACGCTGCTCATCCACCAGGTCGCTAAAGGAGACGCGGGGAACTACACGATGGTCCTGACCAACAACCTCAGCGGAGAGGAGCGGCGGCGCTCCTTCCAGCTGCTGGTCAACGGCACGTCTCTCCTCCCCCGTTGGACACGTTTCTCTCCGCTCTCGTGGGAGACAGAGCGGCGTTAACTCGGGGCGTCTCCTCCTTCTTCTCCTTCTGCAGCGCCTCCGCAAATCATCGAGAAGGAGGTGGCGGTGGACAGCGACGTGTACCTGTACGGCAGCAGCCCCACCCTGAGGTGCAGCGCCCGCGGGTTCCCCACGCCGGCCCGCGTCCGGTGGCAGTGGATGTCCCGGGACGACTGTCCGCAGGCCTTCATGTGAGTCCCGTCCCCCCCCCGGCCCCCGATGAGATTCACGCATTCGATAAGAAGAACGTCCATTTCTGGATCAGTTCCTGGGGGGGGGGGCGTAGTCAGCTGACTGTCGGGGGTGTCGGTGGGATGGACGTGTCTACAGAGGAACATCAGCAGGTCTCCTTATCTCCAGCTACGCAGCGCAACACTTCCTCAGGCCCGGCTGGCTTCCTGTTGTTCTCCCCCTCGCATTAATAAAAAAGAAACGATTTCACTTCCTGCGTGAGGACAGTTCTTTGTCCCCCCCCCCCCCCCCTGGACGTCACGACAACGTCAAGTTCTCTTTTATCTTTGACCTCAGTAAGTTAGTGAAGTCACTCCACGCTGCAAGAAAAGAGAAAACACGAGATAAACATTGAAAGTTCCCCGTCGGTGCAACAATCGAGTGCAGCTTTTCTAACGTTTCTGAAGCGGCGTCTCTGTGTTTGGGCCCCAGGAGGTCGGGCCCCGTGAAGTCCATGCTGCAGCTGGCGCAGTGCGCCGGGTGGAGGGACATAAGCAACAGCACCACCCACCGCCCGGTGGAGCAGGTCAGGGTGGACGCGGAGCATTCCCAGAAGGTAAAGGATTACCCGACTTTACAATGAAATAATGAAATAAATCAAGAGTTTGGAATAAATAAATGTATTTTTATTCATTTATTTACCAATATATGTTTTTGCTGCTTTTCTTCTCTATTTTAAATTTAAATTTTATAACCGTAATTCATTATTAAATCAACCTGCATATGTATTTTCTAATCTTTGCAAATATAAATTTTTTTTTTTTATATATTCTTTGAGTTATTTATTTATAACTGCAGCTTCACCACAACAATCCACTTTCACAATATTTAACAAATATTTTCCCAGATAATCTCGAGCTCTCTGAAGATCCACAAAGCCGACGCCCACGCCGTCTACAGATGCTCGGCCGCCAACAAAGTCGGGGAGGATTCCCGCGTCATCTTCTTCCACGTCACACGTGGGCACCTATTTTCTTTTCTTTCATATTCTCGCGTGGCTTCTTCCCGTTGACCACCGTCGGTACTCAGTCGGGCGTCTGTCTTTGCTGCGCAGGCGGCCTGGAGGTCAGCGTGTCCCCCGCCGGCGGGCCCCTAGAGGAGGACCACGTGGTCCTGAGCTGCAAGGCGGACAAGCTGATCTACGGCAACCTGACCTGGTTCCTGGTGACCAACGCGTCGGAGGCGGAGCCGATCGCGTCCGTGCAGCCGTGCCGCCCGTGGTGGAACGTCACTGCGCTGAAGGTACCTGTGGTTTTTATTTTCATGCGGCTCTTCAGTCAATTAGCAGATCCAGATTATACATTTAGAATATAAAGAACTAACAAACCATGATGTATTAGATGGTCGGACATCGGTACTTTATACATCTTGAATTGGCAAATGATTGTTTCACATCAGCAGGTTGTTCACGGCAACACCAGACATGATCAATAGTTGTGGTACACGCTGTTGCCGTGATCACAAAATAATGGACAACCTAATGCAGCAATAATATATTACTCTGCATAATTAATACTTCAACCTCCTGGTACCTCCTGGTACCTTCTGGTACCTTCTGGTACCTAATCATTCTGGAACTTAACATTTTTGAATCCAGTCCTGTTTTTAGTGAATAACTCCTGTCTTTGCGGTGATCCAAAGCGGAGTCCTCCGTCTCGCGTGGCGCTCGCCGCCCCGCGGGGCACCAACATGACGCTGGAGCTGTCGCTGCCCGGCGCGTCGCCTCAGGACGAGGGACTGTACGCCTGTCAGGTGGAAAACATCCAGACTGGGGAGAAAACCTGCCTACTGCACCGACTTTCTCTCAAAGGTACAAACGTACAATTCACCTTTTCGTGTTTGAAATTAGGACCTTAAAGTATATAATCTACACTGGAAAAGCATCATATTAACCACCAACCAAGTGAAGTCAAAGCTTCATGCGTTAAAGCTGCATTCTGTGTAGTGACCAGCAGGGGGCGACTCCTCTGCTCCCATAGACGTCTATGAGGAAATGACTCTACTTCTCTGTAGTGACCAGCAGGGGGCGACTCCTCTGCTCCCATAGACGTCTATGAGGAAATGACTCTACTTCTCTGTAGTGACCAGCAGGGGGCGACTCCTCTGCTCCCATAGACGTCTATGAGGAAATGACTCTACTTCTCTGTAGTGACCAGCAGGGGGCGACTCCTCTGCTCCCATAGACGTCTATGAGGAAATGACTCTACTTCTCTGTAGTGACCAGCAGGGGGCGACTCCTCTGCTCCCATAGACGTCTATGAGGAAATGACTCCACTTCTCTCTTGATTTATTCCCTCAGTAAACATTGTAAACATGAGTTCATGGTCTCAGTCTCTGGTTTCAGGTCTTCTTCAACACAGCATGATGTTCATTTAGTGAATTATAGTGCATTTAGAGTCAAACAGGCCATAAAGCAGGGGATGCTGTAGGGCGGGGCTACACACCGATTGACAGGTCTCTAATAGATCATGAAGAAGGGGATGCAGTAGGGCGGGTCTACACGATGATTGACAAGTCTTTAACGGAGATAATAATACGACGTCTCTACGTCCTCCTCAGTTCAAATATGGTCACTTCCCGTTAACTGGTTGCAGAAAAGCCAAGATATCCAAACTTGAAGCTTCATAGTCCACAAACCGACGAGTAACGTCACCACGACGACGTCCAGTTTGTTTACAGTCGGGGATTTTAAGACACAAGTTTTGTGTGTTGAGAAATGTTTATGAATGGCACTTTATCGCCTGATCCTCAATCTCGCCCGTGGTGCTCAGTGCTCGTGAAGTGAGATACTCGTACTTGTTTTTGATATATTTATATAGTTCTGAGAAATATATTCCATTAAACTCAGGGAAATTCAGCCATCTAATCAGTCATCCGGTCATTGAGTCCTTTAGAGATAAAACTGTAAAATGTAGTATTCTTACATGGATTCATTTTGATACTGACTTCAGGTCTGGAGGCTGCGAGGATTCTTCGCAACTTAACCGACCAAAAAGTCAACGTGAGCGCCACCATCAGCCTCCTGTGTGACGCCGCCGGGACGCCGGACCCGATGGTGGCGTGGACCAAAAACAACCACAGCGTGGTGGAGGGCTCAGGTGAGACGGAGCGCCTCCTTCTGACCACGGTTCACCACTCGAGGGGCTCCCCCGATTAACGGCGTTGACGCCTGTTTTCAGGCGTGATCCTGAGTCGGCACAACCGCATGCTGACCATTCAGCGCGCCAAGAAGGAGGACAGCGGCCTGTACAGCTGCACCGCCTGCAACAGCCGCGGCTGTGACACCACGCGGGCCTACCTGACCACCGAAGGTCAGTCCCGCCCCGTTAGCCCACTGAGGGTACACCCGGCGGCCCCTGGGCACAGACACGCTAAAGGCCCCCTAAGGTCCACATGGGAGCAAGACCCCCATGAGCAGTGGTGGTTGTGGGTCTCTTCGTAGTCTTTTAGTGTCTCTGTGGGGTCTTTAAGTGTCTCTTCATAGTGGTCTAGTGTCTCTCGAGTCTTTTGGAGATCCATACGAACGCGGCACACATGCGAAGCGGCGTCCTGGTTGCGTTTAGCAAAGAGTCCGACCGGGCTGATTACAGCTGATTCTGCACTATTGAGTAAAGGAAGAAGGCTTTCAAATCAACATAAATTATGTTGCACTTTAATTTTAAATTACTTAGATTAATTTATTTCATTTTCTTTTAAATTGGACAGCTTCAATTTTTGGGGATTTTATGTAAAACCATAAAACACTTTTGCTTTAAGTGTTGAACTTTGACTCCTCCCCTTTTCATTGTTGATCCGAACCGTGAGGTTTGTGCTCCGCTGCGTCTCAGTATTTTGTAGTCGATCTCGTAGTTTTGTGTATCTTGCATCTTGCATCCGCAGACTTGTTAACGCTCACTTACTGTTCATAGTTCATATGCTGCAGCCTCAAGGCCTCCTCGACCCATTCAGTCATTTTTTGTTATAAAAAGCGGCGAAGATTGTCCGGTTTAGCACAATCTCTCCCGGAAACCAATGGGGGGGCGCCGCCACAGAGGGGGGGAGCCGGGGTCTTGTTTTCCCCCGTCCCCGCCCAAAAACATATCCAGGATCGGGTACCCGTGGCTTAGGGTGTCCTGGCCCCCCCCCCGGGAATGGGGCCCCCACTCACCCCCCCCTCAGCTGGGTCTGCCAACGGGGGGGGGGGGGGGGGGGGGCAGAGCGCCGACGGGTGACGGGAACATCTTGCACACGCGTGAGGGAGGTTTACCGAGCAACAAGAAGAAGTAATCGGCAGTAATTGTTCTTGCTGACATTTGTTATCACCAGATAAACTGACAGTTTGCTTAGAGAATTATTCCAACGCTCCCCCCCACACACACACACTCACACACACACACACACACACACACTCACACACACATCTCATGCTGCTGTGTCCCCTGTAGGTGCAGAGGAAAAGACCAACGTGGAGCTGATCGTTCCCATCGGGTCAGTGGTCATCGCCATGTTTTTCTGGCTGCTGATCGTCTTTGTCATCCGTGGGAGGAAGAAAGTAAGACCTGCCTTCGCCGCGGGCGTCCCTCCGTGGACTTTCCCTCATCCGGTTACACAAACACAGGAGACCCGTTGCAAAAAAAGAGAAATGCAGCGACACGCGTGCACAAGCGTGCTCACTGTGGAGGTGTGAGAGTGATTGGAAGTGACTGGTTTGGCTCCCAGTGGCTGCTCCTCTTTGTTCCCAGGAACAAGGGCCACTCTCTGCTCCCATAAACCCCGTAGACCAGAAGCACATTGGGACCCTATTTCAACTGGGGAGGGGCAGCGGAGTCACTCGAAAAATGCTGTACGATTTCATTATTAAACATCAATTCAGACAGGTTTTCTTTGTCTCTCAGCCGACTGGGGGTGACCTGAAGACGGGATACCTGTCCATGATCCTGGACTCTGAGGACATGCCCATGGACGAGCAGTGCGAGAGGCTCACTTACGACGCTAACAAATGGGAGTTCCCTCGGGACAGGCTGAAGCTAGGTGAGACCTCTGAAGGTCCCGAAGGGGACACGAGAGCTCCTGCGTGTTCTAAAGAAGATCACCAACGGGAAATCCGCCCACTCCAGCGACGGGTTGAGGTTCTCCTCCCGTCGCCGCTTACGATGTTGAATCACAGATGGAGGATAGACGACTGGAACTGTTTGTCCAAAGCGTTTGTACCTCATATTTACACAGCGCCCGGACAAAATGCGTGTTAAAATGCGAGTGCAGTGCATTTGAAACGTTATTTCCGGTGTTGATGGCGCTGCAGTGTTAGCATAGCATAGCATAGCATCAATCAATCCGGCGCGACTACGAACGCTTTCGTACTGTTAGTGAACTGTGACAGGAGGCGTCCCGCGTCTGAGGCTTCCGTCTTTGTCTTCCCAATGTCCTGCAATCAAGGTGACCCGCTGGGGCGAGGAGCGTTCGGTCAGGTGGTCGAAGCGGCGGCCTTCGGCATCGAGAAAGCCACCACGTGCACCACCGTCGCAGTCAAGATGCTGAAGGGTGAGTGTTCCTTACTCCACTTCCTCTCCACGCACGCAGCTCAATGCACGACAGAGTGGTCGGTGGTCGGGTCCTTTCTCAGAGCGGCACAAGCCGATCTCAGTTGGGTATTTAGCAACACGGACCCTCCTCCTCCTCCTCCTCCTCCTCCTCATGCAAGTTATATGTAAATGAAAAAGGATCCTTTGGCACTACTGAGAAAACAATGACATCTGTCTGTGTTACAGAGGGAGCCACGTCCAGCGAGTACCGCGCCTTGATGTCAGAGCTGAAGATCCTCATTCATATCGGACATTATCTCAACGTCGTCAACCTGCTGGGAGCCTGTACGAAGCCTGGAGGTGAGTGAGCACATGGTGGTACAAGTCCTCTGCTCCCATAGACGTCTATGAGGAAATGACTCTACTTCTCTCTGGATTTATTCCCTCAGTAAACATTGTAAACATGAGTTTATGGTCTCTAGTCTAGCTAGTCTGTAGTTTCACGTCTTCAACACAACATGATGTTCGTTTAGTGACTGATGGTCCATTTAGAGTCAAACAGACCCTAAAGCAGGGGACGCTTTACCTCATTGCTCCCCCCACCCCCCTTGCAGGGCCGCTGATGGTGATTGTGGAGTACTGCAAACACGGAAACCTCTCCAGCTACCTGAAGAGCAAGCGTGGAGAGTACAGCCCCTACAAGGTAAGCGTAACCGTCTGCGCCCACCTTCGCCTCGTAGCAAACAAGGACGTGAAGCTGAAGTCACACTCAAACTGCGGCCGCCTCTCGTGAGGTCATCGTTGAGTCGGGGACCAGCCGGCCTTGAATCTAACCAGCATGCATTGCGCTGTGATCGTCGAGGATCATCTTGAAGGGGCCTGACGCACGGAACGCGGCGTCTGGTCTGGTATTTGATGAGGTTCTTTTCCCTTTACAGAGGCGGCGGGTGGACAGCCAACAGTGGAAGGCCGAGGAGGACGTGGCCGAGGGGGACCTGGGCCTGGGGAACATCACCCAACTGGACATCTGCACGGGAACAGCCGCCTGCTCCAGAGCCGGAGACCAGGCCTCGAGCGGCATCGCTGACCCGCGGGAAGGTGGGGAGAGGGGGCGCGACCCCCACCTTGTTGTGGAGAACTTGTACACGTTGTTGTGAATTAAATTCCACCATGTGACCGACAGAGAGTTCGGACGAGGACCATCTGACCATGGAGGACCTGATCAGCTACAGCTTCCAGGTGGCTAAGGGCATGGAGTTCCTGTCGTCCCGCAAGGTGAAAGCAAAACCATCTAGATGTATGTTTACGCATATGAATCCCAAGTGTGAACGTGAATACCCTTTTGTTTCTGCTGGCTCCGTAGTGCATCCACAGAGACCTAGCAGCCAGAAACATCCTACTTTCAGAGAACAACGTGGTGAAGATCTGCGACTTCGGCCTTGCTAGAGACGTCTACAAAGACCCCGACTACGTCCGCAAGGGAGACGTGAGTTTTGATAGCGGCATTCCCACCATAAGGTTCCAGTTCCAGTTTCCATCTGCTCAAAGAGCTTGAGGCTAAGTGGTAAATTGTGTGTTTGTGCTTTAGAACGTAACCACCGTGGAACAACAACAACAACATTTATCTTTGGTCTCATTGGTCTCTCTCACCTCGCTTGCGTAATCTCCCTCTGACTTTTTAAAAACGAGCCGTTAAGTGACACAAGGATAATCGCTCTCCCCTCATTTGTAAAACGGTTCTAAACATAACTCCTCACGAGTTGTTTGACCAAAACAGCGTCAGCGTATCACCGGAAAACACAACCCACAAGGCTCCTGTGCTTTCAGAAAGAACTAATCCTCACCGAGGAGTTAAACAAGGTGGCAACTCTGGTTTATGAAAAGTTAAGCTAAAGCTTCACGTGTTATGGCTGCAGTCTCCCTAGTGTCCACTGGGGGGGCGACATGTGTTATGGCTGCAGTCTGCCTACTGTTCCACCAGGGGGGCGACATGTGTTATGGGCTGCAGTCTCCCTAGTGTCCACCCGTGGGGGCGACATGTGTTAATGGCTGCAGTCTCCCTAAGTGTCCCACCGGGGGGCGACTCCTCTGGTCCCATGGACGTCGATGAGAAAATGACTTCTCTCTTGATCTATTGCCCCAGTAAACATTGTAAACATGAGTTTAGAATCTGGTTGGATCGCAGTGAGATCCTCCAAAGGTTCCTGGTTCCTGAAGTCAAAAGGCACCGATTAAAACACACGGTTTACGTCCTCCTTCTTGCTACAGGCGCGCCTCCCTCTGAAGTGGATGGCTCCGGAGACCATCTTCGATCGGGTGTACACCACCCAAAGCGATGTGTGGTCCTTTGGAGTTCTCCTCTGGGAGATCTTCTCTCTGGGTAAGCCCCCCCCCTCCCCCCCCGATCGCCCCATGAAGCCAGACGCACCCACCACACCTCTGCTTTGGCTTCCCACAGGTGCGTCTCCGTATCCGGGCGTCTGCATCGACGAGCTGTTCTGCCGGCGGCTGAAGGAGGGCACCAGGATGAGACCCCCGGAGTACGCCACCACTGAGATGTGAGTGCGGACGTCCGCGCGGGACGCAGAGGCGTTTCCCCCCCCCCCCCGCGCGGACGTCTCACCGTCACATCATTTCCCCCGCAGATACCAAACCATGTTGGACTGCTGGCTGGATCGGCCCACGGACAGGCCCACCTTCGCCGAGCTGGTGGGACACCTGGGCAACCTGCTGCAGGCCAGCGCCCAACAGGTGCGTCCACCGGGCCCACAAGACATCCCAACTCCGCCCCGTCGGTTGTCACAGACAAACAAAGATCCCGACGTAGCAGCTTCTGCACAGCCTCGATAATCCATCGAGCAGTTTAGGATTAAAGCCAAACGCGTTTCCATGGCAACATCTCTCAGTTCTCTTTCCCGTGGTGTTTTTTACCGTAGCCGCGGTTTAAGAAGTAAGCCGCTCACAATGGTGATTGTGCCCTTGGTCTCCAGGACGGGAAGGACTACATCCCCCTGACGGCCGGCGTCGAGGCCGACGGCTCTCTGGTGACCCCTGACCCCAGGAGACCCTACAGCAGGCCGCACAGCGGGGAGCCCCCGGAGGCTCAGCTCCACTACGACAGCCCGCCGCGCCTCGGGTCAGCATGACGAGCGCACTCGACACTTCTTAAAAGAAACACAGCGATTGTTGTCACAAATATGGACGAGCTGCCCGGCAATGACTTTAAATCCGGTTACAAGACAGATCCATAAATGACTTAATTTGGACGTGAGCCTTTTGCCTTGAAAGTACTCGATACTTGAAGGTAAACAGGAAAACCAATCGCAGCATCCACAACGTGATGGGTCACAAATTAAAGACTCTGATGGCAAAAGCTTTTTCTGACTTTTTGGGAAACTCAAAGTTTAGGACTCAAAACTTGAGTGTAAAGACTCCTACTTTTCATTTCCACCCTGTGGTCTGACTTCAGACGTGGCGCCATAATTCTTTACCGTGCATTTAAAAAAAAAAGGCCTTAGAAAGACGCGAGTACTCACTTGGTTCCTGTGTGCAGAGCGTCCCAGCGGAGCGAGCGGGGCGGCCGTCCTCTCAGCGCTAAGACGTTCGAGGACGTTCCTGTGGTGAGTCTCTGCACAAGACACATCATGTGTACAATACGTGAGTTACAATGCTGTTCTTGTCTCATTCAATTCAATGAGACAATGTGTCCACACGTTTGACTGATACTGTACATCTGCATGAAATATTAAAAGTCCAGTAAAAATTAAAGATTAAGTAAAACTGTGTAAAATAACTAATCTATTCAATTAGTGGAGTGTCTGAAAATGAATCACTAATTGATTATCGATCTAAGTTGATTGACTATTGTTGTTTTTCTAATCTTACTGAATGTCTCCTGTGATCTGGTGATGACGCTTTGATTTTAAATGATTAAAATTAACTGCAAAACCCCCAAATCTGACCAAGCACACTTATCAAAATATCTCATGAAAATGGAAAACAATCACATGACATTTCAGTACGATATCAGGAATAGTGACTTTTAGGTATCGGCTGACGTCATGTGACTGTCATGGAGTTACTTTATACACAAAAATCTAAAAGTGGAGTTGATGTGTGTCATGAATGTGTATTTCTGTAATCTAAGGAACCAGTCGATAACGCTGAGCCTGCAGCCTTTTTTAAACAGCGTCTGTGTCCACAGGGGGGTCACACGGACATGTGCTTCCCACCTGAGCAGGTGAAGGGTTTGAATCAACAGCTGCCAACCACGCCCAACTTCAGGTGAGAGTCGTATCCACAGCACTCAAACTGCCCTCCCCCTCCTCCCCCCTCCTCCCTCCCTCCTCCTCTCCTGCACTGGTTTTATTCCTCATCTGCTCCTCTGCCTCGCCCGGATCAATAAACACCGATCACCTCCCTCTGCGTGTTTGCTTGTGGTTTCTCCAGCCAGCTGCTGCGCTTTAAGAGCAAAGAGTCTCTGGCCTCGGAGTCGTCCAATCAGACGAGCGGCTACCAGTCCGGGTACCACTCCGATGAGGCCGACGCCCCCATCTACGCCAACGAGGAGGCCATCATCAAGCACAGCATGCTGAAGAAGCCTCCGCCCAGCAGGGCGGACAAATTCAACACGGAGATCCGCTACAGCACGCCGCCCGTCTGACCCGCCCCCCCGGCCCCCCCTGGACGAATTCAAGCTGAGCCGGAGTCGAATGATGGTGTCTCAGAAGCTGCTGGAAGGCACTGCGGCTCACGGCTGAAATCTGCTCCACAGGGAACGGGAGCTGAATCTGTAGAGGACAACGTTTTTACGAGTTTATTCCACTTAATATCTTCAACTATCCTAAAAAAAAAAAATCCAAAATCCAATCCAAATTACCTCTGCTGCTCTCTTGTAGTTGGCTTCAGTGTCCCCATCTGTGTCAAGATCTGAGTCGTCCCCAGAGTTGAGCGAGGAGGACATGTAAGGGCTCCTCTCTGATTGGGACAGGCTGTCGGCGTGTGGCGCTGGGTCATCCCCCTGTCCAAAGGTCATGAGGAAGGGACGTCTTCTACGTGTGTACCACAAGGGCCACTGCTTAAAGCCAATGAAAATCTGGAGCTTTCCCCAGATTGTTTTGGTCCCGTCCGCTCCTAACAGGAACGCTTGGAGGCTGAGGCGGAGCATGAGTCAGAACCAAAAACCCCTTTTCCAGAAGGACAACCTACCTCCCTCTCCAGATACGA